TTATAATTAGAAATGTATTTAATGACTGCAAATAAAATAGTTAGCTCCCAAAGGTTTCACCGGGACGTGCTAGGCAGGTAACAGCTAAGCTAGCTAGCTGTTTCATGGTAACTTCCGGGTTTTTCGCGATCGCTTTTTGTCACTTTAAAACAGTATTTTTGTCATGAAAACGTTGACAGCAAATTCTGAAATCGTCCGTGCATGTGTGTTAAGGATGTATCTGTATACTGTATTGTCCGATTGACGTTTAATGGTGTTGATTGATTGATATGTATTTGTTTATTGAGCGTGGCTAGCTCCGCTAGCTTCTCTACACAGACAAGTGTGCAGAGAAACTGCACAGTGTAGTGACAGGCGCTGATAGCTTGTTGTACTTGCGGAGTAATGGCAGTATTTTACACACCTGAATTACAAACAGAGATTGCATTGGGGCTGCGGTCATTATTGGTTTGAGAGTTCTGTTATCAAGAAAAAATGATCGGAAGAATTGCATTCAAGTCAATGGAGTGTTCTAACTGCTGCTGTGAGGAGCTGTATAATAAATTATAATTAAATATTAGAATATATTCTAATGTTTAAATTAATACATCCGGACGCGAAACGTATTCTTTTACTTATATATTGTGTTAGCAGTGCATTGCTTTAGTGCCATTTCATCAGTGATTGTTGCACAGCTTACAAGTTACGCTAATGCTAATGTTAGCATACGTATCAGATCGCAAATAAAACTAGGTGGCTCCGTGTTATGAGAGCGTAGGGGAAATGAGAAGCCTGTGAGCGAGCTGGGGGGCGGTGCTAAACATTCAAACATTGTAGAAACGGGTATAGCGCCTTTAAACAAAGCTTCCCAAGCCTGAGAGTAGGCTTCTGCGTCACTACGATAGAATGTTCCCTCTAAGACACTAAGCGCTTCTCCACCTATGTATTTCTTCAAATAGAACAATCTATGGGCTGAATCCGCACAACTAGTCTCAATAAGAGCCTTAAAACATGTACTCCACTCAATAAACTTCAAAGGATCTCCGGTGAACACAAAAGGCTCTGGAGAATGAAGTCTAGACATTGTCAAAGATTCTTTTAATGTTTCAACTAGAGACACTTCACTATTCTTGGCTATTACCTTACTGTGACTAGTTGGTGTGAATGAGGCGTTCTTATTTGCTGCAGAAAAGGTTTGTGGCGTGGACTTCTGAAGAACCTGAGGATTCGGGCTAATGTACTGCTGTCTCTGGGGCTGGCCCTTTTTGCAGATACGTGACTCCCTGATTCACTTAAACTGCACTGACGTCGACTAGATCTCGACACTGTAGATCCATACACTGATTTGGCATCTTCTCTTTGTAATAACTTGTGAAGTGATTCCTTCACAGCTACACTATCAAACTCTTGGTCAACATTTGCACAACGCTCTTTCATCAGCACAAGAATCTCAGCACAGACTGATGTAGAACTATCTATTTTCCTTCTTATGTCTTGAGAGGGAGATTCAATAGCACGAATGGCATCATAAAGCTGTTTTAAATCTGAATCAATTTTTTCAATAGATTGAATCATGTGATCTATCTCTTCTCCTGTGCATTTTACTTTAAGTTTTGATCGTATGAGCTGAATCTCTGCCTTAAACTGCACATAAGTTGACATAAACTTTCTCTCCTTGTTTATCAACTCATTTCTTTTTAGGTCACGCATTTTTACAGTCAAACGTCTTTCTCTTTCCGACCGTCTAACGTCTGTTTCAACAATAGCTAGTGGTTCAAGAGTAGTTGTTTTTTGTATTTCAAGATCTGCACCTCTCTCTCTCTCTCTGATTCTTCAAGTTCAGTCTGTAAAACGGTCTCTGATTGCTCTTCCTCAGCTTGTAAAGCTTGAATAGTGTCCTCAATATCACATTTCCTAGTAGCCATTTTTCAGAGTAATATTAGCAATATTCACTGTTACTTATATGTATATATTTAGCAATGACAGGTAACTAATCTTCGTAACCCACTATTTCAAAAACTAAAAAATAATACACTGTTACAGAGGATTCTTATAAAACATTATAGATTATGATATTGCATAAAACAAATAACACAAACTATGTTCTTCTTATTCTCTTTTTTTTTTTTTTTTTTTTTAACTCCGAAGATACAGTCTGACCTGATTTCCAATGTGTTTTACACTTTACGCTGTGATGAGGCGATTCTTGAGCAGTCCATTTCCAACTGTGGTGAAGTTAACGTCCTCCGAAGACCCAGCTGATGCAGAAACGTAGACGCGGAGGCTGGCTGATGACAGCGGTCCTTCGATGCATGGCTGGCTGATGACACACTGCACCCTTGTGGCCTCTCAGCGTCAGCTACAAACGACGTCACCTTCTCTGGCGATGAGCGCACGTGACTCCGACAGCGCACGTGTATCTTTGTCTATCTTCTTTACAGCAGCGATAAGCAACGTTTTTCACTATAACGGCTCCAGAAATTATTGCTTGGATAAAAGGCCGACGCTCTGACTGATGTTTAGTTGACATTTATTTACAACAAAGCCACCTAAAACACCGTGAAAAACTACGGTGCATAAAAAACATATTGTTAGCAAAATACACACATATTCAACAAACTTACAATAAAACAATATACAATTACCGTGTGCGCCTTCTATCTAGACACTCTGGAGTTGTCAGTACTTTTCGCTGTCCATATCCTTACTTTCGGTTCAGCACAAGGTTACCTTGTCCATCCTTTTCGCCATTCTCTCGCTCTGTCTCTCACGTAATGGCTCCAATGCGCGCATGCGCATATTGCACAGGTAATACAAGTTCACAACTCCACCACAAGAGGTCAGAAGCGACACACAATAAATACACTATTATAAACAGATTATATACAGAATAAAGATACATGTAAACAAAAATGTTCACGGACAGCTACACTATAAGAAACATATTTATGCAGTTTATGAGTTAAAAGAAAGCTGATTTGGTGTTTAGTGGTCCTTTAAACTTTGGACAACGAGGTAATTGCTGAAGTTAGTATTAGCGCCACCAGCTGGAGCGAGCATTGCACCATGGTGCATTTGGTCTGGCACGGTTGAAAAAAGAAACTTTGCCTAGTTTGTTTGTGCCCTCAGTTTCCATTTTCGCTGCTTCTGTTAAATGCAGAATGATGTTAGTGCATTCTTTCAAGTCTTTACGGCAGCCTGAGGAAGTGATTATACTGGTGGGGGTTGTCCTTGTTACAGAGGTGGGACAAAGTCATTGTTTAGCAAGTCACACGTCAGTCTCAATTCATTGCCCTCAAGTCCCGAGTCAAGTCACGAGTCAAGACAGGCAAGTCCCGAGTCGAGTCCAAGTCAAAGGCCAACAAATCTCAAGTCAGTCCCAAGTCCTACGGTTTGACTTTCGAGTCCTCTCGAGTCTTTTTGACCGCGATTTGTTTCTTGTTGGTCTCCACGTACTTTTGTAGGCAAACAAAATAATGTTAGGAATCATTTTGCTGGTGCATTCTCGTTGGTCTCTGACCCATGGACTAACAGTTTGTTCCATGTCATTGGCTGCTGGTAAATCATAACTATCTACGTGATCTAATTGGATGTTGTGCCAGATGCAGGCTCAGTTACACATGCACAGACCACACATAAAATCAGAGCAGTCCGTGTCAACATACTTTTTATCTTTGGGGTTTTTAATGGGAAGTAGCAAGTGCAGCAGTGCAGCATATATGAATATGAGTATTGGGCTAGGACCTGTATCTATATAATCAGTTTAATGTCCGTAGTGGTTATTGTTCCAAAGGACTGAAGGGACCAATGGAGGGGAAGGAACCTGGCCTGTATGAACTGGACCAGCATTAGTAATATCTCATAATTACCAATATATCATTACATAATAAAATGTCTCATATAAATTAATTCAATCAGTCAAAGCACTGATTCTCATATCAATGCACCATAAACAATAGTGCAAATATTAATCTAGCTTAGTGCACATAATCAAAACAACTATCTAATGTATGCAAACTTTAGCAGGAGGAGCACAGCAAAAACATACTCATAATAATAGGCCTCTGCGCCCACACAGAAAAATATAAGAAATAGCTAACAGAGCAGCGCAGGCTAGCGCTAGTTTGACTCACCAGTTCCTCTTTAAAACACGGCACACAGTGTGACAACTGCGTCGATTCAATTGTATGAGGCGCCTGTAGTGAAAGCATATCAATTACGGTTTGTAGAACAAAATATGACGTTAGGTCGCGATAAATACCTGCAGCTCGCTCATTTCCAGCTCCCCTACGACAACACACCCACCGGTGAATGCAGCGCGCTTGTTTAGGGAAGTGTTGCTGCGCGAACTGCGGGGAACTCACGTTCGAACTCTCGCGCGAGCGCTACAACTACCGCGAGGCTTTGTTTCTTCAGAGACGGCATAGATAGAAAGAGAGATGCGGAGAAAGGTAAAAATGGCCCGGGTTACGCAACTCTTTGCAAGTCAATTGGCGCAAGTCCAAGTGAAAGTCAGAGTCATTGATGTTAAAGTCCAAGTCGAGTCGCAAGTCTTTTTACATTTGGTCAAGTCGAGTCTAAAGTCATCAAAATCATGACTCGAGTCTGACTCGAGTCCAAGTCACATGACTCGAGTCCACACCTCTGCCTTGTTATGTTGTAAAGTTCCAATGCCCCCTACTCGCCGGGTGCTAGAATTAAAGGAGTAAGGAGCCTGGTCATTTTTGCTAATTACTTTGAAGCGTCTCCGTCTAAACGAGGCCAAAATCAGTTTAATTAATTGTAGTTTGACTGAGGGGGCGGAGCTTCAGGGTCCGAAGGATCACAACATGTGATCTTACAACCACACACAGACACACACACTCAACACAGACACACACATCTCTGGTTTGGTCAGATTGAAAAATAAAAAATCAGCAGATTTTATCACAATTTATTATAGTTTTAAATGCAGCACCCCCTGCTGATGGATCTTCCTCGTGCTGCCCCCTGCTGACAGCCCTGGCAGACCTGCTGGTCCCTCAGTGCTCTGACTCCTCGTATCCGTCTGGTAAAGGGTTTGTGTGAGGATTATGGAACAGAGAGTGGTTTCCATCTCCCCACGGGAACTTCTGCAACAAAGAGCTGTTCATCTGAGATAAAATGTCTGGCTCAGAAGGAGCAGTAGCAGCAGCAGCAGTACCCGTACCTTGGTGCGTATGCGCAGGTGTGAGTAGGGCACGAACTCCCCGTCCGAGTGGTGCTCCCCCTTCAGGTAGACATTGGTCATACACACAGCGACACCCGGCAGCGCGAGCACGAAGGACAGGATCTTCCACGTGCGCGCTGCGAAAAAAACTGATGTCACACGTGGAGACCAAGAAGCAAAGAGCCCTGACATGGACTAAGGCTTGTATGGCGCCAGATTTACGCCAAAAGTCCACACGCGCAAATAATACATACACGCGCAGCTTTATTTAATTCACACGCGCGCAAACCAGTCTCCACGCGCATATTTCACCCTACACACGCGCAGATTCAGTACCACGAGCAACAATACGCGCGTGTGTGCGTTCGTGACGTGCCTTCTCCCTGCTCGTGGTCTGTGTTCTGCGCGCGTTGAAAACTTTTGCCATCTCTTCTACGCGCGCGTGAAATATACTTTTGTCGCTTGGGGGCGGGGCCACTGCTTTCCAGGAATTCCCGCGGTTAGAAGATTTGGTTCAGAAGACGAATACTTGGTGAGCGTTTTATATTTATTTGATATATAAACATATTACAATGTAGGCAACGTCCTTTATTTCATTAGTATTCTACTAAATTTCAGTTAAAAATGAGAAGAACTTAGTTACTATCAATTAATTAATTAAAATGATGGACATTGGCAAACAAGCAACGATTGGGACACCGGTGCGATGTTAGCTATGGAAAGACAGTTAAAAAAAAAAAACATTTGTATGACTATATTTTAGGAGGGAGGTAGTTTTGTACTGTTGCTGTTTGTAGAAACTAAGGTGAGCGGCAGGTCATATTGGGGCAAAACAAATTGTGTCACTTTGGTGCTAGTTTGAAGGTTGCCTAAAAGAGTACCTCTGCTCAGTGTATACTTGCTATGATTACTTAAGTTGTCTCCTATTAACATAAGTAATAATTTAATGAACAACTTTGACTATTTGAGTGATGTTTGACCAGGACTCACTTAACTATAAGTACAGTATTTCTACTGTATCCTCCATGATGATCCATGATTACTGAACAGGCATGTTAATGTTTATAATGTCATTGTAGCCTTAGTATGTATAAACATATGATCGTTTTTAAATTTATGTGTAGACCAACAAACCACCACCACTTTTCCTGACTGAGATGGCTGTTGCAGGACCTCCGAATATCCATGTATGTATGTCTGAAAAAGAACAGCTAATTTACAAATGTCTAGATGAATATAAGTTACTCAAACCAAGTCTCCTTTGTTCTAGGGCTTTTTGCGACAAGAGCTCATGACCAGACTCCAGTCAAAATTGGAGTTAGCCCTGGGAAGGATGCCCATTGACCTTGACTTTTTGGAGTTTGCATGCCGTCAGGAACTGTACCTCTGGGAGGCACTGGCTAGGCATGTTGATATCCAGCCAGAACTCTTGCATGCATTAAGGGACATTCTTGCAGCTGTTATATCACACAGTGATTTTCAAAACACAGCGACAGGTACCACTATGGAGACTATAGTTGGAGAAACGGGACGTCCAAGGTACCACATTGAGGAGGAAAGACTTCTGGAGCTTCTGGACATGAATTTACCTGTAAATAGTATTGCAAGGTTATTGGGTGTTTCACCCAGGACAATTCAAAGAAGGATGAGTGACTTTGGTTTGGCTGCCAGACAGCGATACAGTGACATTTCGGATGAAGCACTGGATGATGCAGTGAAACTTGCAAAGAGTGAAATGCCCACTGCAGGGTATCGGATGGTAAAAGGCAGACTTATGTCACAGGGCATCTGTGTGCAGTGGCGAAGAATAACTGCTTCAATGCACCGTGTTGACTCTATTGGAATTTTATCAAGATTGATGGGGATGGGCTGTATAGTTCGAAGAACATACTCTGTGAGAGGCCCACTGTCACTATGGCATGTCGACACAAACCATAAGCTAATTAGGTGACTATTCTTAATTGCTTGTTAAAAATAAGAAACTTGTGCATGTTTACTATAATTGTTTCATATGTCCAACAGATTCAACATAGTTCTTTTTGGCGCTGTGGATGGGTACTCCAGGAAAGTAAGTTTGCTGTACCTCTTGACTTTTGAAAGTAGCTAATTAAAGGCTCAATATGTGACCATTATGTTGTTAGGTAATGTGTCTACAAGCTTCAAACAACAACCGTGCTTCTACTGCGTTTTCATCCTTCAAACAGGCAACTGAGCAACATGGTGTGCCCTCTATAGATTTGTTTTGATATTTGACGTTATATCTTTATTCATTTCTTAATCGTGCAACGCATTCCTTCCTTGTATTGATTATTAAGAAGAAGAAGAAAAGATATCTGTTTGAACTGTATGGTCTTTATATATTTATTACCTTTCTCTGTATTGTTTTAAAGCTTCTATTTACACATTTGCAATTTTGCCAAACCTGGCCATGTTCTGCTGGGTAGCAGAGCAAGATGGTGCCTCCCTTGCCTCCCTACGAGTCTGTTGGCCTGTCGCCTGGCCTGCAGTAGCACCTGCTCCGGTACTCTGTCCCTGAACTTTATTTCAAAATACAGACAAAACAAACATTAAACTAAAATATATGTGGTTTTAAGGAGAGTAAATATTACATACCATCACTTCTTATCATGTTGATAATGCTGGAAACCATGTTTCGTAGCTGGTCCTGAGAGAATAAAAGACAAATTACTTCAAAAGCAACAGAACTTGGCTCCAACAATTGAATAAGTGCAAATACCTCATTTTTATCCGACATATTTGCGAAAAACTGAACAAAAAAACAAAACATAATTAGAGACATACATACATAAAAAATTTAGATATAAGACAATTGTGTCCTCTGTCCACACTATTAGCTATATAATGTACTAACTATTTCAACAATGCATCTTGGAAAATAGTGTCCATCAATCACTAAAACAGCAGGGGTTGTAGCTGAACGTGTGGTCTAGTTGGGACCACTGAGAAATGTGTCAATAAACTGAGTCCACTATATAGTCAAGTGCAGGACTATAAAGTAAATACATACGAGAATAGGGTGGTTAGAACAGTTAGCTTGTGAACCGTAGCTATTCGGCTCACAAGCTAACTGCTGTTAGCACAAACACATGATATGTATCAGTGTTTCCCACACATAGACTAATCTGTGGCGCACCGCCACAGATTAGAGACCGCCCGCCACAAATTGCGTTTCGTATTATTATATATATATATTTTTTTGTTACGCTATTTAAAACATGCATCGTCTAGTGCCGCCGCAGCGGTCAATTTGACAGCGGGGAGGGGGGTTTAAAATGTGGCGGCCCTTCGTAACTCTCACTCAAGCTACGCGTCTCTCCCACATACAGAGACCTACACACACACAGCCCCTCCCCTTCGTGCACACCGCGTGTCTCCGTCTCCATCAGCGATCATCGCTGTAAGCAGCTGTGTCTATTAATTTACCGCGGTAAAGTGGCCCGCATCTTTCAGCTCTATGAACATGCGGCCCGCATCGGGGAAAAGACGGTGCGCGTTTTGTTGAGAACTTACGGTAACAGCGGAACGTCCTTTCGGAGTCACCCATTTTTATCGAACAGAAAGCGCGCTGGGGTCAGGGAGACACGTTTTTGTGATTAAAACCTTATAGAGATGCCACCCGGCACACATAGCACCAGCCCCCTACGATTCCTCCTGCAGATTGTGAGTCCTCAGGAGGATAGCCACTCTATTGTTTACATATATAAAGTACACAATTTGGTCCGCTAGTGCAATTTTCAAGTATTGTAACTATTTACTGGAATAAGGTGTGCGACTAATTTCACTTGACTCATGACCTTATTATTGCCCTCTGCCACTGTACCAAAGACCAGAAACTTTTACTGTAGAAATATTGAGAAATATTGAGGTAAAGTAGCCATTTTGGTCCAAAATACCTCCAAAATAGTCAAAACATGTCACTTTTGATCTACTGTAACTTTTTACTGTAAAAAGGTGTGCGACTAATTTCACTGGATTCATGACCTCAAGATTGTCCTCTACCACTGTACCAAAGACCAGACACTTTTACTGTAGAAATATTGAGAAATATTGAGGTAAAGTAGCCATTTTGGTCCAAAATAGCCTAAAAATGGTCAAAACATGTCACTTTTGATCTGCTGTACTTATTACTGTAAAAAGGTGTGCGACTAATTTCACTGGATTCATGACCTCAAGATTGTCCTCTACCACTGTACCACTGTACCCCACCCCCCCCCCCCCCCCCCCCCCCCCCCCGCCGACGACCACCACACATTGCCTTCAAACCTGTGGGAAACACTGTGTATGTTTAATTAAGTGTACAACAGTACAATTCATTAAGAATTAAGTGTACTGTACAACTGCTCTCATAATATAGATATAGCCTCACATCCATTACTGCATTTATTTAAAACGTTTATAACATATATTGATTAAATATAAAACACTCACCAACTCCTGTCTGAAGTGTTCGTCTTCTGAACCAAATCTTCTAACCGCGGGAATTCCTGGAAAGCAGTGGCCCCGCCCCCAAGCGACAAAAGTATATTTCACGCGCGCGTAGAAGAGATGGCAAAAGTTTTCAACGCGCGCAGAACACAGACAACGAGCAGGGAGAAGGCATGTCACGAACGCACACACGCGCGTATTGTTGCTCGTGGTACTGAATCTGCGCGTGTGTAGGGTGAAATATGCGCGTGGAGGCTGGTTTGCGCGCGTGTGAATTAAATAAAGCTGCGCGTGTATGTATTATTTGCGCGTGTGGACTTTTGGCGTAAATCTGGCGCCATAGGCTTGGCCAAAATTGACCACATCCTGAAAAGGTGCATGTGCGCGTGTCTGTGTGTGTGTGTCTGTGCGTGTGTCTGTGTGTGTGTCTGTGCGCGTGCACTTGTTTTCAACTCCTGGTGGGTTCCATAACCTGAGATTCCACTCACGTCATGGGGACTGGTTTTACGTGGTGGGGCCCGAACACCGGACCCCACTGGTCCAAGCTTAATAATCAATGGGTAATGCTTTTCTAACGGTCCTTATGCAGTCTCTGTAAAAATATGGAAAGGACCCCTGGAGGTTTACTTTCCTGAAAAAAGTGTGTTATGTGTCGGAACCCTGGTGGTGGGTTGCGGGATATCAAGGAGGGGCACACTGGGGCAATTTCAGTCCAGCAGGCTGGAGCCAATCATGGAGCAGCACAACAGAGGAAATCAGGTGTCAGGCTAGAAAAAGGTGCAAGTGTGTGGTTCATTAGGCTGCAAGAAATCATGGAGGAGCACACTGAAGCGCACGCTTACAAACCACTGGTAAGTGCTGACTACAAGTCATGACTTCAAATTGTTATATAGAATGATTACAAATTATTTGTTGTTTGTGCAGCTTAGTCAAGAGTCCCTAATTGATGAAGTCGACTCAGATTCTGACGATTTAACTGTCAAGAAGAAACCTGTAAAAAAGTATGGAAAAAGAAAAATCAAAAACACTTTTCTTCAAGACTCGGAAAGTGACGAACCAAAGGCAAATAAGATTGTTATCATGCAGCTGCAAAAGAAGAAAAATGGGGGTCGAGTTTACAGCAAGAGACACTTCTGCCTCTACTGTTCAATGTCCTGCCACAAAATGTCCCGTCATTTGACTAGAAAACATGGAAATGAAAGTGACGTAGCCAGAGCATTGGCTCTACCTGTGAAATCTAAAGCACGTAAACTTCAGTTTGATTTGATCAGGAATAGTGGAAACCGTGAGCACAATTTTGAGGTTTTAAAGGCCGGCATTGGAACTTTAGTCCCAGCTAAACAGCCAAATTCCCCAGTTAAATCCAGTGAGTTTTTGCACTGTATAGACTGTGGGGCATTGCTTAAGCGAAAGTCGCTGTGGAGGCATGTGGCCAGGTGCCGGCTTTCACAGAAAGATGCCCAGGCTAAACCAGGTAGAAGTAGGGTCCAGTCCCTCTGCTCCCTAGCCCAGCCTGTACCGGAGGGCATCAGCAAAAAGCTGTGGTCTTTAATTTCGGCAATGCATCAGGATGAGGTCACGGGTGTTGTCAAAGCAGAAAAGGGGATTCTGAGACTCGGAGAGCACCTGTACTTAAAACACGGGCATGATAAGACAAAGCATGATTACATTAGGCAGAAAATGAGAGAAGTCGGTAGGTTAATTAACGAAGCAAAAACCGCAGGGAAACTGAAAACAATTAAGGATTTCTTTATTCCTTCCAACTTTAACCATGTGATTGATGCAGTCAGGTCTGTGGCTGGATATGATGAGGAAACAAATCAATACAAGACTCCATCCTTGGCCCTCAAACTCGGCCATAGCCTCAGAAAGCTAGCAGATATTCTTGAATGTGACTCAAAAATGGAGCATTGTGTTGATGAACTATTTATTAAAAACCTCCAACGAAGCCGGCTGCTTTTTGAGAAGAGGTGGGACGTCTGTGTTTCTTCTGCTGCCCTACAGACCCTCCGGCAAGCCAAGTGGAACACTCCGGACCTGCTCCCTCTGACTGAGGACGTTAGAGCCATGCATGCACATATTGAGGTATGTCGACCTGAATATGTGCAAACCCTAATAAGTGAGCCAACGTCTAAGCATTGGTCTAAACTGGCAGTTTTGACTCTTTGTGAGGTCATCATTTTCAATCGAAGAAGGGAAGGTGAGGTTTCAAAGATGCCACTGACAGCCTTTACCTTAAAAAGTAAGACTGGGATCCATTCTGACATTGCTCTGGGACTGTCCCAACTTGAGAAAAAGCTGTGTCAGCATTTTCAACGCATTGAAATTAAAGGGAAAAGAAGTCGGAAAGTGCCGGTTCTTTTGACTCCTGAAATGATTGCTTCGATGGAGGTGCTGGTGGAGAACAGAAGGGCCTGTTCCATCTCTGACCATAACCCATACTTCTTTTCCCGCCCGGGCGCAGACACCCACATCAGGGGATCAGACTCCCTACGCCAGGTAGCCAAAGAATGTGGTGCGGTGCATCCAGAGATGCTATCCTCAACCAAACTTAGAAAGCACATAGCTACTATGTCTACAGTTCTCAATATGAAAGAGAATGAGATGGACATACTTGCCAACTTCCTCGGCCATGACATTCGCATCCACAGGCAATATTACAGACTACCAGAGGGGACACTGGAGCTGGCCAAAATCAGCAAAGTGTTGATGGCCATGGAGCAGGGAAGAGTGACGGAATTCGAAGGAAAGAGCCTCGACCAGATACAAATTGAGCCTGAAGGTAATTCTTGATATTATTAAAATATGTATGATTTTTTTCCCCTAAAGGCCACTTGTATTTTTATTTTCTGTGCGACAGGGAGAGCAGTAGAGATCCTCTCACAAACGGACGGGCTAAAAGAAACTTCAAGCGGAGAACCTTCAACCATTCATCCAGATGCACCCCATGGTAGTGGCAGTGCCCCTTCTGGTAAGTGTACCAGGTGGGGGATTACAGCCAGGCTGCTTGGTCCTCACCCTGGGAGTGTATATTGCTAATATATTTTTATTTCTCTCCCTAGAACGTGTAAGAAAGCCATGGTCTGCATCTGAGGTGAAGGCTGTGGAGAAGACCATGACACCTTTCATACAGACTGGAAAGGTCCCTGGGAAGTCTCACTGCCTGGCCTGCATTAATGCCTCACCAGATGACCTTAGACATCGGACATGGAGTGGCATTAAATTCTATGTCAAAAATAGAATCACTGCAATTCGAAAACAAAATCTAAAATAAAATTCCTTTAAAATAGTTGTTTGGTTTCTATTGACTGTTTTGTATTACTTAAAGTCTTGGTAAAAAAAGATTATGTCTATGGGTCCCATTCTGAACGGCCCTGTCAAAGGGACCCACCAGGTAACAAAAACGTGTATGTGTGTGTCTGTGTGTGTGTCTGTGCGCGTGTCTGTGTGTCTGTGTCTGTGTGTCTGTGTGTCTGTGTGTCTGTGTCTGTGTGTCTGTGTCTGAGTGTGTGTCTGTGTCTGTGTGTCTGTGTCTGAGTGTGTGTCTGTGTGTGTACCTGCGCCCTCATGTCCCGCTGAGGCCGCTGCCATCAACCTCCGGGCTGCGAACGCTGAAGACATCGACATCTGTGTAAGGAAACAGAACAATCCGAGTTTGAAAGAGACCAGAGAGGGACTAGAGACACTTTAAGTCACTTGCACTAGGACTAAAAAATAAAACACCTGCATTGACACTGTTTCTTTAATTTCCATAATATATCCTGCATTAAACATAATAATGCATCGGCATATTTATATAGCGCTTTTTTGGACACGTTACATGTCATTATTCTTTCACTCCATACACAGTGGTGACAAACTAGCTGCCCTGGGGCACATTGACAGAAGCGAGGCAACCAGTCTGCGCCATCAGCCCCTACACCCACACCTATGGGGTAAAGTGTCTTGCCTAAGGACTTTATACCCGCAGAGATCAGTGAGAGTCGGGCTCGAACCACGACCTTTTGGCTCGAGGCTAGTAGTAGGAATGCTCTACCAACTGAGCTACTGTCACCCTGTATCACATGGGCACATTTCTTTCTGTGCATTTTTCTTTCTTTTGCACAATCGAGTGATTCTATGTGTGACATGTACATGTCTCCTGTGTGAGATCAATACATTCTATCTTATCTTCTGATGACAGTTTGTTTGATTTAGGACTATACACAAATGTAATTACATTTGTGTATTGTCCTAAATCAAACAAACTGTATTTCCCTGTGCATGTCAATCATTTAACTCTGTCTGGTCCTGGTCCTGTTCCAAGCCTTGTTCCTAATCCTGGTCATGGTCCAAGTCTTGGTTCTGGTCCTGGTCCTGGTCCTGGTCCAGTCCAGATCTTCAGCTGTTGTTCTGCGTCATGATAAAATAAAGTTCATAAAAGGCTCCTCTTACCTTCACTAGTGCACCATGATGTGTTCCTTCAATTCGTGTGTGAGTGCCTCTGTTGTGTTTTGTTCAGTTGTGTTGTTGTTAGTGCCTCTGTTGTGTTTTGTTCAGTTGTGTTGTTGTTAATGCTTATGTTGTAGTGGAGTCTCTGCTGGAGGTTGTCCTTGAGTCTGTCAGTCTATGGTCTGTCCTGGACTGAACCCAGACTCCTCCTTCTGTACCTGAGCCAAGACCATGGTTTATATTTAAAACCAGAGCGTGTGCCATTGGTCACCTCAGTCTCTCTCCGTAACTCCCAACTTCTCTGTTATCTTAAATGTTATGAGTCTTTTATATCTACTTTTATTCTGCTGCAATCATGTTGAAATTCCCTCTGAGGAACGAATAAAGGTTTATTTATCTTAACAAACTGTGACATCACGTTTGTCTGACATTTAGCTTTTTAAAGACATCAGCATCTAAGGACACAATCACAGTTTTGCACTTTAGAGCCATCTAGAGGTCTCCCATCACCTTACTAACCAGGCCCTGCCCTGCTGAGCCTCGGAGGTCTGACGGGGTCTGGCTTTCTTTTGCAGGTGGTGTAAATCAGTGAGAAAAGCAGTTAATTTTTTTTATATTTTTGCGGATAATTTCTATAGAGATTTTTTGTGGAGAATTTCTAAAGATTTTAAAGACAAAAACATAAGTAAAACATTTGAACAGTGTTACAAAAATATTGTATTTACATTTTCAACGGGCGGATGTGACGCATGCGCAGTCCGGGTCATAGCTCCCGGGACCCGGATGTACTTTCTTTCCAACAGCGGTGTCCGAGCAGCAGCAACAGTGAGTGGCGATTCATTCTCACACATCCGCCACCATCGGCCTCAAACTGCACTTCCACACACCGTTTTGAAGTGGCACTACCCCGGCAGACTGTACCTCTCACCATGGCCCCGATATCTGTCCATTTTTATGAAAGATGAGACGAAAAAACCCCGATGAACGCTATGTGTAGCATTAGCTCCGCGATCCAAAATGGTTGCTCGCTAACATCTCGTTCAAAGTTTAGTTATGAAATAAGACTACAACTGGTGCACGTGTTCCAACGTGGCATGTAGTTGGATTCAGAAACTCACACATACTTCCAAGTGACAGCATTATATTTAGTGATGGTATGAAGGTAGAGCCAGTGCTTCCATCTGTTACTGCTAGCTTCGCATTAGCCACCGTGCGCCAGTCACACACATGCTTTACCGTTCCCTGGTGTTTTGGGATGTCTCTTTAACTTCTGATGTTTTCTTGTGCAGACATGGGCAAGTTCATGAAGCCTGGGAAGGTGGTGATGGTCCTGGCTGGACGTTATGCCGGACGCAAAGCTGTCATCGTCAAGGTACAAGTTCTCATTCAATCTCTGCCAGTGCTGCCTGTTTATGCTGATTATTACTGAGATGGAAGAGACTAACTTGTTCAGTGTTGTAGATGTCGTGGGTTAAACGCCCGACTTCATTAAACTGTTTACGTTTTTCCAAACGTTGTCAAAGCGGTGGAAAGTAAAACGCATGAGTTTGTGGCTCCAAAGTTGGGTCTGTAGCTCTTAATAGCTTTGTTTTTGGTGAAATTGATGTAGAATGTTCTGTCTTAAGTACTTGCAGATACGATGAGTATGGCATTGTTCATAAAACTTGTACAACTGATATTTGAAATGTTTTATTTCAACAATAAGAATATACTTTGGCGAAGGAACATTATAGCTATGGTTAAGTCAACAAGAGCCACTGTCTTTCCACTCTACAAATGGTACTAATAAATGGCTCTGGTGATAGCAAATGTGTTATACTCTGCGTGGTGGTGAATCAATGATTTATAATTTTGCTGGTGTTCTACGTATTTAAGACCTACCTCGTGAAAGCTTTGCCCCAAACAATGTACAGTCCACTTATAACTCTTGCCACTCGTCTAAAGCCTATGTGACCGACCCGATATCAGTGTACATATGAGTGTGTTCACAGTAAAGTGACAATTGAAGTATCTGGACTTTAAAAGGTTATAACTTAAAAACTAAAATTACTTTCATAGATTGGAAAAAAGATTTCAAACACAGATTGAAGAGATAGTGTGGAAAAAATCAAAAGGAAAGATTTACATAAAAATGTTTAGCAACATTTTAAACGACCAAATCAGCCTCTGATTGGACCATTCTACTGTGACGCCAGTTACATAGAAAATAAAATGTCCTCAGTCTGAAAAAGCAGAAGATGAAATCCCACAAGATTTACATTAACACAACAGAAGGAAATCACTTTATATAAAAAGGAATCGTAAAAAAATAAAAAATAATTAATGAATTAAATGACCCCTGAAAAATGTATAACGGACGTGATGAGGACGGTCCTCTTTTCCCTAAAAATTAAACTTGAGAAAAAAAAAATCTGGTCTTTTTTCACATTTAATTGCTTGACAATGTGAAAGTATCACTTTGCATCTACTTTGTGTAAAAAAATAGAATCTCTGAATCAAATGTGGACATCTGAAAATACCATCAAACTTCCACAAAGCTCATTCCGTCAAATCATCGTCCGTTACATAAAATAAACAGGGCGCTGTAGGAAACTTGTCTAATGTATAAAAGTTATGTTCTAGCAACTTCTAATGGACAGAGGAGGTGCTTGGAAACATAAAATATCTTCTGATTATTAAAATCTAATTTTTGGCCTTTTGTCACACTTTTGTGCCCTTTAGTGTGAACAAGCCCATATATCAGTGCATCCCTACTGTCATAAACTCTGTCATAAACAACACTGATTATCTTGCACATGTGGGAGATGATTAATTCTTTTGGATTGTCTCCTTCAGAGCCAGCTGGGGGTGAGGTGTTAAATGCTAAAGTTGACCGTGGTTTGTGGTGTTTCCTCAGAACATTGACGACGGTACGACCGACCGGCCGTACAGCCACGCTCTGGTCGCAGGCATCGACCGTTACCCTCGCAAAGTCACCACCACCATGGGCAAGAAGAAGATTGCAAAGCGGTCAAAGATCAAGGCCTTTGTCAAGGTCTTCAACTACAACCACCTCATGCCCACCAGGTGAGAGCAGTGCATCTTGGGGCTGTAGTCAATCAGCGGTGACGCCGCATCAGACTTGTGGGAGAATATAATCACTTATATATTGGTGTAACTTTGAGGATTAAATCTTGCTCTACGTCGCTAAATTGCTGCTGCTCTATCTTCTGCCTCAGTTTGACGGCAGCCGTTTTCAGTTTTAGCAGTTAGCATGTGTCCTGTGCACCTGACTGTCCAATAGGGACGTGCTCGTGAAGTTTGGCTCCTATTGACTTCAATGTCAGAGTAAACGCTTTAACAGTCGCTCTGACGTTGGTTTTAATCTTCTGCGTTAAAGCACATTGTCGCACTAGAGCTTCTATCATACGGTCTGTGGGACAGAGCTTATGCATTTGTAGCACACAGGACCAGTACCGGGTCCCTCTTGGTCTTGGCTCTATCCAGGCCCTATCCAGGCCCAGCTGGTACTTAAGTGTTCTGACGTCGACGGGCCAGAGTCACTGTCATGGTTACAAAGGAATTTCCCTGTACACTGGTTTGTTGTGGGGGGTTGCTAGGATGCGGTACCAGAAACTAAAGTGTAATGGAAACATAAGCTCCAGAACCTTCATGTAAATGTTCTGTCCTCACTTTCTTCTAGATACTCTGTGGACATCCCTCTGGACAAAACCGTGGTCAACAAAGACGTGTTCCGGGACCCAGCGCTCAAGAGGAAAGCCCGACGAGAGGCCAAGGTCAAGTTTGAGGAGAGGTGAGCGTCACGGTTTCATTAGCTGCGTTCCCACCGCAGGAACGTAGTCCCTTCTACATGCTCGGTACTCTGTTTGGCCCTGAACAGCCTCTGGTGGTGGTTTAGGTTAACCCAGCGCTGATTGGCTCGCCAAGCTCTGACACTAGAAGCACCAAAACGACCGGCATTTTTATAATCCTGCAGCAGTAGCCCAGCAGCATGAGTCTGGCAGACACCACTGGAAACTGCAAGATGTACAATAGACGATTGAGAAGGTGCAGGGTTTGAGACGGGGATATATTAAGACACATCAGCTTCACCTCCAAGCACTGGGGATTCACTCAAACTATGCTGTGAAAAGTAAAACTGAAGCAGGACTATAAAAAATAAATAAAACGACCACTGGAGCTGTTCCGACCGTAAACAATTGGTTTGGTGCAATGAGATTCACTTATGCATGTAAAGTTAATGGTGTGGTGCCCCCTGCTGGTCTAATGTGGTCTTTGTTTTGCAGATACAAGACCGGCAAAAATAAGTGGTTTTTCCAGAAGCTCCGATTCTAAACGATAATAAACTGTGTAAAGAAACTGCTTCTTGTGTCTTTGTGAATGATCTGAGGCTGTGTTTGACAAGAATCATGTATTCTGAGCTGACACCAGGAGAGGTTGGTCACATGTTCTCAGGGAGCACTGAGGAAACGTCAGTCTTGAGGAAAAGGTTTCCATGAAATCATGAGTCTGCTGCTGGTCCTGACTTGCACCGTGTGCCAGTGATTTAAAAATTACCCTTTGTTTTCAAGCTGAATCGTGATTTCCCCTTGACCCATTTAGACTTTATATATTTCTACTTATTCACCTGAGTCTTTTATTCTGTTCCTGCTCCTACCCCAGGTTTAAACATGAGACTGAATTTACCCCAACATTAAGAAATAAAAAGTGACCAGTACAAAATCCTTTGACACAAATAAATGTATGTAAAATATCAGTTGCTGATCTGTCCGTGCTTTCCAGTTCCAGCGTTGACCTGTGGGCGTCAGGAGAGGGCGCTGTATATTCTCACTCATACATGCAGCGCAGGCCAAATTAATAACACTACAGATGTATGAGGTTATTGTGTTTGCGGGAGGGACGGGAGAAAGTGAAAGTCGTGAACGGATCCTGGAAAAAGAGCTGTGCTCAGGTCTACAGGAACCTTCTTTATGTGACTATGATTTATGCCAATGTTAAACGTGTAAACTTTATGCTTCTCTATGAAGCAGTGTGATAAAAAAATAAACTAACCCATATTAGAATTGGCCAAACCTTGTCTCCTGGACCATATTAAATAAAATTGTCAAACTAGAATTTTACACCAGTTTGAACATCGCCTCCGTGTGGTCAGTGCTGGTATCGGCGCTTCCTCATTCCGCGGAAAGTGAAACTAAACTGGACACAGACGCAGGTGAGGACACTGCATTTACTGATAACGCTTTTCATTTAAATTACACACACATGACAGATGTTCCTCGTACGTCGCTGCGTCAGTAACGTGTGTGACGTTTACAGCTGGATTCCACCATGTCTTCAGAAGAGGTAAGAAACATGATCGTGTTGATGAAAAGTCGAAGTGAAACTAAGATAACTCTTGGGTTAGAAGTGAGACATAAAGGCATCAAATCTGGTCACTCTTTGGTGTTTCTCTGGTTTCTGGGCTCTGTTTTTGTTCTATCTCTGTTCTCTCTCGAGTCTCGTGGTCTCTTTAAGATAAGAGAACCTTTAATCTTCCCACAGTGGATACGTTTCAATTTTGCAGCACACATACAGGACAGTGGTGAGAACACAGGAAGCACACAAAATGTACTGACACATTCATCCTGTCTTCCCCTTGGTGAGAAACCGACACGAACCCAAACAACACACCACCCTTCCCCACTGCTGTCCCAAGTCGACACGGGTCTAAAAACACAGGTGTGCGGTGGAGGTGTGTTCTGTTCGGAGGAGCTCGCTGCTGGACTCACTCTTTTCTTCTTAGGATTTCTCACTGATTTCGGAACCGACGGAGGAAACTGTCGATGGTGTCCGGGCACTGATCAAAATAGAGAAGGTGAGGCCTGCAGATGTTTTTAGCTCCACACTCGCTCACATCAGGAGCAGCACGACGGGGCTCTGGGAGTAAACTTCTCTGGAATCCAAAAGTTTGAAGACACGACAGAGGCTAACAAGCTACAATACAGCCAAATAAATACTCTGGTTTTTCTCTGATCTTTCTCTGGTCTCTCTCTCTGGTCTCTCTCTCTGGTCCCTCTCTGGCCTCTCTCTCTGGTCTCTCTCTCTGGTCTCTCTGGCCTCTCTCTCTGGCCTCTCTCTCTGGCCTCTCTCTGGCCTCTCTCTCTGGCCTCTCTCTGGTCTCTCTCTCTGGTCTCTCTCTCTGGTCTCTCTCTCTGGCCTCTCTCTCTGATCTCTCTCTGGTTTCTCTCTCTGATCTCTCTCTGGCCTCTCTCTCTGATCTCTCTCTTTGGCCTCTCTCTCTGGTCTCTCGCTGGTCTCACTCTGGTCTCTCTTCAGGATAAATGGTCCCAGCTTCAGATCGAACACTCGGATCTTCGCGCCTCCATCTCTGAGATACAGAGTCTGACTTTTCAGTTTAAAGAGCGCACAAAGGTTCTCCTGCAGCAGGTGGACCAGGCCTGGACCAGAGACCAGCACCGTGACCAGGTCGGTGCAACATGGTGTATCTCTGTAGCGCCTCCTTGTGGTCTCAGTCTGAGTCTGTATGTGTCCAGCAGCTGATGCTACTGCAGCTGGAGCAGGAGGAGCTGAGGCTGGAGGAGGAGCGTGTCCTGAGCGAGCTGCAGAATGAGGAGGAGCTGTATGAGAGGCTGAAGGAGGAGGCGCAGGTGAGGGGGGGAAGGTGAGGTGAGAGTGAGCCGAGAGGAGCGCTGCACTCTCTCCTCCTCCTGCAGGCGTTACACTGTCTCCTCCTGTAGGTGGTGTCGGCGGCTCCAGAGCGCCCCCTGGTTTTCCGTGGTGTCACTGTGCCTGCAGACGCCCCGATCTTCCTCATGGATGCGCAGGTGCACCTCCCCATGGAGGGAGGGACAGCTCTCATCACCTTTGAGGAGGTGGAGGGTGAGACTGCGTCACTCTGTAACACACTGCAACACTCTGTAACACACTGCGACACTCTGTAACACACTGCGACACTCTGTAACACACTGCGACACTCTGTAACACACTGCGACACTCTGTAACACACTGCGTCACTCTGTAACACACTGCGACACTCTGTAACACACTGCGACACTCTGTAACACACTGCGACACTCTGTAACACACTGCGTCACTCTGTAACACACTGCGACACTCTGTAACACACTGCGACACTCTGTAACACACTGCGACACTCTGTAACACACTGCGACACACTGTAACACACTGCGACACTCTGTAACACACTGCGACACACTGTAACACACTGCGACACTCTGTAACACACTGCGACACTCTGTAACACACTGCGACACACTGTAACACACTGCGACACACTATTGTCTTTGTAGTCACTAAAATGGGATTTTTGGAATGTGAAAAAGGATGTGAGTCTTGTTTCAGTCTCAGTCACGGTCTCGGTCTCATTGCAGTCTCAGTCTCATCTCAGTCTTGTTGCAGTATCAGTCACGGTCTCGGCCTCATTGCAGTCTCAGTCCCGGTCTCAGTCTTGTCTCAGTCTCGTCTCAGTCTCGTCTCAGTCTCGTCTCAGTCACGGTCTCGGTCTCATTGCTGTCTCAGTCACGGTCTCGGTCTCATTGCTGTCTCAGTCACGGTCTCGGTCTCATTGCAGTCTCAGTCACGGTCTCGGTCTCATTGCAGTCTCAGTCACGGTCTCGGTCTCATTGCAGTCTCAGTCTCGTTCTCGGTCTCATTGCAGTCTCAGTCTCGTCTCAGTCTCGTTGCAGTCTCAGTCACGGTCTCGGTCTCATTGCAGTCTCAGTCACGGTCTTGGTCTCATTGCAGTCTCAGTCTCGTCTCAGTCTTGTTGCAGTCTCAGTCACGGTCTCGGCCTCGTTGCAGTCTCAGTCTCGTCTCAGTCTTGTTGCAGTCTCAGTCACGGTCTTGGTCTCATTGCAGTCTCAGTCTCGTCTCAGTCTTGTTGCAGTCTCAGTCACGGTCTCGGCCTCGTTGCAGTCTCAGTCTCGTCTCAGTCTTGTTGCAGTCTCAGTCACGGTCTTGGTCTCATTGCAGTCTCAGTCTCGTCTCAGTCTTGTTGCAGTCTCAGTCACGGTCTCGGCCTCGTTGCAGTCTCAGTCTCGTCTCAGTCTTGTTGCAGTCTCAGTCACGGTCTTGGTCTCGTTGCAGTCTCAGTCTCATTGCAGTCTCAGTCTCGGTCTCGGTCTCATTGCAGTCTCAGTCTCGTCTCAGTCTTGTTGCAGTCTCAGTCACGGTCTCGGTCTCATTGCAGTCTCAGTCACGGTCTTGGTCTCATTGCAGTCTCAGTCTCGTCTCAGTCTTGTTGCAGTCTCAGTCACGGTCTCTGTCTCATTTCAGTCTCGTCTCAGTCTTGTTGCAGTCTCAGTCACGGTCTCGGTCTCATTGCAGTCTCAGTCTCGTCTCAGTCTTGTTGCAGTCTCAGTCTCGGTCTCATTGCAGTCTCAGTCACGGTCTCGGTCTCATTGCAGTCTCAGTCACGGTCTCGGTCTCATTGCAGTGGCGGAGCCAGACTTTTAAACAGAGGGTGGCCAGGGGGTAGCAAGGGTTTATTTAAGGGGTCCACATTTATACTATTCCGAAATTTTATTTCACACAAAAACTGGCTAAACGATACATTTTAATCTTAATCTTGTCATTATTTCTAATATAAAGTGAACTGAGAGCACACTTGGAAACTACAAAGCAAAAAAGTGTATTTAAATAGTAGTCTGAACAAAAAAGTGCAAAATAACATAATTCAAACATTGCATTACATTTTTCTTTTAACAAATTTAGCGAATTCCTACGGTTCTGGTGTAAAGCAGCAAAGATGTTGACAAACTCATCCATATTCAGCCCTGAGCCTCCTTTACCCTACACTGAGGATACCAAGATGACTCAATCATCTGCCATAGTAGTTCTGAGATGGTTTTTAGGGCAGAGAAACTTATTTCACAAGACGCAGTACTGACAGGTATTAAAAAGAGTGTGTGTGAAAAAACGCCTTCTGCCAATAGACAATCCTGCACCTGTCTGCGACACCCTCTCATTCTCTGAAACTCAATTATATAAGCTATAATTTATTACAACACAACAAATTCCTCATCATCTCAAAACATACTGCCTCCGAGTCTGACCTTCAGGTGAGGTTTCATCATCCTGATCTACAGCCTTTTCTTAACAAAAAAAGGCCTGTAGGCAATGTTTCCTCCTTTTCTTTTCATGTTTACACTAAAGGGAAGAGGGCGATGATACGATGGGCAATGGAAAATACACACACAAGCACGCACGCACGCAGACACACGCACACAGGCACGCACACACGTACACAGGCACGCAGACCCACACTGGCACACACAGGCACACACACACACGCAGACACACTGGCACGCTGACACACGCACACAGGCACGCACACAGGCACGCACACGCACACATACACACACTAAAAGTTCTACAAACTGAACAAGTAATGCGCTGCAGTACGTGTGTCTATACTTTGTGTCAAATGTAAACGGTTGGCTCTGCATCGCTAACTTACCTCTTTGTTTTCATCACGACTTGGGCACATGTGAGTCCAACAACACAAAGCATTAGCATACAGCACTGGCTCCACACAGAGTCAGGGTGCGTTCACAGACGGGGGAAACCGTGGGAATTTTTAGCCTTTGGCGGAAAAAGTGCGGAAGATTCTCAAGATTAACATTATTACATTGCCGTCTTCCGAGGGGGGCACTGGGAGTGGCAAGGATATTTTTAGAGGTGGCAGTGGCCACCCTGGCTACCCCTCTGGCTCCGCCACTGTCTCATTGCAGTCTCAGTCTCGGTCTCATTGCAGTCTCGTCTCAGTCTTGTTGCAGTCTCCGTCTCAGTCTCGTCTCAGTCTTGTTGCAGTCTCAGTCACGGTCTCGGTCTCATTGCAGTCTCAGTCTCGTCTCAGTCTTGTTGCAGTCTCAGTCTCGGTCTCATTGCAGTCTCAGTCACGGTCTCGGTCTCATTGCAGTCTCAGTCTCGGTCTCATTGCAGTCTCGTCTCAGTCTTGTTGCAGTCTCCGTCTCAGTCTCGTCTCAGTCTTGTTGCAGTCTCAGTCACGGTCTCGGTCTCATTGCAGTCTCAGTCTCGTCTCAGTCTTGTTGCAGTCTCAGTCTCGGTCTCATTGCAGTCTCAGTCACGGTCTCGGTCTCATTGCAGTCTCAGTCTCGGTCTCATTGCAGTCTCGTCTCAGTCTTGTTGCAGTCTCAGTCACGGTCTCGGTCTCATTGCAGTCTCAGTCTCGTCTCAGTCTTGTTGCAGTCTCAGTCTCGGTCTCATTGCAGTCTCAGTCACGGTCTCGGTCTCATTGCAGTCTCAGTCTCGGTCTCATTGCAGTCTCGTCTCAGTCTTGTTGCAGTCTCCGTCTCAGTCTTGTTGCAGTCTCAGTCACGGTCTCGGTCTCATTGCAGTCTCAGTCTCGGTCTCATTGCAGTCTCAGTCACAGTCTCGGCCTCATTGCAGTCTCAGTCACGGTCTCGGTCTCATTGCAGTCTCAGTCACGGTCTCGGTCTCATTGCTGTCTCAGTCACGGTCTCGGTCTCATTGCTGTCTCAGTCACGGTCTCGGTCTCATTGCAGTCTCAGTCACGGTCTCGGTCTCATTGCTGTCTCAGTCACGGTCTCGGTCTCATTGCAGTCTCAGTCACGGTCTCGGTCTCATTGCTGTCTCAGTCACGGTCTCGGTCTCATTGCTGTCTCAGTCACGGTCTCGGTCTCATTGCAGTCTCAGTCACGGTCTCGGTCTCATTGCTGTCTCAGTCACGGTCTCGGTCTCATTGCAGTCTCGGTCACGGTCTCGGTCTCATTGCTGTCTCAGTCACGGTCTCGGTCTCATTGCAGTCTCAGTCACGGTCTCGGTCTCATTGCTGTCTCAGTCACGGTCTCGGTCTCATTGCAGTCTCAGTCACGGTCTCGGTCTCATTGCTGTCTCAGTCACAGTCTCGGTCTCATTGCAGTCTCAGTCACGGTCTCGGCCTCATTGCTGTCTCAGTCACAGTCTCGGTCTCATTGCAGTCTCAGTCACGGTCTCGGCCTCATTGCAGTCTCAGTCACGGTCTCGGTCTCATTGCAGTCTCAGTCACGGTCTCGGCCTCATTGCAGTCTCGTCTCAGTCTCGTCTCAGTCTTGTTGCTGTCTCAGTCACGGTCTCGGTCTCATTGCTGTCTCAGTCACGGTCTCGGTCTCATTGCAGTCTCAGTCACGGTCTCGGTCTCATTGCTGTCTCAGTCACAGTCTCGGTCTCATTGCAGTCTCAGTCACGGTCTCGGCCTCATTGCTGTCTCAGTCACAGTCTCGGTCTCATTGCAGTCTCAGTCACGGTCTCGGCCTCATTGCAGTCTCAGTCACGGTCTCGGTCTCATTGCAGTCTCAGTCACGGTCTCGGCCTCATTGCAGTCTCGTCTCAGTCTCGTCTCAGTCTTGTTGCTGTCTCAGTCACGGTCTCGGTCTCATTGCTGTCTCAGTCACGGTCTCGGTCTCATTGCAGTCTCAGTCACGGTCTCGGTCTCATTGCTGTCTCAGTCACAGTCTCGGTCTCATTGCAGTCTCAGTCACGGTCTCGGCCTCATTGCAGTCTCGTCTCAGTCTCGTCTCAGTCTTGTTGCTGTCTCAGTCACGGTCTCGGTCTCATTGCAGTCTCAGTCACGGTCTCGGCCTCATTGCAGTCTCAGTCACGGTCTCGGTCTCATTGCAGTCTCAGTCTCGGTCTCATTGCTGTCTCAGTCACAGTCTCGGTCTCATTGCAGTCTCAGTCACGGTCTCGGCCTCATTGCAGTCTCGTCTCAGTCTCGTCTCAGTCTTGTTGCTGTCTCAGTCACGGTCTCGGTCTCATTGCTGTCTCAGTCACGGTCTCGGTCTCATTGCAGTCTCAGTCACGGTCTCGGTCTCATTGCTGTCTCAGTCACAGTCTCGGTCTCATTGCAGTCTCAGTCACGGTCTCGGCCTCATTGCAGTCTCGTCTCAGTCTCGTCTCAGTCTTGTTGCTGTCTCAGTCACGGTCTCGGTCTCATTGCAGTCTCAGTCACGGTCTCGGCCTCATTGCAGTCTCAGTCACGGTCTCGGTCTCATTGCAGTCTCAGTCTCGGTCTCATTGCTGTCTCAGTCACAGTCTCGGTCTCATTGCAGTCTCAGTCACGGTCTCGGCCTCATTGCAGTCTCAGTCACGGTCTCGGTCTCGGTCTCATTGCAGTCTCAGTCACGGTCTCGGCCTCATTGCAGTCTCGTCTCAGTCTCGTCTCAGTCTTGTTGCTGTCTCAGTCACGGTCTCGGTCTCATTGCTGTCTCAGTCACGGTCTCGGTCTCATTGCAGTCTCAGTCACGGTCTCGGTCTCATTGCTGTCTCAGTCACAGTCTCGGTCTCATTGCAGTCTCAGTCACGGTCTCGGCCTCATTGCAGTCTCGTCTCAGTCTCGTCTCAGTCTTGTTGCTGTCTCAGTCACGGTCTCGGTCTCATTGCAGTCTCAGTCACGGTCTCGGCCTCATTGCAGTCTCAGTCACGGTCTCGGTCTCATTGCAGTCTCAGTCACGGTCTCGGTCTCATTGCTGTCTCAGTCACAGTCTCGGTCTCATTGCAGTCTCAGTCACGGTCTCGGCCTCATTGCAGTCTCGTCTCAGTCTCGTCTCAGTCTTGTTGCTGTCTCAGTCACGGTCTCGGTCTCATTGCTGTCTCAGTCACGGTCTCGGTCTCATTGCAGTCTCAGTCACGGTCTCGGTCTCATTGCTGTCTCAGTCACAGTCTCGGTCTCATTGCAGTCTCAGTCACGGTCTCGGCCTCATTGCAGTCTCGTCTCAGTCTCGTCTCAGTCTTGTTGCTGTCTCAGTCACGGTCTCGGTCTCATTGCAGTCTCAGTCACGGTCTCGGCCTCATTGCAGTCTCAGTCACGGTCTCGGTCTCATTGCAGTCTCAGTCTCGGTCTCATTGCTGTCTCAGTCACAGTCTCGGTCTCATTGCAGTCTCAGTCACGGTCTCGGCCTCATTGCAGTCTCAGTCACGTGTCTCGGTCTCATTGCAGTCTCAGTCTCGGTCTCATTGCTGTCTCAGTCACAGTCTCGGTCTCATTGCAGTCTCAGTCACGGTCTCGGCCTCATTGCAGTCTCGTTACAGTGGCTCAGAGGATCTTGTCGATGCACAGACACAAAGTGGATCTGGGAGGAGAGTTCTACATGAACGTGGAGGCGAGAGGAGTCACCATCACCTCCCCCTGCACCGTGGAGGTGTGTGTGTCTGTGTGTGTGTGTGTGTGTGTGTGTGTCTGTGTCTGTCTGTGTGTGTGCGCCTGTCAGAGTGTGTGTGCCTGTCAGAGTGTGTGTGTCTGTGTGTGTGTCTGTGTGTGTCAGTGTTTGTGCCTGTCAGTGTGTGTCTGTGTGTGTCAATGTGTGTCAGTGTGTGTCTGTGTGTGTCTGTGTGTGTGTATGTCTGTGTGTGTGTCTGTCTGTGTGTGTGTCTGTGTGTGTATGTCAACCTGTCAGTGTGTGTGTCTGTGTGTGTATGTCAACCTGTCAGTGTGTTTCTGTGTGTGTATGTCAGTGTGTGTCTGTGTGTGTATGTCAACCTGTCAGTGTGTGTGTCTGTGTGTGTATGTCAGCCTGTCAGTGTGTGTGTCTGTGTGTGTATGTCAGCGTGTGTGTCTGTGTGTGTATGTCAGCCTGTCAGTGTGTGTGTGTGTTGCTTCAACCTCTGATGCAGACAAGTCACTCTAGTACAGGCTGCACTTGAACATAAGCCTCAGGTTCATGTTGTGATGTCACATGTCACCAGCTGCTGATGAGAAAAATATGAGGAGGATTTTTAACAATTGCCTCGAGAGCAAAGCACTCTGGGAAATCCAGTCTGCTTTAACAATTAGATTCTGTTAGCCACACCCTCCTCTGCTGTTCACATAAACCCCGGTGGGGGCGGGTCTTAGCTCAACTTCTTTACTCTGGAAAACTGCTTTACATTTTACTTGTTTGATTTTTAAACAATGGTCCAATGTTCCTGGTCCCACCATGTGTCTCCCGTGGCATCCCCTGCAGGTCCAGGTGCAGGTGTGTCCCCACATGGTCCTGGTCTCTGGTCTCCCTCAGATGGACTCGCAGACTCTGCAGGACAAACTCCACATCCACTTCTCACGGAGCAAGAACGGAGGCGGCGAAGTGGATGAGGTCCATCTGCAGGAGGGAGGTGGAACTGCAACCATCAGCTTTGTCAATGATGATGGTGTGTGTTTGTGTGTGTGTGTGTATGTGTGTGTCTCTGTATGTGTGTCTCACTGTGTCCTTGTGTTGCTACAGTCTCCAAACGTCTGACAGATAAACAGTTTCATGACGTGAAACTGACAGAAGGAGTTCACAGAGTCAGAGTCAGTCCCTTTCTGAGCGGTGACATCACTCACCTACAGGTACTAGTACTGCTGCTGCTGCTGCTACTGCTGCTACTGCTGCTGCTGCTGCTGCCACTCCTCCACCTTCTAATCCTTTTCCTCTGTCTCTCCTCAGAGCCGCAGAGACCTGTGCCTCAGGACGGTGCTCCTCACTGGGATCCCAGACATAGCAGATCCTGAGTCTCTCCAGGACCTGATAGAGATCCACTTCCAGAGGAGCTCCAGCGGAGGGGGGGAGGTGGAGGGCCTCCTGTATTGTCCTGAGGGGAAGAGGCGGACCGCCCTGCTCTGCTCCAAGAAGAGGGAGTGAGGAGGGGGTTCTAATTTGTCAAAAAGTTTATGAAGGGTTTTGTGGATGAAGATTAAAAAAAACTAAATAATATTAAGTAGAATATGTGTGGGCTCATTATTTTATCATGGTCTGCATAAACATGAATGTTGTGTAATACCCTCTTCTGCCACCAGAGGTCTTTGTATTCTGTACCTCTGACTGTGTGTTTGGTTATTCCATTATAGTTATGGTCGCGTGCACGTGACAGACTGTACAACGTAAAAGAGAAAAGTCTCAAACGTTTCGAACAGAAATAGACTTTAATGTAAAAACAGTAACATTTCATCACGGAAAAGGTTTCACTAAAATGTTATCCACCCAAAGCAGCAGCAGGCACTTAACAGGACCAAGGACCAGGACCAAGACACAGGACCAGGACCAAGACCCAGGACCAGGACCCAGGACCAGGACCTTCACCCTCAGACTTTCCTTCACGTTTCCACAGGTCAAGACAAACTTGTACAGTTCCAGTTCAGTATTTTCAAATTAGGTAACTTTTTTTAAAGGTTTTATTTTTTTATTTAAAATTCTCAAAGGTCATCTGAATCTCAAACTACATTCAGATTTCTTACAGAAAAAAACTATCTAAAAAAATGGAAAACATCTCTAAAATTAGGAAAGAAACTAACAAAACAGATTTTATCCGAATGCTACAAACGAGAAATAAACGGCTGAATTCAGAATCAGAAACACGACCATAAAGTGTGACCACAGAGTGTGAGCCTTAAACAGATGATTATTACAAACGGTTTGAGTCAAATGGAGCCTAGCTTCATTAAGCTAACGCATTAGCATTGTGCGTCGCTAACCGTAGTCTGATGTCTTTGTCTGACATTATTGTTAGGAACAAAACACTTTAATGTTTTACTGATGAAAATAAATAGTTTCCTTTGATAAATGAATGTAACATTTAAAAAGTAGATTCTGAAGAAAACCGTTTTGTTTTTGCAGACTACACTTGGTGCAAATTTAACAAATATATTTTTCTTCTCAATAAAAACAGTGCTTTTCCAGAGAAACAACTGCTGTAACAGTCACATGTTCGTTATTATCTGCAGTAACAGAGGAGTGTGTCTTTGTGTGAGTCGGAGAAATGTGCGTCGGAAAAGTGTGCGTCGGAGAAGTGTGCGTTGGAGAAGTGAGCGTCCGTTGAACTGGAGATGATTCTCACACAACCAGCGGCGCCCAGTCGCTCACTTTGCGTCCATACTGCGGAGAGAGGTTTAAACAGAATTACATTCAGCATCAGTCATGTGGCATCAGTCATGTGACATCAGTCATGTGGCATCAGTCATGTGACATCAGTCATGTGGCATCAGTCATGTGACATCAGTCATGTGACATCAGTCATGTGGCATCAGTCATGTGGCATCAGTCATGTGGCATCAGTCATGTGGCATCAGTCATGTGGCATCAGTCATGTGACATCAGTCATGTGACATCAGTCATGTGACATCAGTCATGTGACATCAGTCATGTGACATCAGTCATGTGGCATCAGTCATGTGGCATCAGTCATGTGGCATCAGTCATGAGGCATCAGTCATGTGGCATCAGTCATGTGACATCAGTCATGTGACATCAGTCATGTGACATCAGTCATGTGGCATCAGTCATGTGGCATCAGTCATGTGGCATCAGTCATGTGGCATCAGTCATGAGGCATCAGTCATGTGACATCAGTCATGTGACATCAGTCATGTGGCATCAGTCATGAGGCATCAGTCATGAGGCATCAGTCATGTGACATCAGTCATGTGACATCAGTCATGAGGCATCAGTCATGTGACATCAGTCATGTGGCATCAGTCATGTGGCATCAGTCATGAGGCATCAGTCATGTGGCATCAGTCATGTGACATCAGTCATGTGGCATCAGTCATGTGGCATCAGTCATGTGGCATCAGTCATGTGACATCAGTCATGTGGCATCAGTCATGTGACATCAGTCATGTGGCATCAGTCATGAGGCATCAGTCATGTGGCATCAGTCATGTGACATCAGTCATGTGACATCAGTCATGAGGCATCAGTCATGTGGCATCAGTCATGTGGCATCAGTCATGTGACATCAGTCATGTGGCATCAGTCATGAGGCATCAGTCATGTGGCATCAGTCATGTGGCATCAGTCATGAGGCATCAGTCATGTGACATCAGTCATGTGACATCAGTCATGAGGCATCAGTCATGAGGCATCAGTCATGTGGCATCAGTCATGTGACATCAGTCATGAGGCATCAGTCATGAGGCATCAGTCATGTGGCATCAGTCATGTGGCATCAGTCATGTGGCATCAGTCATGTGGCATCAGTCATGTGACATCAGTCATGTGACATCAGTCATGTGACATCAGTCATGTGGCATCAGTCATGTGGCATCAGTCATGTGGCATCAGTCATGAGGCATCAGTCATGTGGCATCAGTCATGTGACATCAGTCATGTGGCATCAGTCATGAGGCATCAGTCATGAGGCATCAGTCATGTGACATCAGTCATGTGACATCAGTCATGAGGCATCAGTCATGTGACATCAGTCATGTGGCATCAGTCATGTGGCATCAGTCATGTGGCATCAGTCATGTGACATCAGTCATGTGGCATCAGTCATGTGACATCAGTCATGTGACATCAGTCATGTGACATCAGTCATGTGACATCAGTCATGTGGCATCAGTCATGTGGCATCAGTCATGAGGCATCAGTCATGTGGCATCAGTCATGTGACATCAGTCATGTGGCATCAGTCATCAGTCATGTGACATCAGTCATGTGACTGTATAAGTCATGTGACAGTCATGTGACAGTCATGTGACATCAGTCATGTGACATCAGTCATGTGGCATCAGTCATGTGACATCAGTCATGTGGCATCAGTCATGAGGCATCAGTCATGTGGCATCAGTCATGTGGCATCAGTCATGTGGCATCAGTCATGTGACATCAGTCATGTGACATCAGTCATGTGGCATCAGTCATGAGGCATCAGTCATGTGGCATCAGTCATGTGGCATCAGTCATGTGGCATCAGTCATGTGACATCAGTCATGTGGCATCAGTCATGTGGCATCAGTCATGAGGCATCAGTCATGTGGCATCAGTCATGAGGCATCAGTCATGTGGCATCAGTCATGTGACATCAGTCATGTGGCATCAGTCATGTGGCATCAGTCATGAGGCATCAGTCATGTGGCATCAGTCATGTGGCATCAGTCATGAGGCATCAGTCATGTGGCATCAGTCATGTGACATCAGTCATGTGGCATCAGTCATGTGGCATCAGTCATGTGGCATCAGTCATGTGACATCAGTCATGTGACATCAGTCATGAGGCATCAGTCATGTGGCATCAGTCATGAGGCATCAGTCATGTGACATCAGTCATGTGGCATCAGTCATGTGACAGTCATGTGACAGTCATGTGGCATCAGTCATGTGGCATCAGTCATGTGGCATCTGTCATGAGGCATCAGTCATGTGGCATCAGTCATGAGGCATCAGTCATGTGACATCAGTCATGTGACATCAGTCATTTGGCATCAGTCATGTGACATCAGTCATGTGACATCAGTCATGAGGCATCAGTCATGAGGCATCAGTCATGTGACATCAGTCATGTGGCATCAGTCATGTGACATCAGTCATGTGACATCAGTCATGTGGCATCAGTCATGTGGCATCAGTCATGTGGCATCAGTCATGTGACATCAGTCATGTGACATCAGTCATGTGGCATCAGTCATGTGGCATCAGTCATGTGGCATCAGTCATGTGGCATCAGTCATGTGGCATCAGTCATGAGGCATCAGTCATGAGGCATCAGTCATGTGGCATCAGTCATGTGGCATCAGTCATGTGGCATCAGTCATGTGACATCAGTCATTTGGCATCAGTCATGTGGCATCAGTCATGTGACATCAGTCATGTGACATCAGTCATGTGACATCAGTCATGTGGCATCAGTCATGTGACATCAGTCATGTGGCATCAGTCATGTGACATCAGTCATTTGGCATCAGTCATGTGGCATCAGTCATGTGACATCAGTCATGTGGTAACTCATATGAAGCATACGGTATGAAGCATCTGGTATGGGGCATCAGGACCCCACACTGGGGCATCAGGACCCCACACAGGGGCCTCTCTCACCTGGATGTCCGTGAGCTCGGTGTAAAAACGTTTTGCCAAATCTGGTCCATTCTTCATAGTGGGAATATGGTACGTCTGAAACAGAGGATTATTAGACGTCTCTCTCTCGCTCTGGTCTCTCTCTCGCTCTGGTATCTCTCTCTCGCTCTGGTCTCTCTCTCGCTCTGGTCTCTCTGGTCTCTCTCTCTCTCGCTCTGGTCTCTCTCTCTCTCGCTCTGGTCTCTCTCTCTCTCTCGCTCTGGTCTCTCTCGCTCTGGTCTCTCTCTCGCTCTGGTCTCTCTCTCTCTCTCGCTCTGGTCTCTCTCTCTCGCTCTGGTCTCTCTCTCTCGCTCTGGTCTCTCTCTCTTTCGCTCTGGTCTCTCTCTCTCTGGTCTCTCTCTCGCTCTGGTCTCTCTCTCTCTCTCTCTGGTCTCTCTCTCTCTCGCTCTGGTCTCTCTCTCTCGCTCTGGTCTCTCTCTCTCTGCTCTGGTCTCTCTCTCTCTCTGGTCTCTCTCTCTCTCTCTCTGGTCTCTCTCTCTCTCTCTCTGGTCTCTCTCTCTCTCGCTCTGGTCTCTCTCTCTCTCTCGCTCTGGTCTCTCTCTCTCTCGCTCTTCTCTCTCTCGCTCTGGTCTCTCTCTCTCTCGCTCTGGTCTCTCTCTCTCTCTCTCGCTCTGGTCTCTCTCTCTCTCTCGCTCTGGTCTCTCTCTCTCTCGCTCTTCTCTCTCGCGCTCTGGTCTCTCTCTCTCTCGCTCTGGTCTCTCTCTCTCTCTCTCGCTCTGGTCTCTCTCTCTCGCGCTCTGGTCTCTCTCGCTCTGGTCTCTCTCTCTCTCTGGTCTCTCTCAGGGTCTCTCTCTGGTCTCTCTCTCTCTCTCGCTCTGGTCTCTCTCTCTCTCGCTCTGGTCTCTCTCTCTCGCTCTGGTCTCCCTCTCTCGCTCTGGTCTCTCTCTCCCTCTCTCGCTCTGGTCTCTCTCTCCCTCTCTCGCTCTGGTCTCTCTCGCTCTGGTCTCTCTCGCTCTGGTCTCTCTCTCTCTCTCTGGTCTCTCTCTCTCTCGCTCTGGTCTCTCTCTCTCTCGCTCTGGTCTCTCTCGCTCTGGTCTCTCTCGCTCTGGTCTCTCTCTCTCTCGCTCTGGTCTCTCTCTCTCTCGCTCTGGTCTCTATCTCTCTCGCTCTGGTCTCTCTCTCTCTGGTCTCTTTCTCTCGCTCTGGTCTCCCTCTCTCGCTCTGGTCTCTCTCTCTCTGGTCTCTTTCTCTCGCTCTGGTCTCCCTCTCTCGCTCTGGTCTCTCTCTCGCTCTGGTCTCTCTCTCTCGCTCTGGTCTCTCTCTCGCTCTGGTCTCTCTCTCGCTCTGGTCTCTCTCTCGCTCTGGTCTCTCTCTCTCTCGCTCTGGTCTCTCTCTCGCTCTGGTCTCTCTCTCTCTCGCTCTCTCGCTCTGGTCTCTCTCTCTCTCGCTCTGGTCTCTCTCTCTCGCTCTGGTCTCTCTCTCTCTCTGGTCTCTCTCTCTCGCTCTGGTCTCTCTCTCTCTCGCTCTGGTCTCTCTCTCTCTCGCTCTGGTCTCTCTCTCTCTCGCTCTGGTCTCTCTCTCTCTCGCTCTGGTCTCTCTCTCTCTCGCTCTGGTCTCTCTCTCTCTCGCTCTGGTCTCTCTCTCTCGCTCTGGTCTCTCTCTCTCGCTCTGGTCTCTCTCTCTCGCTCTGGTCTCTCTCTCTCGCTCTGGTCTCTCTCTCTCGCTCTGGTCTCTCGCTCTGGTCTCTCTCTCTGGTCTCTCTCTCTCGCTCTGGTCTCTCTCTCTCGCTCTGGTCTCTCTCTCTCTCGCTCTGGTCTCTCTCTCTCTCTCGCTCTGGTCTCTCTCTCTCTCTCGCTCTGGTCTCTCTCTCTCTCGCGCTCTGGTCTCTCTCTCTCGCTCTGGTCTCTCTCTCTCTCGCTCTGGTCTCTCTCTCGCGCTCTGGTCTCTCTCTCTCGCTCTGGTCTCTCTCTCTCTCGCTCTGGTCTCTCTCTCTCGCTCTGGTCTCTCTCTCTCTCGCTCTGGTCTCTCTCTCTCGCTCTGGTCTCTCTCTCTCGCTCTGGTCTCTCTCTCTCTCTCGCTCTGGTCTCTCTCTCTCGCGCTCTGGTCTCTCTCTCGCGCTCTGGTCTCTCTCGCTCTGGTCTCTCTCTCTCGCTCTGGTCTCCCTCTCTCGCTCTGGTCTCTCTCTCCCTCTCTCGCTCTGGTCTCTCTCTCCCTCTCTCGCTCTGGTCTCTCTCTCCCTCTCTCGCTCTGGTCTCTCTCGCTCTGGTCTCTCTCTCTCGCGCTCTGGTCTCTCTCGCTCTGGTCTCTCTCTCTCTCGCTCTGGTCTCTCTCTCTCTCGCTCTGGTCTCCCTCTCTCGCTCTGGTCTCTCTCTCCCTCTCTCGCTCTGGTCTCTCTCTCCCTCTCTCGCTCTGGTCTCTCTCTCCCTCTCTCGCTCTGGTCTCTCTCGCTCTGGTCTCTCTCTCGCTCTGGTCTCTCTCTCTCTCGCTCTGGTCTCTCTCTCTCTCGCTCTGGTCTCTCTCTCTCTCGCTCTGGTCTCTCTCTCTCTCGCTCTGGTCTCTCTCTCTCTCGCTCTGGTCTCTCTCTCTCTCGCTCTGGTCTCTCTCTCTCTCGCTCTGGTCTCTCTCTCTCTCGCTCTGGTCTCTCTCTCTCGCTCTGGTCTCTCTCTCTCGCTCTGGTCTCTCTCTCTCGCTCTGGTCTCTCTCTCTCGCTCTGGTCTCTCTCTCTCTCGCTCTGGTCTCTCTCTCTCTCGTTCTGGTCTCTCTCTCGCTCTGGTCTCTCTCGCTCTGGTCTCTCTCTCTCGCTCTGGTCTCTCTCTCTCGCTCTGGTCTCTCTCTCTCGCTCTGGTCTCTCTCTCTCGCTCTGGTCTCTCTCGCTCTGGTCTCTCTCTCTCGCTCTGGTCTCTCTCTCTCGCTCTGGCTCTCTCCCTCTCTCGCTCTGGTCTCTCTCGCTCTGGTCTCTCTCGCTCTCTCTCGCTCTGGTCTCTCTCTCTCGCTCTGGTCTCTCTCGCTCTGGTCTCTCTCTCTCTCGCTCTGGTCTCTTCTCTCTCTCGCTCTGGTCTCTCTCTCTCTCTCTGCTCGCTGGTCTCTCTCTCTCTCGCTCTGGTCTCTCTCTCGCTCGCTCTGGTCTCTCTCTCTCTCGCTCTGGTCTCTCTCTCTCTCTCTCGCTCTGGTCTCTCTCTCTCTCGCTCTGGTCTCTCTCTCTCTCGCTCGCTCTCTCTCTCTCTCTCGCTCTGGTCTCTCTCTCTCTCGCTCTGGTCTCTCTCTCTCTCGCTCTGGTCTCTCTCTCTCTCGCTCTGGTCTCTCTCTCTCTCGCTCTGGTCTCTCTCGCTCTGGTCTCTCTCTCTCGCTCTGGTCTCTCTCTCTCGCTCTGGTCTCTCTCTCTCGCTCTGGTCTCTCTCTCTCGCTCTGGTCTCTCTCTCTCGCTCTGGTCTCTCTCTCTCGCTCTGGTCTCTCTCTCTCGCTCTGGTCTGTCTCTCTCTCTCGCTCTGGTCTCTCTCTCTCTCGCTCTGGTCTCTCTCTCTCGCTCTGGTCTCTCTCTCTCGCTCTGGTCTCTCTCTCTCGCTCTGGTCTCTCTCTCTCGCTCTGGTCTCTCTCTCTCGCTCTGTCTCTCTCTCTCGCTCTGGTCTCTCTCTCTCGCTCTGGTCTCTCTCTCTCGCTCTGGTCTCTCTCTCTCTCGCTCTGGTCTCTCTCGCTCTGGTCTCTCTCTCTCTCTCTCTCTCTCGCTCTGGTCTCTCTCTCTCTCGCTCTGGTCTCTCTCTCTCTCGCTCTGGTCTCTCTCTCTCTCGCTCTGGTCTCTCTCTCTCTCGCTCTGGTCTCTCTCTCTCTCGCTCTGGTCTCTCTCTCTCTCGCTCTGGTCTCTCTCTCTCGCTCTGGTCTCTCTCTCTCGCTCTGGTCTCTCTCTCTCGCTCTGGTCTCTCTCTCTCGCTCTGGTCTCTCTCTCTCGCTCTGGTCTCTCTCTCTCGCTCTGGTCTCTCTCTCTCGCTCTGGTCTCTCTCTCTCTCGCTCTGGTCTCTCTCTCTCTCGCTCTGGTCTCTCTCGCTCTGGTCTCTCTCGCTCTGGTCTCTCTCGCTCTGGCTCTCTCTCTCTCTCTCTCGCTCTGGTCTCTCTCTCTCGCTCTGGTCTCTCTCTCTCGCTCTGGTCTCTCTCTCTCGCTCTGGCTCTCTCTCTCTTGCTCTGGTCTCTCTCGCTCTGGTCTCTCTCTCACTCTGGTCTCTCTCCCTCTCTCGCTCTGGTCTCTCTCGCTCTGGTCTCTCTCTCGCTCTGGTCTCTCTCGCTCTGGTCTCTCTCGCGCTCTGGTCTCTCTCGCTCTGGTCTCTCTCTCTCTCGCTCTGGTCTCTCTCTCTCTCGCTCTGGTCTCTCTCTCTCTCGCTCTGGTCTCTCTCTCTCTCGCTCTGGTCTCTCTCTCTCTCGCTCTGGTCTCTCTCTCTCTCGCTCTGGTCTCTCTCGCTCTGGTCTCTCTCTCTCTCTCTGGTCTCTCTCTCTCTCGCTCTGGTCTCTCTCGCTCTGGTCTCTCTCTCTCTCGCTCTGGTCTCTCTCTCTCGCTCTGGTCTCTCTCTCTCGCTCTGGTCTCTCTCGCTCTGGTCTCTCTCCCTCTCTCGCTCTGGTCTCTCTCGCTCTGGTCTCTCTCTTGCTCTGGTCTCTCTCTTGCTCTGGTCTCTCTCTCTCTCGCTCTGGTCTCTCTCTCTCGCTCTGGTCTCTCTCGCTCTGGTCTCTCTCTCTCTCGCTCTGCTCTCTCTCTCTCTCTCTCTCTCGCTCTGGTCTCTCTCTCTCTCTCTCTCGCTCTGGTCTCTCTCTCTCTCGCTCTGGTCTCTCTCTCTCTCGCTCTGGTCTCTCTCTCTCGCTCTGGTCTCTCTCCCTCTCTCGCTCTGGTCTCTCTCCCTCTCTCGCTCTGGTCTCTCTCGCTCTCTCGCTCTGGTCTCTCTCGCTCTGGTCTCTCTCGCTCTGGTCTCTCTCTCTCTCTCTCTCTCTCTCTCGCTCTGGTCTCTCTCTCTCTCGCTCTGGTCTCTCTCGCTCTGGTCTCTCTCTCTCTCGCTCTGGTCTCTCTCTCTCTCGCTCTGGTCTCTCTCTCTCTCGCTCTGGTCTCTCTCTCTCTCGCTCTGGTCTCTCTCTCTCTCGCTCTGGTCTCTCTCTCTCTCGCTCTGGTCTCTCTCTCTCTCGCTCTGGTCTCTCTCTCTCTCGCTCTGGTCTCTCTCTCGCTCTGGTCTCTCTCTCTCGCTCTGGTCTCTCTCTCTCGCTCTGGTCTCTCTCTCTCGCTCTGGTCTCTCTCTCTCGCTCTGGTCTCTCTCTCTCGCTCTGGTCTCTCTCTCTCTCGCTCTGGTCTCTCTCGCTCTGGTCTCTCTCTCGCTCTGGTCTCTCTCGCTCTGGCTCTCTCTCTCTCGCTCTGGTCTCTCTCGCTCTGGTCTCTCTCGCTCTGGTCTCTCTCTCTCTCTCGCTCTGGTCTCTCTCTCTCTCTCGCTCTGGTCTCTCTCTCTCTCGCTCTGGTCTCTCTCTCTCTCGCTCTGGTCTCTCTCTCTCTCGCTCTGGTCTCTCTCTCTCTCGCTCTGGTCTCTCTCTCTCTCGCTCTGGTCTCTCTCTCTCTCGCTCTGGTCTCTCTCTCTCTCTGCTCTGGTCTCTCTCGCTCTGGTCTCTCTCTCGCTCTGGTCTCTCTCTCGCTCTGGTCTCTCTCTCTCGCTCTGGTCTCTCTCTCTCGCTCTGGTCTCTCTCTCTCGCTCTGGTCTCTCTCTCTCTCGCTCTGGTCTCTCTCTCGCTCTGGTCTCTCTCTCTCTCGCTCTGGTCTCTCTCTCGCTCTGGTCTCTCTCGCTCTGGTCTCTCTCGCTCTGGTCTCTCTCTCTCTCGCTCTCGCTCTGGTCTCTCTCTCTCTCGCTCTGGTCTCTCTCTCTCTCGCTCTGGTCTCTCTCTCTCGCTCTGGTCTCTCTCTCTCGCTCTGGTCTCTCTCGCTCTGGTCTCTCTCGCTCTGGTCTCTCTCGCTCTGGTCTCTCTCGCTCTGGTCTCTCTCGCTCTGGTCTCTCTCTCGTCTGTCTCTGCTCTCTCTCTCGCTCTGGTCTCTCTCGCTCTGGTCTCTCTCGCTCTGGTCTCTCTCTCTCTCGCTCTGGTCTCTCTCTCTCTCGCTCTGGTCTCTCTCTCTCTCGCTCTGGTCTCTCTCTCTCTCGCTCTGGTCTCTCTCTCTCTCGCTCTGGTCTCTCTCTCTCGCTCTGGTCTCTCTCTCTCGCTCTGGTCTCTCTCTCTCGCTCTGGTCTCTCTCTCTCGCTCTGGTCTCTCTCTCTCGCTCTGGTTCTCTCTCTCGCTCTGGTCTCTCTCTCTCTCTCGCTCTGGTCTCTCTCTCTCGCCTCTCTGGCTCTCTCTCGCTCTGGTCTCTCTCTCGCTCTGTCTCTGGTCTCTCTCGCTCTCGCTCTGGTCTCTCTCTCTCTCGCTCTGGTCTCTCTCTCTCTCGCTCTGGTCTCTCTCTCGCTCTGGTCTCTCTCTCTCGCTCTGGTCTCTCTCTCTCGCTCTGGTCTCTCTCTCTCGCTCTCTCTCTCTCTCTCTCTCTCGCTCTCCTCTGTCTCTCTCTCTCTCGCTCTGGTCTCTCTCTCTCTCTCGCTCTGGTCTCTCTCTCTCGCTCTGGTCTCTCTCTCTCTCGCTCTGGTCTCTCTCTCTCGCTCTGGTCTCTCTCTCTCGCTCTGGTCTCTCTCTCTCGCTCTGGTCTCTCTCTCTCGCTCTGGTCTCTCTCTCTCTCGCTCTGGTCTCTCTCTCTCGCTCTGGTCTCTCTCTCTCGCTCTGGTCTCTCTCTCTCGCTCTGGTCTCTCTCTCTCTCGCTCTGGTCTCTCTCTCTCTCGCTCTGGTCTCTCTCTCTCTCGCTCTGGTCTCTCTCTCTCTCTCTCGCTCTGGTCTCTCTCTCTCTCGCTCTGGTCTCTCTCTCGCTCTGGTCTCTCTCTCGCTCTGGTCTCTCTCGCTCTGGTCTCTCTCGCTCTGGTCTCTCTCGCTCTGGTCTCTCTCGCTCTGGTCTCTCTCTCGCTCTGGTTTCTCTCTCTCGCTCTGGTCTCTCTCTCTCTCGCTCTGGTCTCTCTCTCGCTCTCTCTCTCTCTGGTCTCTCTCTCTCTCTCTCGCTCTGGTCTCTCTCTCTCTCGCTCTGGTCTCTCTCTCTCTCGCTCTGGTCTCTCTCTCTCTCTCGCTCTGGTCTCTCTCTCTCTCTCGCTCTGGTCTCTCTCTCTCTCTCGCTCTGGTCTCTCTCTCTCTCGCTCTGGTCTCTCTCTCTCTCGCTCTGGTCTCTCTCTCTCGCTCTGGTCTCTCTCTCTCTCTGGCTCTGGTCTCTCTCTCTCGCTCTGGTCTCTCTCTCTCGCTCTGGTCTCTCTCTCTCGCTCTGGTCTCTCTCTCTCGCTCTGGTCTCTCTCTCTCGCTCTGGTCTCTCTCTCTCTCTCTCTCGCTCTGGTCTCTCTCGCTCTGGTCTCTCTCTCTCTCTCGCTCTGGTCTCTCTCTCTCGCGCTCTGGTCTCTCTCTCTCGCGCTCTGGTCTCTCTCTCTCGCGCTCTGGTCTCTCTCTCTCGCTCTGGTCTCTCTCTCTCTCGCTCTGGTCTCTCTCTCTCGCTCTGGTCTCTCTCTCTCTCTCGCTCTGGTCTCTCTCTCTCTCGCTCTGGTCTCTCTCGCTCTCGCTCTGGTCTCTCTCGCTCTGGTCTCTCTCTCCTCTCTCTCGCTCTGGTCTCTCTCTCCCTCTCTCGCTCTGGTCTCTCTCTCCCTCTCTCGCTCTGGTCTCTCTCTCCCTCTCTCGCTCTGGTCTCTCTCTCCCTCTCTCGCTCTGGTTCTCTCTCTCTCTCGCTCTGGTCTCCCTCTCTCGCTCTGGTCTCTCTCTCCTCTCTCCTCTTCTCTCTCGCTCTGGTCTCTCTCGCTCTGGTCTCTCTCTCTCTCGCTCTGGTCTCTCTCTCTCTCGCTCTGGTCTCTCTCGCTCTGGTCTCTCTCTCTCGCTCTGGTCTCTCTCTCGCTCTGGTCTCTCTCTCGCTCTGGTCTCTCTCTCGCTCTGGTCTCTCTCTCGCTCTGGTCTCTCTCTCGCTCTGGTCTCTCTCTCGCTCTGGTCTCTCTCTCGCTCTGGTCTCTCTCTCGCTCTGGTCTCTCTCTCGCTCTGGTCTCTCTCTCGCTCTGGTCTCTCTCTCGCTCTGGTCTCTCTCTCTCGCTCTGGTCTCTCGCTCTGGTCTCTCTCTCTCTCTCGCTCTGGTCTCTCTCTCTCGCTCTGGTCTCTCTCTCTCTCGCTCTGGTCTCTCTCTCTCTCTCGCTCTGGTCTCTCTCTCGCTCTGGTCTCTCTCTCGCTCTGGTCTCTCTCTCGCTCCGGTCTCTCCCTCGCTCCGGTCTCTCTCTCGCTCCGGTCTCTCTCTCGCTCTGGTCTCACCTGTCCCTTGTAGAGCAGACTCCCCACAGGACAGACCACACAGGCAGTACCAGCTCCAAATACTTCTAGAACTCGGTCCTGATCCAGAGCCTCCATCAGCTCCTGCATCAGCACCGTGCGCTCAGACACCTGGAACTCCCCCTGGTGGACGAGGGCAGAGGTCAGAGGTCAGAGGTCACAGGCCCAAGACCAGGTCTTGGTCCTGGTCTTGATCCTGGTCTTACCCAGGAGCGGGACAGGTCCAGCAGAGACTGTCTGGTGACTCCAGGCAGAATGAGTCCATCCAGAGGAGGTGTCACCAGCTCCTTCTCTGCAACAAACAGAAGAAACTGATGAAGACAAGGAGATGAAGAGGTGAAGGAGGAGAAGAGGTCTCTCTGGGTCTCTCTCTCTCTCTGGGTCTCTCCCTCTCTCTGGGTGTCTCCCTCTCTCTGGGTGTCTCCCTCTCTCTGGGTGTCTCCCTCTCTCTGGGTGTCTCCCTCTCTCTGGGTGTCTCCCTCTCTCTGGGTGTCCCCCTCTCTCTGGGTGTCCCCCTCTCTCTGGGTCTCTCCCTCTCTCTGGGTCTCTCCCTCTCTCTGGGTCTCTCCCTCTCTCTGGGTCTCTCCCTCTCTCTGGGTCTCTCCCTCTCTCTGGGTCTCTCCCTCTCTCTGGGTGTCTCCCTCTCTCTGGGTGTCTCCCTCTCTCTGGGTGTCTCCCTCTCTCTGGGTCTCTCCCTCTCTCTGGGTCTCTCCCTCTCTCTGGGTCTCTCCCTCTCTCTGGGTCTCTCCCTCTCTCTGGGTCTCTCCCTCTCTCTGGGTGTCTCCCTCTCTCTGGGTGTCTCCCTCTCTCTGGGTGTCTCCCTCTCTCTGGGTGTCTCCCTCTCTCTTGGGTGTCTCCCTCTCTCTGGGTGTCTCCCTCTCTCTGGGTGTCTCCCTCTCTCTGGGTGTCTCCCTCTCTCTGGGTGTCTCCCTCTCTCTGGGTGTCTCCCTCTCTCTGGGTGTCTCCCTCTCTCTGGGTGTCTCCCTCTCTCTGGGTGTCTCCCTCTCTCTGGGTGTCTCCCTCTCTCTGGGTGTCTCCCCTCTCTCTGGGTGTCTCCCTCTCTCTGGGTGTCTCCCTCTCTCTGGGTGTCTCCCTCTCTCTGGGTGTCTCCCTCTCTCTGGGTGTCTCCCTCTCTCTGGGTGTCTCCCTCTCTCTGGTGTCTCCCTCTCTCTGGGTGTCTCCCTCTCTCTGGGTGTCTCCCTCTCTCTGGGTGTCTCCCTCTCTCTGGGTGTCTCCCTCTCTCTGGGTGTCTCCCTCTCTCTGGGTGTCTCCCTCTCTCCTCCCTCTCTCTGGGTGTCTCCCTCTCTCTGGGTGTCTCCCTCTCTCTGGGTGTCTCCCTCTCTCTGGGTGTCTCCCTCTCTCTGGGTGTCTCCCTCTCTCTGGGTGTCTCCCTCTCTCTGGGTGTCTCCCTCTCTCTGGGTGTCTCCCTCTCTCTGGGTGTCTCCCTCTCTCTGGGTGTCTCTCCCTCTCTCTGGGTGTCTCTCCCTCTCTCTGGGGGTCTCTCCCTCTCTCTGGGGGTCTCTCCCTCTCTCTGGGTCTCTCCCTCTCTCTGGGTCTCTCCCTCTCTCTGGGTCTCTCCCTCTCTCTGGGTCTCTCCCTCTCTCTGGGTCTCTCCCTCTCTCTGGGTGTCTCCCTCTCTCTGGGTGTCTCCCTCTCTCTGGGTGTCTCCCTCTCTCTGGGTGTCTCCCTCTCTCTGGGTGTCTCCCTCTCTCTGGGTGTCTCCCTCTCTCTGGGTGTCTCCCTCTCTCTGGGTGTCTCCCTCTCTCTGGGTGTCTCCCTCGCTCTGGGTGTCTCCCTCTCTCTGGTCTCACCTCCGCTCTGGTTCCTCCAGTAGATGAACATGTTCATGGTTCCGACCTCTGTGATCTCCTCCTGGGGGCCGTAGAGCCAGAGCACCTGCTGACAGCCACGCTTTAGCGCCTCGCTCTGCACCGCGATGGTCGGACCGTAGTTCCTGCCACAGACACATGAGGGCGCCACATTAGATCCACATACAGACTGTATACAGATGGACAATGCTAACACAGACTGTATACAGATGCTAATGCTAACACAGACTGTATACAGATGGTCAATGCTAACACAGACTGTATACAGATGGACAATGCTAACACAGACTGTATACAGATGGACAATGCTAACACAGACTGTATACAGATGGACAATGCTAACACAGACTGTATACAGATGGACAATGCTAACTACAAGTGCAGACGTGTCCTCAGAAAACCGCAGGAGGTCACACCTCCTCTCCCGCCTCCTCCTTCAGCTTCAGGCGCATTCCAGCTCTTTCATTACAGAGAAATTCCCAAACGTTTTACACCAAACACTTTGACCTCAAGTTTTTCCTGTTGTGTGTACTTAAGTCAAGGCAAGTTTATTTGTATAGTACAGTCCTGGGTCTACATGTCTATATGTCTTTTGAATCCCATAGAAACAAAAGCAATTCCTAAGAAGCTTTACTATAACAATGATTAACTATATCTGATAATTAATTATCAGATAATTAATCGGTCGAAGGCGGAGACCTCGGCGACCCAGTCCGCACACACAACATCTGGCTCTTGGGACGTGGAACGTCACCTCACTGGGGGGGGAAGGAGCCCGAGCTTGTGGGGGAGGTTGAGCGATACCGACTAGAGATAGTCGGCCTCACCTCCACACACAGCTTGGGCTCTGGAACCCAACTCCTTGAGAGGGGTTGGACGCTCCACTTTTCTGGTGTTTCCCGCGGGGAGAGGCGGCGAGCTGGGGTGGCCATACTCATTGCCCCCCATCTCAGCCACCACGTGTTGGAGTTCTCCCCGGTGAATGAGAGGGTCGCGTCCCTCCGCCTCCGGGTGGGGGACAAGTCTCTCATTGTTGTGACGGCCTACGGGCCTAACAGCAGTGCAGAGTACCCGGCCTTCTTGGAGTCCTTGGGAGGGGTACTGGACGGTACACCGCCCGGGGACTCCGTTATTCTCATGTGGGAAACGCCAGTGACACTTGGAGAGGGGTGATCGGGAAGAGCGGCCCCCCTGATCTGAACCCGAGCGGTGTTCAGTTGTTGGACTTCTGTGCCCGTCACAGTTTGTCCATCACGAACACCATGTTCGAGCACAAGGTTGTCCACCAGTGCACGTGGCACCAGGACACCCTAGGCCGGAGGTCGATGATCGACTTTGTTGTAGTATCATCTGACCTTCGACCGCGTGTCTCGGACACTCGGGTAAAGAGAGGGGCGGAGCTGTCAACCGATCATCACCTGGTCGTGAGTTGGATCCGCTGGCAGGGGAAGAAGCCGGTCAGACCTGGCAGACCCAAGCGTATAGTGAGGGTCTGCTGGGAACGTCTCGCTGAGCCCCCTGTCAGACGGACTTTCAACTCACACCTCCGGGAGAGTTTCTCCCAGGTCCCGGCGGAGGAGGGGGACATGGAGTCCGAGTGGACCATGTTCTCTGCCTCAATTGCCGATGCGGCGGCTCGTAGCTGTGGTTGCAAAGTCTCTGGTGCTGGTCCCGGCGGCAACCCCCGAACCCGGTGGTGGACACCGGCAGTAAGGGATGCCGTCAGGCTGAAGAAGGAGTCCTATCGAGCCATGATGGTTCGGGGGACTCCTGAGGCAGCTGTCCAGTACCGGCAGGCCAAGCGTGCCGCGGCCCGGGCTGTTGCAGACAAGACAGTCCACAAGACAGTTGTGGTAAAGAGGGAGCTGAGCCGAAAGGCAAAGCTCTCGATTTACCGGTCAATCTTTGTTCCCTCCCTCACCTATGGTCATGAGCTTTGGGTAATGACCGAAAGAACGAGATCGCGGATACAAGCGGTCAAAATGAGCTTTCTCCGCAGAGTGGCTGGGCGCTCCCTTAGAGATAGGGTGAGGAGCTCAGTCACACGGGAGGAGCTCGGAGTAGAGCCGCTGCTTCTCCACGTCGAGAGGAACCAGTTGAGGTGGCTCGGGCATCTGTTCCGGATGCCTCCTGGACGCCTCCCTGGGGAGGTGTTCCGGGCACGTCCCACTGGAAGGAGGTCCCGCGGAAGACCTAGGACACGCTGGAGGGACTATGTCTCTCAGCTGGCCTGGGAACGCCTTGGGGTCCCCCCGGACGAGCTGGAGGAAGTGTGTGTGGATAGGGAAGTCTGGGCGTCTCTGCTTAGACTCCCAGAGCGTGCCGCGGCCCGGGCTGTTGCAGAGGCAAAAACCCGGGACTGGGAGGAGTTCGGAGAGTCCATGGAGCATGACTATCGGTCGGCCTCGAAGAGATTCTGGCAAACCATCCGGCGCCTCAGGAGGGGGAAGCAGTGCTTTGCCAACACCGTGTATGGTGGGGGTGGAGGGCTGCTGACCTCGACTGGGGATATTGTCGGGCGGTGGAAGGAATACTTTGAGGTTCTCCTCAATCCCCCCGTCACGTCCTCTGTTTCAGAGGCAGAGGCTGAGGATGTTGGGGCGGATATATCCATCTCCCTGGCTGAGGTCACCAAGGTGGTTGGTAGCCTCCATGGTGGCAAGGCTCCGGGTGTGGATGAGATCCGCCCTGATTATCTAAAGTCTCTGGATGTTGTAGGACTGTCTTGGCTGACACGTCTCTGCAACATCGCGTGGCGATCGGGGGCAGTGCCAATGGAGTGGCAGACCGGGGTGGTGGTCCCTCTCTACAAGAAGGGGGACCGGAGGGTGTGTTCCAATTATCGTGGGATCACACTCCTCAGCCTCCCCGGTAAGGTCTACTCCAAGGTACTGGAGAGGAGGCTACGGCCGATGGTCGAATCTCGGATCCAGGAGGAGCAGTGTGGTTTTCGTCCCGGTCGCGGAACACTGGACCAGCTCTATACTCTCCATCGGATACTCGAGGGTTCATGGGAGTTCGCCCAACCTGTCCACATGTGCTTTGTGGATTTGGAGAAGGCGTTCGACTGTGTTCCCCGGGGTGTCCTTTGGGGGGTCCTCCGGGAGTACGGGGTCGGAGGTCCTCTGCTGAGGGCCATCCGGTCCCTGTATGACCGGAGCCAGAGCTGTGTTCGCATTGCCGGCAGTAAGTCAGACCTGTTCCCGGTGAATGTTGGCCTCCGACAGGGCTGCCCTTTGTCACCGGTTCTGTTCACTGTATTCATGGACAGAATATCTAGGCGCAGCAAGGGGTCAGAGGGGGTCCGGTTCGGAGACCACAGGATTTCATCTCTGCTGTTTGCAGACGATGTTGTCCTGTTGGCTCCAACAAACCAGGACCTGCAGCATGCACTGGGGCGGTTTGCAGCCGAGTGTGAAGCGGCTGGGATGAGAATCAGCACCTCCAAATCCGAGGCCATGGTGCTCGACCGGAAAAAAGTGCCTTGCCCTCTCCAGGTGGGTGGAGAGGTCCTTCCTCAAGTGGAGGAGTTCAAGTATCTCGGGGTCTTGTCACGAGTGAGGGAAGGATGGAGCGTGAGATTGACAGGCGGATCGGTGCAGCGTGCGCAGTGATGCGGTCTCTGTATCGGACCGTTGTGGTAAAGAGGGAGCTGAGCCGAAAGGCAAAGCTCTCGATTTACCGGTCAATCTTTGTTCCCTCCCTCACCTATGGTCATGAGCTTTGGGTAATGACCGAAAGAACGAGATCGCGGATACAAGCGGTCAAAATGAGCTTCCTCCGCAGAGTGGCTGGGCGCTCCCTTAGAGATAGGGTGAGGAGCTCAGTCACACGGGAGGAGCTCGGAGTAGAGCCGCTGCTTCTCCACGTCGAGAGGAACCAGTTGAGGTGGCTCGGGCATCTGTTCCGGATGCCTCCTGGACGCCTCCCTGGGGAGGTGTTCCGGGCACGTCCCACTGGAAGGAGGTCCCGCGGAAGACCTAGGACACGCTGGAGGGACTATGTCTCTCAGCTGGCCTGGGAACGCCTTGGGGTCCCCCCGGACGAGCTGGAGGAAGTGTGTGTGGATAGGGAAGTCTGGGCGTCTCTGCTTAGACTGCTGCCCCCGCGACCCGGCAACGGATAAAGCGGAAGAAAATGGATGGATAATTAATTACTATAAATAATAACGAGATGGACCAGTTTTGCACTGGGCCAGGCAGGAGCGGAGAGGATTCACGGTCAAGCGGATCGGGAGAAAATCCGCTGGAGGAATGCTAATGCTAACAAAGCATTTAGCATTTTACTTTGGACTAGAGCAGAGAAAATGTTCTGCCGGGACCTGAAGTGTTGTTTCTTATTATTACTTTCACTACTGTTAGCTTTTTAGAATGATGCAATGTATTTGTTTTGTTTGAGTGGATGGAAGTATTTTTGCTGCCACTGGACACCTGAACCTCACACTCACCCCCCCATCTTGTAGGCCCCCACCCCCCCCTTCCAGGCCCGGACGAAGGCGGGGTCAGCGAGCAGAGACACAGGGTTAAAGGATCCAGTCGCAAAGTACGGCCCCACGGGTCCAACGATGACGAAGATCATGGCTCGACCGGCACGAGACACGCCGAGAGACGGCTGCAGAGAGACACGGTTAAAGCTTAAAGACCTTATGACGGGTTTTTAAAAAAAAAATTGTGGATATCAAAATTGCATGACAATGTCGATCTGAAAAAGATTCCGGCAAAAAAAATCCTATATTTTATAAAAAGAACGTGTTTTTCATGAATTTAAGTTGTCTATGCTCTAACCTGTGTGTGACGTCACAGCGGGTTACGCCCATGCATTGAAAACCATGGATCTATGCCACAGGACTGCCTTTTCTCTCTTCTCTCCACTGATGCCCAACACAATACTGCACTCTACAGGTGACAATTGCTCACTACACATAAATTGCGGTTTTGAGAGTGAAAAAGTGTCTGAGGTGGGATTTGAACCCAAGTGTCTGGATTGACAGTCCATCGACACAACCACTGGACTATCTCAGTGACAACGAAATGTTACATTCTAGTAGTTATCTCAGACTCGCTGTACACGGCCTTGTCATCTTGAATATCCGCGAAAAAAGAACGAATACCAAATTGTAAAAAACTTACAGCGTTGAAACGTACCCACTCTGACGTCACCAAGGGCTGTGAAGTTTTTTCGTTTCTAAGGGCGTTGCTATGGGGTTATTTCGATTTGGGGGGATCAGACAAAAAAAACAACAACTGATTTGGAAACCTTTAGTAGTTCTCTTCTAATATAAAATGGTATTAAAACTGTATTTCTAAATAAATCAAACCCGGCATAAGGTCTTTAAGTCTCATTAAAAACACATGTTTAAAGCTGGGTCTTAGCTCATAGTCTCATAGAAGGCTGCTTGTAAGTTCTAAGTGTGTAGTGGTTAGCAATGCTTCTAACAGGTGGAACATAAACATTGACAAAGTGATGTAATATGTTGAAAACCTGTTCTTATGTTTAAAGGACAACTCACCCTCAAATCCACTTTTTTTCGCTGATAAACGGTATAAATGAGTGTCCAATAGTGTTGTCTACATATCCTGGTCATAATCTTGTCACTTTGGTGCAAATTAGTTGAAAGTTAGACTTTCTGCCTAAAACCGTCTGTGAGGCGCCATCTGCTGGCGACCTGTATTACTACATTTGAATTTTGAATCTGGCGCCAACACTGGCACAGAAGTTGGACCTGACGTCTGCAGCCCCCCGCCCAGAGCAATGTAAACGGCCCAGTCTCGTTCACGCCCCCTTTAGTCCTCCAGGCTACGCCCATTTAGAGGAAGATTTTAACAGGAAATGTGAGTAACGTAAGCTCCGAGAAGCGGGGGTGAGAACCACTTTAAGACAGAGCCCTTTGAGTCACTATTTGACCCTTTGGGCTGGGAGACTTTCACCTCGGTGCCGATGAACGTGGGCCTGATGTAGAGGGATGCATTCTGGGAGTATGGAACCCATTCCTGGTCCAACTCCACCAGCTTCTGGATACAGCTCAGCAACTCTGCTTTATCAAAGGCCTGTCACAGAGAGAACAAGCAAATCAGGGTAACAGGGAGAACTTGTTTTTAGTAGTATATGTTAGCGTAGCAGGATGTGTTAGCGTAGCAGGATGTGTTAGCGTAGCAGGATGTGTTAGCGTAGCAGGATGTGTTAGCGTAGCAGGATGTGTTAGCGTAGCAGGATGTGTTAGCACTTACAGGGAAACAGCAGCGCTCCGCACTGCGCTCCATTCTCTCCATGTTCAACATCGGACGAAACATTCGGATGTGATCATCAGCTCCTCTGAACGCCTTCATCCCCTCAAACAGCTGAGAGGGAGAGAGCGATAAGTGAGAACACACACACACACACACACGCACACACACACACCTCTATAGAGTAGTGCAGGGCGGAGGAGGCCGGGTGCAGGGACAGGTTCTGGAACGGTTGGATCAGAGGCCGGTCCCAGCCCTCGCTGTCGCTCCACTCGATCACCAACATGTGGTCCGAGAAGGTCTTCCCAAACACCAGGGCCCCAGGCTCTGGTCTGGGGGCCCGAGAGGAACACAGCTGCACCCGAAGGTCTGTGGCCTGGGGACAGAGACCAGAGAGAGACCAGAGAGAGACCAGAGAGAGACCAGAGAGAGACCAGAGAGAGACCAGAGAGAGACCAGAGAGAGACCAGAGAGAGACCAGAGAGAGGCCAGAGAGAGGCCAGAGAGAGACCAGAGAGAGACCAGAGAGAGACCAGAGAGAGACCAGAGAAAGACCAGAGAGAGACCAGAGAGAGACCAGAGAGAGACCAGAGAGAGACCAGAGAGAGACCAGAGAGAGACCAGAGAGGGACCAGAGAGAGACCAGAGAGAGACCAGAGAGAGACCAGAGAGAGACCAGAGAGAGACCAGAGAGAGACCATAGAGAGACCAGAGAGAGACCAGAGAGAGACCAGAGAGAGACCAGAGAGACAAGATAGAGACCAGAGAGAGAAAGCCAGGAGACATAAAGGTACATGGGACACAAAGACAGTGATTCTGATTCTTGTTTTGATAGAGACAGTGGGAGGTCACAGGGTCAAATCTAGGCTGAATTATACAATGCATGTTCCCCGTTATCCTGGTCCTCTCCTGTCTTCCTAGTGTCGTGCTGGTCCTCTCCTATCTTCCTAGTGTCATGCTGGTCCTCTCCTGTCTTCCTAGTGTCATGCTGGTCCTCTTCTATCTTCCTAGTGTCATACTGGTCCTCTCCTGTCTTCCTAGTGTCGTGCTGGTCCTCTCCTATCTTCCTAGTGTCATGCTGGTCCTCTCCTGTCTTCCTAGTGTCATGCTGGTCCTCTCCTGTCTTCCTAGTGTCATGCTGGTCCTCTCCTGTCTTCCTAGTGTCATACTGGTCCTCTCCCGTCTTCAGTGTCGTGCTGGTCCTCTCCTGTCTTCCTAGTGTCATGCTGGTCCTCTCCTGTCTTCAGTGTCGTGCTGGTCCTCTCCTGTCTTCCTAGTGTCATGCTGGTCCTCTCCTGTCTTCCTAGTGTCATGCTGGTCCTCTCCTGTCTTCCTAGTGTCATGCTGGTCCTCTCCTGTCTTCCTAGTGTCATGCTGGTCCTCTCCTGTCTTCCTAGTGTCATACTGGTCCTCTCCCGTCTTCAGTGTCGTGCTGGTCCTCTCCTGTCTTCCTAGTGTCATGCTGGTCCTCTCCTGTCTTCCTAGTGTCATGCTGGTCCTCTCCTGTCTTCCTAGTGTCATGCTGGTCCTCTCCTGTCTTCCTAGTGTCATGCTGGTCCTCTCCTGTCTTCCTAGTGTCATACTGGTCCTCTCCTGTCTTCCTAGTGTCATACTGGTCCTCTCCCGTCTTCAGTGTCGTGCTGGTCCTCTCCTGTCTTCCTAGTGTCATGCTGGTCCTCTCCTGTCTTCCTAGTGTCATGCTGGTCCTCTCCTGTCTTCCTAGTGTCATGCTGGTCCTCTCCTGTCTTCCTAGTGTCATGCTGGTCCTCTCCTGTCTTCCTAGTGTCATACTGGTCCTCTCCCGTCTTCAGTGTCGTGCTGGTCCTCTCCTGTCTTCCTAGTGTCATGCTGGTCCTCTCATGTCTTCCTAGTGTCATGCTGGTCCTCTCCTGTCTTCCTAGTGTCATGCTGGTCCTCTCCTGTCTTCCTAGTGTCATGCTGGTCCTCTCCTGTCTTCCTAGTGTCATACTGGTCCTCTCCCGTCTTCAGTGTCGTGCTGGTCCTCTCCTGTCTTCCTAGTGTCATGCTGGTCCTCTCATGTCTTCCTAGTGTCATGCTGGTCCTCTCCTGTCTTCCTAGTGTCATGCTGGTCCTCTCCTATCTTCCTAGTGTCATGCTGGTCCTCTCCTATCTTCCTAGTGTCATGCTGGTCCTCTCCTGTCTTCCTAGTGTCATGCTGGTCCTCTCCTGTAGTGCTGCTGACCCTTGACCCCCACACAGAAGAGACAGAAACAGAATTATCACAAACTGAATTAAACACAATCAACAAACAAGAGAAACACAAGAGATGAGTCAGACACTGTAACACAACATTACACACTAGTAACACACACACACACACACACACACACACACGCACGCACACACACGCACTGATGAACTAGAATAATGCTGTGATCAGGTGCAGTACCTTGAATGAACTGCAGCGGCGCACTGCCCCCAGGGACGGGAGCGTCTGAAGCAGAGGCCCACGGACGATCTACACATGCACGCACACACACACACACGCACGCACACACACAAACACAAAAATAAACACACACTTATATTCAATTAAATTCAATGTATCCTTGTATCGCCCTAAATCACAGCAGTAGTTATCTCGAAGGACTTTTCAAAGCTGTTGAGTCTGAGGCCTCTCTTTCTGGTCTCTCGCTCTCTTGGTCTCGCTCTCTGGGTCTCGCTCTCTGGGTCTCGCTCTCTGGGTCTCGCTCTCTGGTCTCGCTCTCTGGTCTCGCTCTCTGGTCTCGCTCTCTGGTCTCGCTCTCTGGTCTCGCTCTCTGGTCTCGCTCTCTCTGGTCTCGCTCTCTGGTCTCGCTCTCTGGTCTCGCTCTCTGGTCTCGCTCTCTGGTCTCGCTCTCTCTGGTCTCGCTCTCTGGTCTCGCTCTCTGGTCTCGCTCTCTGGTCTCGCTCTCTGGTCTCGCTCTCTGGTCTCGCTCTCTGGTCTCGCTCTCTGGTCTCGCTCTCTGGTCTCGCTCTCTGGTCTCGCTCTCTGGTCTCGCTCGCTCTCTGGTCTCGCTCTCTGGTCTCGCTCTCTGGTCTCGCTCTCTGGTCTCGCTCTCTGGTCTCGCTCTCTGGTCTCGCTCTCTGGTCTCGCTCTCTGGTCTCGCTCTCTGGTCTCGCTCTCTGGTCTCGCTCTGGTCTGGTCTCGCTCTCTGGTCTCGCTCTCTGGTCTCGCTCTCTGGTCTCGCTCTCTGGTCTCGCTCTCTGGTCTCGCTCTCTGGTCTCGCTCTCTGGTCTCGCTCTCTGGTCTCGCTCTCTGGTCTCGCTCTCTGGTCTCGCCTCTCTCTGGTCTCGCTCTCTGGTCTCGCTCTCTGGTCTCGCTCTCTGGTCTCGCTCTCTGGTCTCGCTCTCTGGTCCGGTCTCGCTCTCTGGTCTCGCTCTCTGGTCTCGCTCTCTGGTCTCGCTCTCTGGTCTCGCTCTCTGGTCTCGCTCTCTGGTCTCGCTCTCTGGTCTCGCTCTCTGGTCTCGCTCTCTGGTCTCGCTCTCTGGTCTCGCTCTCTGGTCTCGCTCTCTGGTCTCGCTCTCTGGTCTCGCTCTCTGGTCTCGCTCTCTGGTCTCGCTCTCTGGTCTCGCTCTCTGGTCTCGCTCTCTGGTCTCGCTCTCTGGTCTCGCTCTCTGGTCTCGCTCTCTGGTCTCGCTCTCTGGTTCCTCTCTGGTCTCGCTCTCTGGTCTCGCTCTCTGGTCTCGCTCTCTGGTCTCGCTCGTCTCGCTCTCTGGTCTCGCTCTCTGGTCTCGCTCTCTGTCTCGCTCTCTGGTCTCGCTCTCTGGTCTCGCTCTCTGGTCTCGCTCTCTGGTCTCGCTCTCTGGTCTCGCTCTCTGGTCTCGCTCTCTGGTCTCGCTCTCTGGTCTCGCTCTCTGGTCTCGCTCTCTGGTCTCGCTCTCTGGTCTCGCTCTCTGGTCTCGCTCTCTGGTCTCGCTCTCTGGTCTCGCTCTCTGGTCTCGCTCTCTGGTCTCGCTCTCTGGTCTCGCTCTCTGGTCTCGCTCTCTGGTCTCGCTCTCTGGTCTCGCTCTCTGGTCTCGCTCTCTGGTCTCGCTCTCTGGTCTCGCTCTCTGGTCTCGCTCTCTGGTCTCGCTCTCTGGTCTCTGCTCTCTGGTCTCGCTCTCTGGTCTCGCTCTCTGGTCTCGCTCTCTGGGTCTGGTCTCGCTCTCTGGTCTCGCTCTCTGGTCTCGCTCTCTGGTCTCGCTCTCTGGTCTCGCTCTCTGGTCTCGCTCTCTGGTCTCGCTCTCTGGTCTCGCTCTCTGGTCTCGCTCTCTGGTCTCGCTCTCTGGTCTCGCTGCTCTCTCTGGTCTCGCTCTCTGGTCTCGCTCTCTGGTCTCGCTCTCTGGTCTCGCTCTCTGGTCTCGCTCTCTGGTCTCGCTCTCTGGTCTCGCTCTCTGGTCTCGCTCTCTGGTCTCGTCTCGCTCTCTGGTCTCGCTCTCTGGTCTCGCTCTCTGGTCTCGCTCTCTGGTCTCGCTCTCTGGTCTCGCTCTCTGGTCTCGCTCTCTGGTCTCGCTCTCTGGTCTCGCTCTCTGGTCTCGCTCTCTGGTCTCGCTCTCTGGTCTCGCTCTCTGGTCTCGCTCTCTGGTCTCGCTCTCTGGTCTCGCTCTCTGGTCTCGCTCTCTGGTCTCGCTCTCTGGTCTCGCTCTCTGGTCTCGCTCTCTGGTCTCGCTCTCTGGTCTCGCTCTCTGGTCTCGCTCTCTGGTCTCGCTCTCTGGTCTCGCTCTCTGGTCTCGCTCTCTGGTCTCGCTCTCTGGTCTCGCTCTCTGGTCTCGCTCTCTGGTCTCGCTCTCTGGTCTCGCTCTCTGGTCTCGCTCTCTGGTCTCGCTCTCTGGTCTCGCTCTCTGGTCTCGCTCTCTGGTCTCGCTCTCTGGTCTCGCTCTCTGGTCTCGCTCTCTGGTCTCGCTCTCTGGTCTCGCTCTCTGGTCTCGCTCTCTGGTCTCGCTCTCTGGTCTCGCTCTCTGGTCTCGCTCTCTGGTCTCGCTCTCTGGTCTCGCTCTCTGGTCTCGCTCTCTGGTCTCGCTCTCTGGTCTCGCTCTCTGGTCTCGCTCTCTGGTCTCGCTCTCTGGTCTCGCTCTCTGGTCTCGCTCTCTGGTCTCGCTCTCTGGTCTCGCTCTCTGGTCTCGCTCTCTGGTCTCGCTCTCTGGTCTCGCTCTCTGGTCTCGCTCTCTGGTCTCGCTCTCTGGTCTCGCTCTCTGGTCTCGCTCTCTGGTCTCGCTCTCTGGTCTCGCTCTCTGGTCTCGCTCTCTGGTCTCGCTCTCTGGTCTCGCTCTCTGGTCTCGCTCTCTGGTCTCGCTCTCTGGTCTCGCTCTCTGGTCTCTCGCTCTCTGGTCTCGCTCTCTGGTCTCGCTCTCTGGTCTCGCTCTCTGGTCTCGCTCTCTGGTCTCGCTCTCTGGTCTCGCTCTCTGGTCTCGCTCTCTGGTCTCGCTCTCTGGTCTCGCTCTCTGGTCTCGCTCTCTGGTCTCTGCTCTCTGGTCTCGCTCTCTGGTCTCGCTCTCTGGTCTCGCTCTCTGGTCTCGCTCTCTGGTCTCGCTCTCTGGTCTCGCTCTCTGGTCTCGCTCTCTGGTCTCGCTCTCTGGTCTCGCTCTCTGGTCTCGCTCTCTGGTCTCGCTCTCTGGTCTCGCTCTCTGGTCTCGCTCTCTGGTCTCGCTCTCTGGTCTCGCTCTCTGGTCTCGCTCTCTGGTCTCGCTCTCTGGTCTCGCTCTCTGGTCTCGCTCTCTGGTCTCGCTCTCTGGTCTCGCTGGTCTCGCTCTCTGGTCTCGCCTCTCTGGTCTCGCTCTCTGGTCTCGCTCTCTGGTCTCGCTCTCTGGTCTCGCTCTCTGGTCTCGCTCTCTGGTCTCGCTCTCTGGTCTCGCTCTCTGGTCTCGCTCTCTGGTCTCGCTCTCTGGTCTCGCTCTCTGGTCTCGCTCTCTGGTCTCGCTCTCTGGTCTCGCTCTCTGGTCTCGCTCTCTGGTCTCGCTCTCTGGTCTCGCTCTCTGGTCTCGCTCTCTGGTCTCGCTCTCTGGTCTCGCTCTCTGGTCTCGCTCTCTGGTCTCGCTCTCTGGTCTCGCTCTCTGGTCTCGCTCTCTGGTCTCGCTCTCTGGTCTCGCTCTCTGGTCTCGCTCTCTGGTCTCGCTCTCTGGTCTCGCTCTCTGGTCTCGCTCTCTGGTCTCGCTCTCTGGTCTCGCTCTCTGGTCTCGCTCTCTGGTCTCGCTCTCTGGTCTCGCTCTCTGGTCTCGCTCTCTGGTCTCGCTCTCTGGTCTCGCTCTCTGGTCTCGCTCTCTGGTCTCGCTCTCTGGTCTCGCTCTCTGTCTGGTCTCGCTCTCTGGTCTCGCTCTCTGGTCTCGCTCTCTGGTCTCGCTCTCTGGTCTCGCTCTCTGGTCTCGCTCTCTGGTCTCGCTCTCTGGTCTCGCTCTCTGGTCTCGCTCTCTGGTCTCGCTCTCTGGTCTCGCTCTCTGGTCTCGCTCTCTGGTCTCGCTCTCTGGTCTCGCTCTCTGGTCTCGCTCTCTGGTCTCGCTCTCTGGTCTCGCTCTCTGGTCTCGCTCTCTGGTCTCGCTCTCTGGTCTCGTCTCTCTCTGGTCTCGCTCTCTGGTCTCGCTCTCTGGTCTCGCTCTCTGGTCTCGCTCTCTGGTCTCGCTCTCTGGTCTCGCTCTCTGGTCTCGCTCTCTGGTCTCGCTCTCTGGGCTCTCTGGTCTCGCTCTCTGGTCTCGCTCTCTGGTCTCGTCTCTCTGGTCTCTCTCTGGTCTCTCTCTGGTCTCGCTCTCTGGTCTCGCTCTCTGGTCTCTCTCTCTGGTCTCGCTCTCTGGTCTCGCTCTCTGGTCTCGCTCTGGTCTCGCTCTCTGGTCTCGCTCTCTGGTCTCGCTCTCTGGTCTCGCTCTCTGGTCTCGCTCTCTGGTCTCGCTCTCTGGTCTCGCTCTCTGGTCTCGCTCTCTGGTCTCGCTCTCTGGTCTCGCTCTCTGGTCTCGCTCTCTGGTCTCGCTCTCTGGTCTCGCTCTCTGGTCTCGCTCTCTGGTCTCGCTCTCTGGTCTCGCTCTCTGGTCTCGCTCTCTGGTCTCTCTCTGGTCTCGCTCTCTGGTCTCGCTCTCTGGTCTCGCTCTCTGGTCTCGCTCTCTGGTCTCGCTCTCTGGTCTCTCTCTGGTCTCGCTCTCTGGTCTCTCTCTGGTCTCGCTCTCTGGTCTCGCTCTCTGGTCTCGCTCTCTGGTCTCTGGTCTCTCTCTGGTCTCGCTCTCTGGTCTCGCTCCTCTGTCTCGCTCTCTGGTCTCGCTCTCTGGTCTCGCTCTCTGGTCTCGCTCTCTGGTCTCGCTCTCTGGTTCTCGCTCTCTGGTCTCGCTCTCTGGTCTCGCTCTCTGGTCTCGCTCTCTGGTCTCGCTCTGGTCTCGCTCGCTGGTCTCGCTCGCTGGTCTCGCTCGCTGGTCTCGCTCGCTGGTCTCGCTCTGTCTCGCTCGCTGGTCTCGCTGCTGGTCTCGCTCGCTGGTCTCGCTCGCTGGTCTCTCGCTCTCGCTGGTCTCGCTCGCTGGTCTCGCTCTCTGGTCTCGCTCTCTGTCTCGCTCTCTGGTCTCGCTCTCTGGTCTCGCTCTCTGGTCTCGCTCTCTGGTCTCGCTCTCTGGTCTCGCTCTCTGGTCTCGCTCTCTGGTCTCGCTCTCTGGTCTCGCTCTCTGGTCTCTCTCTCTGGTCTCGCTCTCTGGTCTCTCTCTGGTCTCTCTCTCTGGTCTCTCTCTGGTCGCCGCTCTCTGGTCTCTCATCTGGTCTCTCTCTCTGGTCTCTCTCTGGTCTCTCTCTCTCTGGTCTCTCTCTGGTCTCTCTCTGGTCTCTGGTCTCTCTCTGGTCTCTCTCTGGTCTCTCTCTGGTCTCTCTCTCTGGTCTCTCTGGTCTCTCTCTGGTCTCTCTTGGTCTCTCTGGTCTCTCTCTGGTCTCTCTCTCTCTCTGGTCTCTCTCTGGTCTCTCTCTGGTCTCTCTGGTCTCTCTCTGGTCTCTCTCTCTCTCTGGTCTCTGGTCTCTCTGGTCTCTCTCTCTCTGGTCTCTCTCTGGTCTCTCTCTCTGTCTCTCTCTGGGTCCTCTCTCTCCCCAAGGCCCCCACCGTCTCTCTCTGGTCTCCACTGGCACCCAAAAACTCCGCCACACTCCAACACCCCGGCGCGCCCCCCCCTCAACCATACCCACTACACAAGCGCGGCAAACACCAGCCCTCACTGCTCCGCAACCCCCGCATCACCCCCCACACACACCGCCGGCCCCCACCCCCCACCCACACCCCCCTAACTATCCCAACACACCAACCCTCACCTCCCCAACCCACCCAACCACCCACGCCCACGACCAAAACACGCCACCCCTGCACCCAACCACGCAACCCCCACCCCACTACCTCACATACCACCTTCACCCACCCCCAACGACCACTACCACAAACACAGACACCCAAGGGAAACCCACACCGGACCCCCCCAACCACGCCACCCGCTCCGACGTGAAACACACCCCCCACCTCCACCCAACTACCCACAAAAACCCTAACAACACTCCGCCCCCCACCCGCCGAGCCGACCCACGCCACACCCCAGCTCCCCCCAACCCCCACGCCGCCCACACTCCCCCCCCCCCCCCGCCACGCCCACACTCAAGTCATCGACCCACACAACGCACACTTCGAACCGTATCAGCCACCGACCACCCAATCTACTCCATGCCCAAACTCAGACACAACAACCACCGAAACACACCAAAAAACCCCACCGACACAACCTCACGACACAACCCAAAATCGTCCCAAACCCCCCACCTACCCAGGACAAAGACCACCCCACAGCCCAGGAAGCTCGATAGCCTTCACACCCCTCCGGCCCCCCCCCCCACCCCACCCGCCCACAATAACCCAACTCCCACCACCCCCCCCCACGTGCAAAAACCCCACCAACCGACCCCCCCACCCGCAAAGCCGCAACTCCCCCCCCCCCCCACCCCCCCCAATCCACCCCCGAGCCCGTCACCCCGCCCCCCCCAAAGCCGCGTCACCCAACCCATCTGGGCCCCGCAACCCACACATAAGCCCCGACGACCACCGCCCCCTCCCCTCCACCCCTCCCTCCCCCGCCCCTTCCCCACACCCCTACCCCCTCCCCATCCGCTTCCCCGCACCCTACCTACTCCGCCCCCCCCTTCCCCCGTCCCGCCACCCCCCCCCCCACTCACACCCCCACCCACACCCCCTACTCCGCCCCCGCCAGTCCTCCCCTCCACCCGCCGGCACCCCCGCCCCCTGCCACCCAGCCCACCTCCCTCCACCTACGCCGGGCTGCAATCACCGCCGCCTCCCCCGTGCGACCTCCCCCTCCCACCCCACCTCCCTCCCCCCTCTGCCCCCACGACCACGCACCCCCACCTCGCCCTGTGCCTCTCCCCCCCACCAACCCCCCCCCCCCCCCCCCGCCCCCCCCCCTCCCCCCACAGCCCCCCCTCACCCGCCCACCTGCCCACCGCCCACCCCCCGCCACCACCCCCCGCCCCCCACACCGCCACACGCCCGCACTCAACCCCCAGGGGAGGACCCAGCCCACCAGACGCGCGCGTCATACCCGCCCTCCCCCACGAACGAAACAACGGAATTCCCAGGCAGACCACCCTCCGTGCTTGACCACCGCCACACGGCCCCGCGCACACCCCCGGTTTACACCCCGGCAAGCCTACCGGTGCCACCCGCCCCCACCCCCCCCCCTCGCTCACCGACCTCACACCCCCCCCCCAGGACTCCCACACAATAACCCCCCAAGTAGTAGAACCCCCTCTACCAGCCAAGACTGGCCACGGCACCCCCCACAACCCACACCCAGAAACGCAGTAACCCACACCTCCCACCCCACCCATAAAGCCTAAACCCCAGCAACCACAAAACCAACCAGAAGATCAACACACCCGGCGATACCCCACACGGCACTCAACGCGAATGAGACCCCCCAACCGGCGCCCTCCCCTCGCTCACCCCCCCTCACCCCCCCGCCCCCGCCACGCCCTCACACAGAGCCACCCCACACCCCCAACTCCCCGCTGCCCAGAGCCACCGACCACCTCCCCAACACCGTCCTCGCCCCACCCACACCCACCACCCCTAACTTCGCCAGACCCACGACCCCCCGCCCCCCACCAAACAAACCTCTTCAGGACACCCCCCCCGCGGCCACCAAGCACCAGACACCCCACTACACGGACACCCCCACCCCCACACTCCACCCCTCCCATACCCCCCAACATCCCCTTCCCCTGCCCCCCGCAAACACCCCCGCGACCCCACACCTGCGCAGAACCCACCTCCCGAACACACCACCCATACACAACCGCCCGATCAGGCACCGTCCCACAGCACGGCATCCCCAACCCCAACCAGCATGCCTTCCCGCAGTCACACGTACCCTCAATATACCCCACCGGCCCCCCCCCCCCCTCCTCCCCCCCCCCCACCCTCCCCACCCCGTTTCCCCCCCGCCCGCCTCCCCTCCCCCACTCAGCCCATCTCACTGCCCCCCGCCCCTCCTCCCCCCCCCCCCCCCACCCCCCTCTCCCTACGACCTGCCGCATCCCTCCCCTGCCCGCTCGCCGTCACCTCCAACCCTCACACACCCACCCCCCCCCCCCCAGCCCACCACACCCCCCGCAACGCCACACGCCCCACCACCCACTCCTAACATACGGACACCCCAACCGACCCAACCACCACGTGCGCCCCCCCCCCCCCCCGCACCACTCCCACCCGCCCACCAACCACACCGGGCCCCCTTTTCAACACCCCTCCCCCCCCCCCCACCCCCCCCTCGCCCCACCCCCTCCAGCGCCATCCCCACCCCCGAACCCCCCCCCCGCCCCACACCCCCGCCCCGCATCAGCCCGCATCCGGCCACAGCCACCACACCCAAAGACCCATAGCGCAGAACCCCACCCACAGCCAAACGGCAGACACCATCAAACTCAACAGAACACGCCCACGCCACGACCCGCCTGCCCAGCCTGACATAAACCTCCGCCCCCCCACCCCCCCCTACCCACCCTCCCCCCCCCGCTGCCCCCCACCACCCACCCACCCCCACCCCCACCCGCCACCCCAGTCCACAGCCGTCCCCCCCGTTCATCCCCCCCCACCCTCTGCCACCATCCACCCACCCCACCGACATCCCCCCCCCCACCACCTATATACCCCCACACCATAAGTCCCCCTCTCCCCACACCCCCCCTCCCTATCCGCCAACGGCACCACGCACACCCACCCCCGCGTTCCAGTCCCCACCCCCCACCCCCCCCCCCCACCGCCCCCCCCCCACACCGCACCCCCAAATGCCAACCCCCCACACACCCCCCACGAGCTCCCCAAACTCCGTCCACTCCGCCTCCCTATTCCCATACCTTCCCCACCCCCCCACCTCCCCCACCCTTCCCCCACCCCCCCTAACCCCCAACCTCCTCCCCCCTTCCCTCCACGCGCCCCTCGTCCCTCAGAACCCCCCCTCCCCCTCCACCACCCACCCCCCCCCCCCCGCCGCTCCCCCCACCCCACGCCCCCCCCCCCACCCCCCCCGCCCTCCCGCCACCCCACCGCCACACACAGTCCCCCCCCCCCACAACACTACAGAACCCCCTCCAACCACGCACCCACACCGCCCTCCCCCCCCTCCCCCCCCGTCGCTGGTCTCGCTGGTCTCGCTCTCTGGTCTCGCTCGCTCTCTGGTCTCGCTCTCTGGTCTCGCTCTCTGGTCTCGCTCTCTGGTCTCGCTCTCTGGTCCTCGCTCTCTGGTCTCGCTCTCTGGTCTCGCTCTCTGGTCTCGCTCTCTGGTCTCGCTCTCTGGTCTCTCTCTCTGGTCTCGCTCTCTGGTCTCTCTCTGGTCTCTCTCTCTGGTCTCTCTCTGGTCTCTCTCTCTGGTCTCTCTCTGGTCTCTCTCTCTGGTCTGTCTCTCTGGTCTCTCTCTGGTCTCTCTCTGGTCTCTCTCTGGTCTCTCTCTGGTCTCTCTCTGGTCTCTCTCTGGTCTCTCTCTGGTCTCTCTCTGGTCTCTCTCTGGTCTCTCTCTGGTCTCTCTCTGGTCTCTCTCTGGTCTCTCTCTGGTCTCTCTCTGGTCTCTCTCTGGTCTCTCTCTGGTCTCTCTCTGGTCTCTCTCTGGTCTCTCTCTGGTCTCTCTCTGGTCTCTCTCTGGTCTCTCTCTGGTCTCTCTCTGGTCTCTCTCTGGTCTCTCTCTGGTCTCTCTCTGGTCTCTCTCTGGTCTCTCTCTGGTCTCTCTCTGGGCTCTCTCTGGTCTCTCTCTGGTCTCTCTCTGGTCTCTCTCTGGTCTCTCTCTGGTCTCTCTCTGGTCTCTCTGGTCTCTCTCTGGTCTCTCTCTCTCTTTGGTCTCTCTCTGGTCTCTCTCTGGTCTCTCTTTGGTCTCTCTCTGGTCTCTCTCTGGTCTCTCTCTGGTCTCTCTCTGGTCTCTCTCTGGTCTCTCTCTGGTCTCTCTCTGGTCTCTCTCTGGTCTCTCTCTGGTCTCTCTCTGGTCTCTCTCTGGTCTCTCTTTGGTCTCTCTCTGGTCTCTCTCTGATCTCTCTCTGGACTTTCTCTGGTCTCTCTCTGGTCTCTCTCTGGACTTTCTCTGGTCTCTCTCTGGTCTCTCTCTGGTCTCTCTCTGATCTCTCTCTGGTCTCTCTCTGGTCTCTCTCTGGTCTCTCTCTGGTCTCTCTCTGGTCTCTCTCTGGTTTCTGTCCCCAGGCCTTATTCATAAACGCAGATCAGAGAATCAAACATTTCAAACACAGGAAATGCAACGATAAAAAACACATGGAGACCAATGTGGTTGAATGTGGAGTGTCCTGAATCATCACTGTCCTTAGACCTCCTGCATCAGAGGAATACTCTAGAAACAGTGGAAGAAAGTGAGAAATCTAGGGGCCCCACAATGAGGAAGGCCTCAGTCCTAGGTCTACAGACTCAGTATACAGAATACAGTCTGTGTTAGCATTAGCATCTGTATACAGTCTGTGTTAGCATTAGCATCTGTATACAGTCTGTGTTAGCATTAGCATCTGTATACAGTCTGTGTTAGCATTAGCATCTGTATACAGTCTGTGTTAGCATTAGCATCTGTATACAGTCTGTGTTAGCATTAGCATCTGTATACAGTCTGTGTTAGCATTAGCATCTGTATACAGTCTGTGAATAAACTAAAGCTGTTTCTGTTGTTGTTGAACCGGTTTGAGGTGAAAACAGATAATTACAGTCTACTTTAATATGAACAACATGGATCTGAGACCAAAGAGAGACCAGAGAGAGACCAGAGAGAGTCCAGAGAGAGACCAGAGAGAGACCAGAGAGAGACCAGAGAGAGACCAGAGAGAGACCAGAGAGAGACCAGAGAGAGACCAGAGAGAGTCCAGAGAGAGACCAGAGAGAGACCAGAGAGAGTCCAGAGAGAGACCAGAGAGAGATCAGAGAGAGACCAGAGAGAGACCAGAGAGAGATCAGAGAGACCAGAGAGAGACCAGAGAGACCAGAGAGAGACCAGAGAGAGACCAGAGAGAGAAACCTGAGAGAGACCAGAGAGAGACCAGAGAGAGTCCAGAGAGAGACCAGAGAGAGATCAGAGAGAGACCAGAGAGAGACCAGAGAGAGACCAGAGAGAGACCAGAGAGAGACCAGAGAGAGTCCAGAGAGAGACCAGAGAGAGATCAGAGAGAGACCAGAGAGAGACCAGAGAGAGACCAGAGAGAGACCAGAGAGAGATCAGAGAGAGACCAGAGAGAGACCAGAGAGAGACCAGAGAAAGTCCAGAGAGAGACCAGAGAGACCAGAGAGAGACCAGAGAGAGACCAGAGAGAGACCAGAGAAAGTCCAGAGAGAGACCAGAGAGAGACCAGAGAGAGACCAGAGAGAGACCAGAGAGAGACCAGAGAGAGACCAGAGAGAGACCAGAGAGACCAGAGAGAGACCAGAGAGAGACCAGAGAGAGACCAGAGAGAGACCAGAGAGACACCAGAGAGAGACCAGAGAGAGACCAGAGAGAGACCAGAGAGAGACCAGAGAGACCAGAGAGAGACCAGAGAGAGACCAGAGAGAGACCAGAGAGAGACCAGAGAGACCAGAGAGAGACCAGAGAGACCTGAGTCCCTTAGAAGACAACAGCTGTCTGTGACGTCACAGCCTCGGGATACATCAGTGTAGGAGCTGAATGGAGCTAAACAGTTAAATTCTAATGACATTATTATTTGCCAACAACAATGGATCATTTCAACATCACTGTGGTCAGCTTCTTGCACATGCAGAACACGTCTTAACACATCAACATCAAAACAGCGTCTTTCTGACACTTCCCACTAAAAAGAAGAACGTTCAATAATTCCACCACAAACATGACACCTCTGTGCTGTCCTCCAGGGATCAGGTGCGAGGTCAAACTCTAAACACTGTTCTTTTAAACCAAAAACCCAAGACAAAGACAAAAACAAAAACAAAAAGACGTATTTTAGTTTGTGATTGAAGTTAAAGCGAGTGAAACATGGATCAGCTGAACGGAGGACTACGCCACGTCGGTATCGACCTCTGGCTCTGACCGAGTCCCCACAGACACGTCCCCGGGGCCGGTCCCTGCTCCTGGCCCCTGCTCCTGGCCCCTGCTCCTCTTTCCTCGGTCTCTGGTAATCATTAACCTGGTTCCTCTGCGGGAGGTAAAGCTGATAACTCACCGCTCGGAGCGCTGCCATCTCCGCTGCTGCTGTAACTGTGTGTGCGCGTGTTTATGGTTCGTGTGGAAACAGAGACAGTGACGTACAGTTCCATCCACCGAGGACGTCCAAACCACGGCCCCCGGGCAGACCACGGTCCAGAGTGACAGGGGAGGACCAGCATAGCACTAGGAGAAAGACAGGAGAGGACCAGGATAACACTAGGAGAAAGACAGGAGAGGACCAGCATAGCACTAGGAGAAAGACAGGGGAGGACCAGCATAGCACTAGGAGAAAGACAGGAGAGGACCAGCATAACACTAGGAGAGAGACAGGAGAGGACCAGCATAACACTAGGAGAAAGACAGGAGAGGACCAGCATAGCACTAGGAGAAAGACAGGAGAGGACCAGCATAGCACTAGGAGAAAGACAGGAGAGGACCAGCATAACACTAGGAGAAAGACAGGAGAGGACCAGGATAACACTAGGAGAAAGACAGGAGAGGACCAGCATAACACTAGGAGAAAGACAGGAGAGGACCAGGACAACACTAGGAGAAAGACAGGAGAGGACCAGCATAACACTAGGAGAAAGACAGGAGAGGACCAGCATAACACTAGGAGAAAGACAGGAGAGGACCAGGACAACACTAGGAGAAAGACAGGAGAGGACCAGCATAACACTAGGAGAAAGACAGGAGAGGACCAGCATAACACTAGGAGAAAGACAGGAGAGGACCAGCATAACACTAGGAGAAAGACAGGAGAGGACCAGCATAACACTAGGAGAGAGACAGGAGAGGACCAGCATAACACTAGGAGAAAGACAGGAGAGGACCAGCATAACACTAGGAGAAAGACAGGAGAGGACCAGCATAACACTAGGAGAAAGACAGGAGAGGACCAGCATAACACTAGGAGAGAGACAGGAGAGGACCAGCATAACACTAGGAGAGAGACAGGAGAGGACCAGGATAACACTAGGAGAGAGACAGGAGAGGACCAGGATAACACTAGGAGAGAGACAGGAGAGGACCAGGACAACACTAGGAGAAAGACAGGAGAGGACCAGCATAACACTAGGAGAAAGACAGGAGAGGACCAGCATAACACTAGGAGAGAGACAGGAGAGGACCAGGATAACACTAGGAGAGAGACAGGAGAGGACCAGGACAACACTAGGAGAAAGACAGGAGAGGACCAGCATAACACTAGGAGAAAGACAGGAGAGGACCAGCATAGCACTAGGAGAAAGACAGGAGAGGACCAGCATAGCACTAGGAGAAAGACAGGAGAGGACCAGCATAACACTAGGAGAGAGACAGGAGAGGACCAGCATAACACTAGGAGAAAGACAGGAGAGGACCAGCATAGCACTAGGAGAAAGACAGGAGAGGACCAGCATAGCACTAGGAGAAAGACAGGAGAGGACCAGCATAACACTAGGAGAAAGACAGGAGAGGACCAGGATAACACTAGGAGAAAGACAGGAGAGGACCAGCATAGCACTAGGAGAAAGACAGGAGAGGACCAGCATAGCACTAGGAGAAAGACAGGAGAGGACCAGCATAGCACTAGGAGAAAGACAGGAGAGGACCAGCATAACACTAGGAGAAAGACAGGAGAGGACCAGGACAACACTAGGAGAAAGACAGGAGAGGACCAGCATAACACTAGGAGAAAGACAGGAGAGGACCAGCATAACACTAGGAGAAAGACAGGAGAGGACCAGGACAACACTAGGAGAAAGACAGGAGAGGACCAGCATAACACTAGGAGAAAGACAGGAGAGGACCAGCATAACACTAGGAGAAAGACAGGAGAGGACCAGCATAACACTAGGAGAAAGACAGGAGAGGACCAGCATAACACTAGGAGAGAGACAGGAGAGGACCAGCATAACACTAGGAGAAAGACAGGAGAGGACCAGCATAACACTAGGAGAAAGACAGGAGAGGACCAGCATAACACTAGGAGAAAGACAGGAGAGGACCAGCATAACACTAGGAGAGAGACAGAAGAGGACCGGGATAACACTAGGAGAGAGACAGGAGAGGACCAGGATAACACTAGGAGAGAGACAGGAGAGGACCAGGACAACACTAGGAGAAAGACAGGAGAGGACCAGCATAACACTAGGAGAAAGACAGGAGAGGACCAGCATAACACTAGGAGAGAGACAGGAGAGGACCAGGATAACACTAGGAGATAGACAGGAGAGGACCAGGACAACACTAGGAGAAAGACAGGAGAGGACCAGCATAACACTAGGAGAAAGACAGGAGAGGACCAGCAAAGCACTAGGAGAAAGACAGGAGAAGACCAGCATAACACTAGGAGAAAGACAGGAGAGGACCAGCATGACACTAGGAGAAAGACAGGAGAGGACCAGCATGACACTAGGAGAAAGACAGGAGAGGACCAGCATAACACTAGGAGAGAGACAGGAGAGGACCAGCATAGCACTAGGAGAAAGACAGGAGAGGACCAGGATAACACTAGGAGAAAGACAGGAGAGGACCAGGATAACACTAGGAGAAAGACAGGAGAGGACCAGGATAACACTAGGAGAAAGACAGAAGAAGAGCGAAATATATCAGACAAACTCCAAGGGTGGGAATCTGAAGTCAAATTAATAGGTAGCAATCAATTAGCAACCAAAGTGGAGTCGTACTGATCTGTTCCTACACTAGTTAACGCTGAAGTCAAGTCCAGGGACAGAAGGCCTCTGATTGGTCAGTCCTGACATGGTCATATCTTGATTTACAAAGACAATATCACAAATTAATACAAAGATCATTGGCATCAAACCCCCAACCAACCTCATCCATTCACTCATTCATACCTATTGTGCATGTTTTTAGTGGTAGGGGAAACCGGGGCACCCGGAGGAAACCTACGCAGACATATGAGAATATGCAAACGCCACCCAGAAAGGTCCTGCTCCGACTGGGATTCGGACTGAGGACCTTCTTGCTGAGAAGCGAGAGTACTAACCACTCAGCCACCGTGTTGCAGGTAATAGGAGCCAGAGGGAGGAGCCAAACTTCGATCATGAGCACTTCCCTGTTGGGCTTCATTGAGCTGAGGGCCGTGACAGAGTTATCAGCTGCAGGTCTATTATTATCCTTTTATTGCTTCAGTTTGAAGTCTCTAAAAATAGAAGAGGAAACGGGAGCTCGGGTTACAGAGGCTGAAAGGGCTTTTGTTTTACTTTTGTTTTAAAGGCAAGAAAACCGCTCTGTGTGATGTCATAGTTTAGGGAACACAGGTGTCTCTCTCTGGTCTCCCTGGTCTTTCCGGTCTCCCTCTGATCTTTCTCTGGTCTCTCTCTGGTCTCCCTGGTTTTTCGGTCTCCCTCTGGTCTTTCTCTGAGACTAGTTTGGGATGCAACCTCAGTGCTGGGGGCGTGTCAGAGCGAGCGCTGTGATTGGTTCGTTGCTTAAAGGCACAAAGGCAGTGGTCAGACAAGGTCACGGAGCTGAGAGCTGATTGGCCGAGAGCGGAGGAGTGTTGCGGCTCGGGTTTCATGTGAGGCACGAGGAGAGTCAGAGGACACTCAGCTGTGGAGCTCTGTTACCATGGTGATGGGAGACCTCTGAAGCTAAGCAGGAAAGGGCCTGGTTAACATTGTAATGGGAGACCTGTGAGAACACCAGGTGCCACAGTGGGTGAGGCGTCTTTGAGCTTCCAACCCGCTCCATTTCTAAACCATGAAATTCCAAAGTTTAATAAAAATCAGTTCTTGTGTTTTATATGTGAACATGGGCGCTCTGGAGTCAAACAGAAAACACTGAATTTCATCTTGTTTTTATAAAAATAACATTTATATTTGACTGCAGACGAAAAGAGCCTCCTCAGCTCAGCACCACGTCACAGTCTCCAAGTCCGGCATCTACCATCTGCAACAAACACAAGAACATGAGTGACCAGAGAGAGAGACCAGAGAGAGAGACCAGAGAGAGAGACCAGAGAGAGAGACCAGAGAGACCAGAGAGAGACCAGAGAGAGACCAGAGAGAGAGACCAGAGAGAGAGACCAGAGAGACCAGAGAGACCAGAGAGAGACCAGAGAGAGACCAGAGAATGACCAGAGAGAGACCAGAGAGAGACCAGAGAATGACCAGAGAGAGACCAGAGAGAGACCAGAGAGAAACTTTTCCTCTGTATAGTATAGAGAAGGTTTTTTTGTTCACTGTTAAAAAAACAAAACTGAAATGCGAGACTGATGATGAGACAAATAGATAAGCTGGAGTGTGGGTGCAATACCAGCTGGGACCTGTGTGAGGGTGCAGTACCAGCTGGGACCTGTGTGAGGGTGCAGTACCAGCTGGGACCTGTGTGTGGGTGCAGTACCATCTGGGCTTCTGTGGGGACACTCCTGATCTCTGTCTGGGCACAGCAAAGGGCGGTGAGGGGCCTCTCTCTGGTCGTGGGGTTTTCTTTGCAGCAGAGACTGAAGACTGCAGCAGGAAGATACAAGTCCCAGTGACAGGGCTCCTGCTCACACAGCTCCTGCACCATCCTATGAAAAAAATGGGGTGACAGCCATCCTATGAAAAAGACACAGGGTGACAGAGCCATCCTATGAAAAACACAAGGGTGACAGCCATCCTATGAAAAACACACAGGGGGACAGAGCCAGTGAGCCAGGACCAGTGGGGGAGGGTCCCAGCTCAAAAGTGGCCAAAATGACGTGCGCTGACATGCTGCAATACCACCCCGGGCCGATGGGGGTGGACCCAGAAGTAGAATTAGCCAATGCTAACATATAGCGTTAGCAGACCTCTCAAAAACGTCTTTACAGGATGGACCAAAAGTTGGCTCTTGGCCCAAAGCTCCGTTCCACATGTGTGTCAATGCTGAGGGGAGTGATTTTTTTTGGTCCACTCTAGTTTAGTCGCGGGGAATTTTTGAAGTCTCTCGTTCAAATGAATGGAGCTCTCGCCGGCTGACGCATGCGCAGATGCGTTTTTTCACAATTTTCTTGTGGGCGGGACCACTCGCGGCCATCTTGGATTGCTCCATGAAAGCACTTTTCATGGCCAACTCCTATGAACGCCGGAGATAGGCGTGACTTTGTCCGTTAATATATACAATCTATGGCCAGGACCTATTGACCCCTTGCATGTGACGTCCCGGCCACGCCCACTCTCCATGACAGACGCAGAAGTCTAACTGGAGCCTACGGACACCTGACCAAAACAACCTGTTTCAGCGCATTACAGCCAGAACTGTGACATTTTGCAGTGCGGTTGATTATACTAACAGGCAAGGACATAAGCTTTTTTATCTGATACCTGCTCGTCATGAAGACAGAAGACGACGATGCCCAGCGGCAATCAACCAAAAGGACTGGGACCCATCCAAGTACTCCCCAATATGCAGTGAACACTTTTTACAAGATAAAGCAATCACAAGTTTGTATTTATATTATTCCCATTAATGTGGAGGACAATGACACACGTCAAACGTGTCTCTTACTACTGTCTCTTACTGGTAGCTAATGCTACCAGCAAAATGTACATATAAATCTGCTCCAGTGTGAGGGGATGCATCGTTAACGATAATGATAAAGATCATGTAGGGTGAATTTGGGCAAAAATAGACATTTTATTTAATCGATAAAATTGACTGGGGGGAGAAGGTACGGGTCAACATCCAGTTAGGCAATCCTTAACTTCTCCAGATACCACTCTTTGTGAGCCCTGATGTCCTACTTCCACCTATAACGTAATTGAACATGTGCTTGAAGCAGCCACTTCTCGATTCAGGAGAGGAAGCTCCGTTTTTAAGAGTTGTAGTCCGTTTTGCTCTCGCAGCAATGCTAATGCTAGTTTCCAATACTTCCGCCGTAAGCTCATTCACAATCACGTGACTGGATGACGTTGATGCATCTGGTCAATAGGTCATTCATGTGAACCGATGTGTGTGTTTTGTGTGTGAATCCGTCTATGTGTGTGTCTCTGTGTGTTTGTGTTTTTGTATGTGTCTATGTTTTTGTGTGTGTGTGTGTGTCCGTGTGTCTGTGTGTCTGTGTCTGACCTGTCTATCATGTGTTGTGTGCTCTGCTCCACTGCTCCGGTCTGAGGATGTTGAATCAGCAGCGGGAATTCAACCGACAACTCCTGCTTCAACTGCTGGTTTATCTGAAACACACAACACTAGGAGAAAGACAGGAGAGGACCAGCACAACACTAGGAGGAAAGACAGGAGAGGACCAGGACAACACTAGGAGAAAGACAGGAGAGGACCAGGACAACACTAGGAGAAAGACAGGAGAGGACCAGGACAACACTAGGAGAAAGACAGACGTGGACCAACACAACACTAGGAGAAAGACAGGAGAGGACCAGGACAACACTAGGAGAAAGACAGACGTGGACCAACACAACACTAGGAGAAAGACAGGAGAGGACCAGCACAACACTAGGAGAAAGACAGGAGAGGACCAGGACAACACTAGGAGAAAGACAGAAGTGGACCAACACAACACTAGGAGAGGACCAGGACAACACTAGGAGAAAGACAGGAGAGGACCAGCACAACACTAGGAGAAAGACAGGAGAGGACCAGGACAACACTAGGAGAAAGACAGAAGTGGACCAACACAACACTAGGAGAGGACCAGGACAACACTAGGAGAAAAACAGGAGAGGACCAGGACAACACTTGGAGAAAGACAGGAGAGGACCAGGACAACACTAGGAGAAAGACAGAAGTGGACCAGCACAACACTAGGAGAAAGACAGGAGAGGACCAGGACAACACTAGGAGAAAGACAGGAGAGGACCAGCACAACACTAGGAGAAAGACAGGAGAGGACCAGTACAACACTAGGAGAAAGACAGGAGAGGACCAGCACAACACTAGGAGAAAGACAGGAGAGGACCAGGACAACACTAGGAGAAAGACAGGAGAGGACCAGGACAACACTAGGAGAAAGACAGGAGAGGACCAGCACAACACTAGGAGAAAGACAGGAGAGGACCAGCACAACACTAGGAGAAAGACAGGAGAGGACCAGGACAACACTAGGAGAAAGACAGGAGAGGACCAGGACAACACTAGGAGAAAGACAGGAGAGGACCAGCACAACACTAGGAGAAAGAGAGGAGAGGACCAGCACAACACTAGGAGAAAGACAGGAGAGGACCAGGACAACACTAGGAGAAAGACAGGAGAGGACCAGCACAACACTAGGAGAAAGAGAGGAGAGGACCAGCACAACACTAGGAGAAAGACAGGAGAGGACCAGCACAACACTAGGAGAAAGACAGGAGAGGACCAGGACAACACTAGGAGAAAGACAGGAGAGGACCACACTAGGAGAAAGAGAGGAGAGGACCAAGACAACACTAGGAGAAAGACAGGAGAGGACCAGCACAACACTAGGAGAAAGAGAGGAGAGGACCAGCACAACACTAGGAGAAAGACAGGAGGACCAGCACAACACTTGGAGAAAGACAGGAGAGGACCAGGACGACACTAGGAGAAAGAGAGGAGAGGACCAAGACAACACTAGGAGAAAGACAGGAGAGGACCAGCACAACACTAGGAGAAAGACAGGAGAGGACCAGGACAACACTAGGAGAAAGACAGGAGAGGACCAGGACAACACTAGGAGAAAGACAGGAGAGGATCAGGACAACACTAGGAGAAAGACAGGAGAGGACCAGGACAACACTAGGAGAAAGACAGACGGGGACCAACACACACTAGGAGAAAGACAGGAGAGGACCAGGACAACACTAGGAGAAAGACAGACGTGGACCAACACAACACTAGGAGAAAGACAGGAGAGGACCAGCACAACACTAGGAGAAAGACAGGAGAGGACCAGGACAACACTAGGAGAAAGACAGGAGAGGACCAGGACAACACTAGGAGAAAGACAGAAGTGGACCAACACAACACTAGGAGAGGACCAGGACAACACTAGGAGAAAAACAGGAGAGGACCAGGACAACACTTGGAGAAAGACAGGAGAGGACCAGGACAACACTAGGAGAAAGACAGGAGAGGACCAGGACAACACTAGGAGAAAGAGAGGAGAGGACCAAGACAACACTAGGAGAAAGACAGGAGAGGACCAGCACAACACTAGGAGAAAGACAGGAGAGGACCAGGACAACACTAGGAGAAAGACAGGAGAGGACCAGGACAACACTAGGAGAAAGACAGGAGAGGACCAGGACAACACTAGGAGAAAGACAGACGTGGACCAACACAACACTAGGAGAAAGACAGGAGAGGACCAGGACAACACTAGGAGAAAGACAGACGTGGACCAACACAACACTAGGAGAAAGACAGGAGAGGACCAGCACAACACTAGGAGAAAGACAGGAGAGGACCAGGACAACACTAGGAGAAAGACAGAAGTGGACCAACACAACACTAGGAGAGGACCAGGACAACACTAGGAGAAAGACAGGAGAGGACCAGCACAACACTAGGAGAAAGACAGGAGAGGACCAGCACAACACTAGGAGAAAGACAGGAGAGGACCAGGACAACACTAGGAGAAAGACAGAAGTGGACCAACACAACACTAGGAGAGGACCAGGACAACACTAGGAGAAAAACAGGAGAGGACCAGGACAACACTTGGAGAAAGACAGGAGAGGACCAGGACAACACTAGGAGAAAGACAGAAGTGGACCAGCACAACACTAGGAGAAAGACAGGAGAGGACCAGGACAACACTAGGAGAAAGACAGGAGAGGACCAGCACAACACTAGGAGAAAGACAGGAGAGGACCAGGACAACACTAGGAGAAAGACAGGAGAGGACCAGGACAACACTAGGAGAAAGACAGAAGTGGACCAACACAACACTAGGAGAAAGACAGGAGAGGACCAGGACAACACTAGGAGAAAGACAGGAGAGGACCAGGACAACACTAGAAGAGGACCAGGACAACACTAGGAGAAAGACAGGAGAGGACCAGGACAACACTTGGAGAAAGACAGGAGAGGACCAGCACAACACTAGGAGAAAGAGAGGAGAGGACCAGGACAACACTAGGAGAAAGACAGAAGTGGACCAGCACAACACTAGGAGAAAGACAGGAGAGGACCAGGACAACACTAGGAGAAAGACAGGAGAGGACCAGGACAACACTTGGAGAAAGACAGGAGAGGACCAGGACAACACTTGGAGAAAGACAGGAGAGGACCAGGACAACACTAGGAGAAAGACAGAAGTGGACCAGCACAACACTAGGAGAAAGACAGGAGAGGACCAGGACAACACTAGGAGAAAGACAGGAGAGGACCAGCACAACACTAGGAGAAAGACAGGAGAGGACCAGGACAACACTAGGAGAAAGACAGGAGAGGACCAGGACAACACTAGGAGAAAGACAGAAGTGGACCAACACAACACTAGGAGAAAGACAGGAGAGGACCAGGACAACACTAGGAGAAAGACAGGAGAGGACCAGGACAACACTAGAAGAGGACCAGGACAACACTAGGAGAAAGACAGGAGAGGACCAGGACAACACTTGGAGAAAGACAGGAGAGGACCAGCACAACACTAGGAGAAAGAGAGGAGAGGACCAGGACAACACTAGGAGAAAGACAGAAGTGGACCAGCACAACACTAGGAGAAAGACAGGAGAGGACCAGGACAACACTAGGAGAAAGACAGGAGAGGACCAGGACAACACTAGGAGAAAGACAGGAGAGGACCAGGACAACACTAGGAGAGGACCAGGACAACACTAGGAGAAAGACAGGAGAGGACCAGGACAACACTAGGAGAAAGTGAGGAGAGGACCAGGACAACACTAGGAGAAAGACAGACGTGGACCAACACAACACTAGGAGAAAGACAGGAGAGGACCAGGACAACACTAGGAGAAAGAGAGGAGAGGACCAGCACAACACTAGGAGAAAGACAGGAGAGGACCAGGACAACACTAGGAGAAAGACAGGAGAGGACCAGGACAACACTAGGAGAAAGACAGAAGTGGACCAACACAACACTAGGAGAGGACCAGGACAACACTAGGAGAAAAACAGGAGAGGACCAGGACAACACTTGGAGAAAGACAGGAGAGGACCAGGACAACACTAGGAGAAAGACAGAAGTGGACCAGCACAACACTAGGAGAAAGACAGGAGAGGACCAGGACAACACTAGGAGAAAGACAGGAGAGGACCAGCACAACACTAGGAGAAAGACAGGAGAGGACCAGGACAACACTAGGAGAAAGACACAGGAGAGGACCAGGACAACACTAGGAGAAAGACAGAAGAGGGACCCAACACAACACTAGGAGAAAGACTAGGAGAGGACCAGGACAACACTAGGAGAAAGACAGGAGAGGAAGACAACACTAGGAGAACTCATTCATACCTAGCATGTTTTTAGTGGTAGGGGAAACCGGAATGCTGAGAAGCGAGAGTACTAACCACTCAGCCACCGTGTTGCAGGTAATAGGAGCCAGAGGGAGGAGCCAAACTTCGATCATGAGCACTTCCCTGTTGGGCTTCATTGAGCTGAGGGCCGTGACAGAGTTATCAGCTGCAGGTCTATTATTATCCTTTTATTGCTTCAGTTTGAAGTCTCTAAAAATAGAAGAGGAAACGGGAGCTCGGGTTACAGAGGCTGAAAGGGCTTTTGTTTTACTTTTGTTTTAAAGGCAGAAAACCGCTCTGTGTGATGTCATAGTTTAGGGAACACAGGTGTCTCTCTCTGGTCTCCCTGGTCTTTCCGGTCTCCCTCTGATCTTTCTCTGGTCTCTCTCTGGTCTCCCTGGTTTTTCGGTCTCCCTCTGGTCTTTCTCTGAGACTAGTTTGGGATGCAACCTCAGTGCTGGGGGCGTGTCAGAGCGAGCGCTGTGATTGGTTCGTTGCTTAAAGGCACAAAGGCAGTGGTCAGACAAGGTCACGGAGCTGAGAGCTGATTGGCCGAGAGCGGAGGAGTGTTGCGGCTCGGGTTTCATGTGAGGCACGAGGAGAGTCAGAGGACACTCAGCTGTGGAGCTCTGTTACCATGGTGATGGGAGACCTCTGAAGCTAAGCAGGAAAGGGCCTGGTTAACATTGTAATGGGAGACCTGTGAGAACACCAGGTGCCACAGTGGGTGAGGCGTCTTTGAGCTTCCAACCCGCTCCATTTCTAAACCATGAAATTCCAAAGTTTAATAAAAATCAGTTCTTGTGTTTTATATGTGAACATGGGCGCTCTGGAGTCAAACAGAAAACACTGAATTTCATCTTGTTTTTATAAAAATAACATTTATATTTGACTGCAGACGAAAAGAGCCTCCTCAGCTCAGCACCACGTCACAGTCTCCAAGTCCGGCATCTACCATCTGCAACAAACACAAGAACATGAGTGACCAGAGAGAGAGACCAGAGAGAGAGACCAGAGAGAGAGACCAGAGAGAGAGACCAGAGAGACCAGAGAGAGACCAGAGAGAGACCAGAGAGAGAGACCAGAGAGAGAGACCAGAGAGACCAGAGAGACCAGAGAGAGACCAGAGAGAGACCAGAGAATGACCAGAGAGAGACCAGAGAGAGACCAGAGAATGACCAGAGAGAGACCAGAGAGAGACCAGAGAGAAACTTTTCCTCTGTATAGTATAGAGAAGGTTTTTTTGTTCACTGTTAAAAAAACAAAACTGAAATGCGAGACTGATGATGAGACAAATAGATAAGCTGGAGTGTGGGTGCAATACCAGCTGGGACCTGTGTGAGGGTGCAGTACCAGCTGGGACCTGTGTGAGGGTGCAGTACCAGCTGGGACCTGTGTGTGGGTGCAGTATCAGCAGTGACCTGTGTGTGGGTGCAGTACCATCTGGGCTTCTGTGGGGACACTCCTGATCTCTGTCTGGGCACAGCAAAGGGCGGTGAGGGGCCTCTCTCTGGTCGTGGGGTTTTCTTTGCAGCAGAGACTGAAGACTGCAGCAGGAAGATACAAGTCCCAGTGACAGGGCTCCTGCTCACACAGCTCCTGCACCATCCTATGAAAAAAATGGGGTGACAGCCATCCTATGAAAAAGACACAGGGTGACAGAGCCATCCTATGAAAAACACAAGGGTGACAGCCATCCTATGAAAAACACACAGGGGGACAGAGCCAGTGAGCCAGGACCAGTGGGGGAGGGTCCCAGCTCAAAAGTGGCCAAAATGACGTGCGCTGACATGCTGCAATACCACCCCGGGCCGATGGGGGTGGACCCAGAAGTAGAATTAGCCAATGCTAACATATAGCGTTAGCAGACCTCTCAAAAACGTCTTTACAGGATGGACCAAAAGTTGGCTCTTGGCCCAAAGCTCCGTTCCACATGTGTGTCAATGCTGAGGGGAGTGATTTTTTTTGGTCCACTCTAGTTTAGTCGCGGGGAATTTTTGAAGTCTCTCGTTCAAATGAATGGAGCTCTCGCCGGCTGACGCATGCGCAGATGCGTTTTTTCACAATTTTCTTGTGGGCGGGACCACTCGCGGCCATCTTGGATTGCTCCATGAAAGCACTTTTCATGGCCAACTCCTATGAACGCCGGAGATAGGCGTGACTTTGTCCGTTAATATATACAATCTATGGCCAGGACCTATTGACCCCTTGCATGTGACGTCCCGGCCACGCCCATTCTCCATGACAGACGCAGAAGTCTAACTGGAGCCTACGGACACCTGACCAAAACAACCTGTTTCAGCGCATTACAGCCAGAACTGTGACATTTTGCAGTGCGGTTGATTATACTAACAGGCAAGGACATAAGCTTTTTTATCTGATACCTGCTCGTCATGAAGACAGAAGACGACGATGCCCAGCGGCAATCAACCAAAAGGACTGGGACCCATCCAAGTACTCCCCAATATGCAGTGAACACTTTTTACAAGATAAAGCAATCACAAGTTTGTATTTATATTATTCCCATTAATGTGGAGGACAATGACACACGTCAAACGTGTCTCTTACTACTGTCTCTTACTGGTAGCTAATGCTACCAGCAAAATGTACATATAAATCTGCTCCAGTGTGAGGGGATGCATCGTTAACGATAATGATAAAGATCATGTAGGGTGATTTTGGGCAAAAATAGACATTTTATTTAATCGATAAAATTGACTGGGGGGAGAAGGTACGGGTCAACATCCAGTTAGGCAATCCTTAACTTCTCCAGATACCACTCTTTGTGAGCCCTGATGTCCTACTTCCACCTATAACGTAATTGAACATGTGCTTGAAGCAGCCACTTCTCGATTCAGGAGAGGAAGCTCCGTTTTTAAGAGTTGTAGTCCGTTTTGCTCTCGCAGCAATGCTAATGCTAGTTTCCAATACTTCCGCCGTAAGCTCATTCACAATCACGTGACTGGATGACGTTGATGCATCTGGTCAATAGGTCATTCATGTGAACCGATGTGTGTGTTTGTGTGTGAATCCGTCTATGTGTGTGTCTCTGTGTGTTTGTGTTTTTGTATGTGTCTATGTTTTTGTGTGTGTGTGTGTGTCCGTGTGTCTGTGTGTCTGTGTCTGACCTGTCTATCATGTGTTGTGTGCTCTGCTCCACTGCTCCGGTCTGAGGATGTTGAATCAGCAGCGGGAATTCAACCGACAACTCCTGCTTCAACTGCTGGTTTATCTGAAACACCATAAGTCACGGTAAAGACCAGCGAGAGACCAGAAAATACCAGAGAGAGACAAGACTGAGAGACAAGACTGAGAGAGAGACTAGGGAGGGACCAGAAAATATCAGAAAGAGACCAGAGAGAGACCTGAACGAGACCAGAGAGAGAGACCTGAACGAGACCAGAAAGAGAGACCTGAAAGAGACCAGAGAGAGAGAGACAAGAGAGAGAGAGACCAGAGAGAGACTAGAGAGGGACCAGAGAGAGACCAGAGAGAGACCAGAGAGAGACCAGAGAGAGACCAAAGAGAGACCAGAGAGAGAACAGAGTGAGACCCAAGAGAGACCAGACAGAGACCAAAGAGACCAGAGAGAGACCAGAGAGAGACCAAAGAGAGACCAAAGAGAGAGGCCAGAGAGAGATCAGAGAGAGACACCTGTTGGAGCAGTGCGTGAGGCAGTCTGCTCAGGATCCTCCGGGGGAACCCGAAGTGTGCGATGACCTCCACCAGGTGGCGGACCATGTGAGCCGGCTGCAGAGAGTCCACAGGCCACGCCTCCAACCAATGAGAGAACAGATCACAGAGACTGAGGATGAATCGGTGACCAGAGGGCGTCTGAGGGAGGGGCCCACGCAGGTCCAGGGCTAACCACTGCCACGGTCCAGTCACCTGACACAAACAGTCACCATAAGAGAGACCAGAGAGAGACCAGTAACCTGAGAGAGACCAGAGAGAGACCAGAGAGAGACCAGAGAGAGACAAGAGAGAGACCAGAGACCAGAGAGAGAGACCAGACAGAGACCAGTAACCTGAGAGAGACCAGAGAGAGACCAGAGAGAGACAAGAGAGAGACCAGACAGAGAGACAAGAGAGAGACCAGAGAGAGAGACCAGACAGAAACCAGAGACAAGAGAGAGACCAGAGAGAGACCAGACGGAGAGACTAGAGAAAGACCAGAGAGAGACCAGCGAGAGACTAGAGAGAGACCAGACGGAGAGACCAGCGAGAGACCAGACAGAGACCAGAGACAAGAGAGAGACCAAAGAGAGACCTCCTCTCTTCTCTCTCACCTGGATCACTGCGCTTGACTTCTCAGTTTTCTCCTGTGAAACAAAAACCTTTGCTTAAAACTCAGAATCACAAAATAGACTGTTGTTATGGAAACACTCACCAATGGGTCCTTATCTGGCGCCCACCGAACGTCCTGCAACAACATCAGAAACTTAAGAAGCAGCAAATCACAAAGACACTCTGGTCTCGCACTCTGGTCTCGCACTCTGGTCTCGCACTCTGGTCTCGCACTCTGGTCTCGCACTCTGGTCTCGCACTCTGGTCTCGCACTCTGGTCTCGCACTCTGGTCTCGCACTCTGGTCTCGCACTCTGGTCTCGCACTCTGGTCTCGCACTCTGGTCTCGCACTCTGGTCTCGCACTCTGGTCTCGCACTCTGGTCTCGCACTCTGGTCTCGCACTCTGGTCTCGCACTCTGGTCTCGCACTCTGGTCTCGCACTCTGGTCTCGCACTCTGGTCTCGCACTCTGGTCTCGCACTCTGGTCTCGCACTCTGGTCTCGCACTCTGGTCTCGCACTCTGGTCTCGCACTCTGGTCTCGCACTCTGGTCTCGCACTCTGGTCTCGCACTCTGGTCTCGCACTCTGGTCTCGCACTCTGGTCTCGCACTCTGGTCTCGCACTCTGGTCTCGCACCCTGGTCTCGCACCCTGGTCTCGCACCCTGGTCTCGCACCCTGGTCTCGCACCCTGGTCTCGCACCCTGGTCTCGCACCCTGGTCTCGCACCCTGGTCTCGCACCCTGGTCTCGCACCCTGGTCTCGCACTCTGGTCTCGCACTCTGGTCTCGCACTCTGGTCTCGCACTCTGGTCTCGCACTCTGGTCTCGCACTCTGGTCTCGCACTCTGGTCTCGCACTCTGGTCTCGCACTCTGGTCTCGCACTCTGGTCCCTCTCTCTGGTCTCTCTCTCTGGTCTCTCTCTCTGGTCTCTCTCTCGGGAATCTCTCTCGGGACTCTCTCTCGGGACTCTCTCTCGGGACTCTCTCTCGGGACTCTCTCTCTGGTCACTCTCTCTCTAGTCTCTCTCTGGTCTCACTGGTCTCTCTCACTGGTCTCTCTCTCTGGACTCTCTCTCTGGACTCTCTCTCTGGACTCTCTCTGGACTCTCTCTCTGGACTCTCTCTCTGGACTCTCTCTCTGGACTCTCTCTCTGGACTCTCTCTCTGGACTCTCTCTCTGGACTCTCTCTCTGGACTCTCTCTCTGGACTCTCTCTCTGGACTCTCTCTCTGGACTCTGGTTGTTACCGTGGAGATGCAATAGTTTCCGTGGAAGAAATGTGGAAAAGAGTGAATAGTGTTCAGCTCCTCGTCCACGACCACCGACCAGCGTCCCTCCCCCATCCTGCGGACACCAGTTCATCAGACACAAAATTCCCCCCCTCTCTCTCCCCTTCTCTCTCTCCCCTCTACTTGTGTTATCCTTGTGTGCTCTCACTCTTGACCCATCAGTGTGTTGCAACATTGACATTTCCCCACTGGGCGAAAAAAGGTTCTCCTCCTCCACCTACTCTCTCTCCTCCACTTCCTCCTCTCTCTCTTCCACCTCCTCCTCTCTCTCCTGCTCCTCCTCCTTTCTGTGGCTGATGCCTCCTCTTTCACCTTAGTCTCTGTATTATGAGTGGTGTGTAGACCTCACCTCTCATCCTCCTCCTCTCTCTCCACCTCCTCCCCGCTCTCCTCCTCCCTGCTCCTCTCTGTGGTTGAGGCCTCCTCCCTGCTCCTCTCTGTGGTTGAGGCCTCCTCCCTGCTCCTCTCTGTGGTTGAGGCCTCCTCCTCTCTGCTCCTCTCTGTGGTTGAGGCCTCCTCCTCTTTGATCCTCCTCTTCAGACTCCAACCTCGAGGCTAAAAACAAACATTTTAAACAAAGTGATGGATCTGGTTCAAACCTCAGAGAATCACAGACCTGAGATTTAGTCCGGTTCACGAGGTCTTCATCCGAGACCTGCACCAGAAAGGACTTTAGACCAGAAACTAGAGACCAAAGAAAGACAAGAGAGAGACTAGAAAGAGACCAGAAGAACAAGACACCAGAGAGAGGAGGGAGACCTGAGAGAGAGACCAGGGTTACAAGAGACCAGAGAGAAGAGAGACCAGAGAGACCGGGGGGGACAAGAGACCAGAGAGAAGAGAGACCAGAGAGACCGGGGGGACAAGAGACCAGAGAGAAGAGAGACCAGAGAGACCGGGGGGACAAGAGACCAGAGAGAGGAGAGAGACCAGAGAGGAGAGGGACCAGAGAGACCAGGGGGGCAAGAGACCAGAGCGAGGAGAGACTAGAGCAAAAAAATCATCTTTATTCTGTGTTTAGCTGCCACACCTTGTCAGCGTGTGTCACAGGTCTCCCATCCCTGACTGCCTGGCCTCTCACCTCTGCACAGGGAAACAGTGTAGGCTCCGCCCCCTCTCTAAGCCGGATACCCTTCCCTGTGATCTCCAGGTGCTGCTCCTCAAAGTGACGGATGCAGAGAGCGGACGAGACGGTGGGGCGCCAGGTCTGACGGCCCATGCTCTGCAGCCAGCGCCTCAGCTTCTGCTTATTGTAGAGGGGAAACCTGGCAACCACAGAGATTTAGAATGGCGACCCCACGACCTTCAGGCTCAAAGGCCAATGCTCTACCACCTGAGCCACTGTCGGCCCAGAGAGTAGACCAGAGAGACAAGAGATAGAGACCAGTGAGAGAGACCAGAAGGACCAGATAGAGGCAAGAGAGAAGCAAGAGAGAGGGACCAGAGAGAGACCAGATAGACCACTTTGACATCACACTCAAATCAGTTTTCTGGCTTGTAAAACAAAAGTATTGCCTATAAATAACATTATTTTCCATCACTGGTCTCCTCCCTCAAGATACAGGGAGCTCTAACTGCAGACGCTGCTCGCTCTGACGACAGCATAGAGTCACAAGCCTGTTTTACCCTTCATACTTGTTTCTTCTAGAGATAATATTTCACATATTAAAAAAAACAAAACAGCCTCATTAAGTTTTAATGAGCGAAAAATAATGCATAGTTTATCTTATCTTTTGTGTCAGAAAGAGCCCAGTGAGTCACAATTCGACTCTTTGGCTGACTCTTTTTTTTTTCCAGACAAAAGCTGAAAAACGTGCTGTGAAAACTAATGATAGAAGCAATTTGTTTTAGAGCCAGGAACTAGAGACATGAGTTAAATGAATGTTTGTGATTTGAAAATTTAGTACATTGGCTTTAATCTAGAGGAGACACTAACTCGGTAAGTCGTGTTAGATCTTCAGCCTTTAAAAATAAATAGAATATAAAATATAAAAATAAAAAAGATCTTCAGCCTTTTTACGTTATTAGCGCTGTCAGTCTCCCCTGAACCTGCCTCTAACGTCAGTCTGTAACATATATCTGTGATAATGAACAGTACTGTCTTGTTGATGTCGCTCTCTGCCAGAAAAGAGTCTCTGGCGCAGTTTTACCACATTTACCACATTTTTAAACCTCTTACTTGAAGAACTTGATGCCAGAGTCACTGGTGCTACTACAGTTATCCGCGCAGCACGTGTATCTCCCCATTTACAGCAGAAACAACTCAAAACACCAAGATTTACGAGATTTTGGGCCAAGTAGCTGCGTTAGCATGTAGCTAATTAGCAATAACAATGCTAACGTCCGGTCTGTCACAATAAAGCGCTGATAAACACGGATTTTACGTTTATTTGGAAGAGAACTGTTAACATGTGTTCAGGTTTGACACAGGAGGCGTTTATCAGAGTAAATTATTATTAAAACAACTTTCCGGAGACATTTCTACCCCGTCGACAGTCATGGAAAATACAAACTTATCCGGTTCTCGTCATTTTACTACATTCGGATTTTCTGCTGACTATTAAAGTGTGTTAAAGCTTAAAGAGTTGTGACTGAAACTATAAATACATATAACCCTGGGCTTTATGTAATCAACTAAGCAGCTTTTATGTTTTAATTATTAAATATTTGTGTATCGCTCTAAAGTCACAGCCGCAGTCGTCAAAGGGGTCTGTCACTCCCGTATTCGTCCCGGAAACCGGGTTCGTCCGGAAGTTCAGTTTGATCCAATGAGCATACGCAGCAGTAGATTACGTCACGGAATCTGGACGGAAGTGGAAGTAAGTATAAAAAACTACCTATTCATGCCTAAACTTAACCAGCCATTCCCATAAAATAACCCCAACCCAGCCTTAACCCTAACCTTAACCATCTTAGTCAGACGCCTAAACGTAACCAGTCACCACTTAAGGACATATTAAACTTTTTGACATGCGCAAACTGAACTTCCGGACGAATCCGGTTTCCGGGACGAATACGGGAGTGACAGGTCTTTACAAAGAAGAAAAAAACAGTTCAAACACAGGAAATGCTGGAGCCATTGATCCATCGTAAGCAGAATGACCACTGTCCGGAAAAAAATATTTCACAAAATCTAAACTAAAAATGTTGAAATATCACTGGAAGAAACTATTTGTGAAACAGACAAATACAGCTCCCTGATTTCTTTTAAAAAAACACTGCATACAACAGACTCAAAGAAGAAAAGAGAAAGTCTTTATTGATGTGAAAGTGATGATGATGATGATGATGATGAGGTTCAGTTGTGTTTAGATTTGAAGTCCAGCCTCCACTCGTCTGCGTCCAGCAGGTTTCTGTGCGTTTCCCACTGCGTGTTCTCCAGCGCTGAAACGTCACAAACGTCACAAACAGCACAGATTCAGAAAGTGGCAATTTTGTGTTCTCACATTTCAGGAATGAAGGGAAGTGTTTGTCCAACTGCTGTCGACTCTGCTCCAACAGCTGCCACTGATCTGAGGAGCAGGCACATGTTACAGCGCCTCCTACTGTTCCAACTGTTCTAGACTCACCGTGTGTGTGTTCTAGACTCACCATATGTGTGTCTTTGTGTCATCAGATTCCTCAGACTCAGACACTGACACATGGACTGGAGCTCATCTGTGACTGAGGCTCCGATCAGTAGCACCACAAACACACAACCTGGAGACACACAGTGGGGCGAGCGTAGATCAGGTGGTGGAGCAATGGCCTGGGGACCACCTCCTGCAGGAGGATCAGAGGCTGAAAATATAATTTACACTAACCGTCTCTCACAGCGATGAGGAAACGTCTCTGTTGCACCGCCTGAGTCAGTCTCTGGAAGTGTTCTGCACTGAAACACAGACACACAAATACACACACAGTTAGACCTCTCTCTGACCCTTAGTATAAAACTTGTAAATTCACCTGAGCCTCAGCTCCTGGAGCTTCACCCCGAGACGAACAGGAACCGTTCCACTGCACCCTGACCACAGAACACACAGATGAAGACCACCTGAGACCACCCCTGAGACCACCTGACCAACCTGAGACCACCCCTGAGACCACCTGAGACCACCCCTGAGACCACCTGACCAACCTGAGACCACCCCTGAGAGTAGAGTAATTTCAGCATTAGCAGCGAACAACGTATGTAGGAGGACCCTTGATTGGCTCTGTGGTTGCTATGTGGTTGCTATGTTGTTGCTCCCCCCTCATTTGGCTCCAGCCTGAGTCAGCTCTAGATCAGCTGTTTGTGTGAGGTGCAGCACACTCACAGTTGAGCAGCGGCTCTACAGCGTTTGCTTCTCGCGGCGTCAGGATTTTTCCCGTTTGTACAAAGTTTGTCCAGACGACTTGCAGCCGCTCCTCATTGAACGTTTCCATGACGACCGAGCGCACGGCTTTGAAGTTAGCCACAAGATGGAGGACGGTGAAGAGTGAGAAGAGCAGCAGCGTCAGCCTGAGGAGGAAACAACGAAACAGTCTGGAACTTTCTGGAAAGGTCTGGAAGGGTCTGGATTGGTCTGTAAAGAGGCAGCCAGTCCACACACATCACTTACGGAGGATTATCAGTGACCAGAGGAATCAGGAGCAGACTGACCAGGAGCCCAGCTAGGTTCACCAGGGTCTCCTGCAAGAGAGAGGAGTGAACAGGACTAAAGCCGGACTACAGCAGGACTAAAGCAGGTCTAAAGCAGGTCTAAAGCAGGACTAAAGCAGGTCTAAAGCAGGTCTAAAGCAGGACTAAAGCAGGTCTAAAGCAGGTCTAAAGCCGGACTAAAGCAGGATTAAAGCAGGTCTAAAGCAGGTCTAAAGCCGGACTAAAGCAGGATTTAAGCAGGACTAGCTGGACTAAAGCCGGACTAAAGCAGGACTAAAGCAGGTCTAAAGCAGGTCTAAAGCCGGACTAAAGCAGGATTTAAGCAGGACTAACTGGACTAAAGCTGGACTGAAGCAGGACTAAAGCAGGACTAAAGCAGGACTAAAGCAGGACTAAAGCAGGACTAAAGCAGGACTAAAGCAGGACTAAAGCAGGACTGTCTGGGACTGTCTGAGACATTACCTGGCTGCCGTCTTTAGCGGATATGTCGGCCATGTTGTCTCTTCGCGCCTGATGCACCGTGAGTGCGGCGCGAGTGGCTCCTCCGGCAACACCCACAATAGACTGAAAACACAACCATGAGCTAACACCTGAGGCCAATGTAGCGAGAGCAAACATCAGTTTAGACCAAGCCCCGGTGATCCAAGATGGTGCCCTATTCAAATGAATGATGGGCACTGACATATCAGAGGGACTCTGCGATTTTTGGGCATCGTCTAGTCCTCCGGTTCTGCGCAGTGGACGAGCTCCCATGATGCTTTGTGCCAAATACACGTGAGTGACTCTCATGCACGTGCACAGAGGGGCTCGGCCGCGCACTGACCAATCAGAGCAGGAGTGTAGTAATGTGTGGATTTAAAGAAAACCAAAGGATTTAAGAAGAAAAAAAGTTCAGGGTGACAAGGGACACTAAAATCCCCACAAAATCCGATCTTTGTGAAAGCTGTAGGTTCTCTGTCAGGTTCTCTGTCAGCTGAGGTCGAGCTGTTTGAGCGCACATTGAGTTCTATGGGACTTTTTTATGGGTAGCCAGCGTGAATTTAGTTTGCAGTACCACAGCGCCCCCTGTGCCCATGGGTGGGACAGCTATAAGCTAGTAATACCCTATCCACTTATTATTATAGATCCATGGTTTAGACAGGTTTACTTTGAAGACTCCGGCTGTGCACACGATCCACAGGAAGAAGGTGGGAAAGAACGGTGCCAGGATCTCCATAAACAAGGCCACATCATTCAGGAAGTCTGCAAACAGCCTGAGGCGAGATCAGAGCGATCAGAGAGAGACCAGAGAGAGGCCAGAGAGAGACCAGAGAGAGGCCAGAGAGAGACCAGAGAGAGACCAGAGAGAGGCCAGAGAGAGACCAGAGAGAGGCCAAAGAGAGACCAGAGAGAGACCAGAGAGAGACCAGAGAGAGACCAGAGAGAGACCAGAGAGAGACCAGAGAGAGACCAGAGAGAGACCAGAGAGAGACCAGAGAGAGACCAGAGAGAGACCAGAGAGAGACCAGAGAGAACACATACCTCCACTTTTTGGCCTCCGAGTCCAATTTGGTCCTAGAACAGAATAAAAGAGAATCAGGAACAGAGATCTGTCCACCAGAGAGACAGAGAGTGAGAGACCAGAGAGAGAGAGAGCTGTCCACCAGAGGGAGCTGTGTTTTAAACTCACCCTTTCTTCCAAGCGAAAAGGATCCTACCCAACATCCCTGTGCCGTCTGCAACACAGCATTACACATGTATGAGGCTGCAGTACCAGGTGGTGTCACATGTATGAGGCTGCAGTACCAGGTGGTGTCACATGTATGAGGCTGCAGTACCAGGTGATGTCACATGTATGAGGCTGCAGTACCAGGTGGTGTCACGTGTATGAGGCTGCAGTACCAGGTGGTGTCACGTGTATGAGGCTGCAGTACCAGGTGGTGTCACATGTATGAGGCTGCAGTACCAGGTGGTGTCACATGTATGAGGCTGCAGTACCAGGTGATGTCACATTTATGAGGCTGCAGTACCAGGTGGTGTCACATGTATGAGGCTGCAGTACCAGGTGGTGTCACATGTATGAGGCTGCAGTACCAGGTGGTGTCACATGTATGAGGCTGCAGTACCAGGTGGTGTCACATGTATGAGGCTGCAGTACCAGGTGGTGTCACATGTATGAGGCTGCAGTACCAGGTGATGTCACATGTATGAGGCTGCAGTACCAGGTGGTGTCACGTGTATGAGGCTACAGTACCAGGTGGTGTCACGTGTATGAGGCTGCAGTACCAGGTGGTGTCACATGTATGAGGCTGCAGTACCACGTGGTGTCACATGTATGAGGCTACAGTACCAGGTGGTGTCACATGTATGAGGCTGCAGTACCAGGTGGTGTCACGTGTATGAGGCTGCAGTACCAGGTGATGTCACATGTATGAGGCTGCAGTACCAGGTGGTGTCACGTGTATGAGGCTACAGTACCAGGTGGTGTCACGTGTATGAGGCTGCAGTACCAGGTGATGTCACATGTATGAGGCTACAGTACCAGGTGGTGTCACGTGTATGAGGCTGCAGTACCAGGTGGTGTCACATGTATGAGGCTGCAGTACCAGGTGGTGTCACATGTATGAGGCTGCAGTACCAGGTGATGTCACATGTATGAGGCTGCAGTACCAGGTGGTGTCACATGTATGAGGCTGCAGTACCAGGTAATGTCACATGTATGAGGCTGCAGTACCAGGTGGTGTCACATGTATGAGGCTGCAGTACCAGGTGGTGTCACATGTATGAGGCTGCAGTACCAGGTGGTGTCACATGTATGAGGCTGCAGTACCAGGTGGTGTCACATGTATGAGGCTGCAGTACCAGGTGATGTCACATGTATGAGGCTGCAGTACCAGGTGGTGTCACATGTATGAGGCTGCAGTACCAGGTGATGTCACATGTATGAGGCTGCAGTACCAGGTGATGTCACATGTATGAGGCTGCAGTACCAGGTGGTGTCACATGTATGAGGCTGCAGTACCAGGTGATGTCACATGTATGAGGCTGCAGTACCAGGTGATGTCACATGTATGAGGCTGCAGTACCAGGTGGTGTCACGTGTATGAGGCTACAGTACCAGGTGGTGTCACGTGTATGAGGCTGCAGTACCAGGTGGTGTCACGTGTATGAGGCTACAGTACCAGGTGGTGTCACGTGTATGAGGCTGCAGTACCAGGTGATGTCACATGTATGAGGCTACAGTACCACGTGGTGTCACATGTATGAGGCTGCAGTACCAGGTGGTGTCACATGTATGAGGCTGCAGTACCAGGTGATGTCACATGTATGAGGCTGCAGTACCAGGTGATGTCACATGTATGAGGCTGCAGTACCAGGTGATGTCACATGTATGAGGCTGCAGTACCAGGTGGTGTCACATGTATGAGGCTGCAGTACCAGGTGATGTCACATGTATGAGGCTGCAGTACCAGGTGATGTCACATGTATGAGGCTGCAGTACCAGGTGGTGTCACGTGTATGAGGCTACAGTACCAGGTGGTGTCACGTGTATGAGGCTGCAGTACCAGGTGATGTCACATGTATGAGGCTGCAGTACCAGGTGATGTCACATGTATGAGGCTGCAGTACCAGGTGGTGTCACGTGTATGAGGCTACAGTACCAGGTGGTGTCACGTGTATGAGGCTGCAGTACCAGGTGATGTCACATGTATGAGGCTGCAGTACCAGGTGATGTCACATGTATGAGGCTGCAGTACCAGGTGGTGTCACGTGTATGAGGCTGCAGTACCAGGTGGTGTCACGTGTATGAGGCTGCAGTACCAGGTGGTGTCACGTGTATGAGGCTGCAGTACCAGGTGGTGTCACGTGTATGAGGCTGCAGTACCAGGTGATGTCACATGTATGAGGCTGCAGTACCTCGGAGTAGCCAGGTGGTGGTAGCAGCAGCGACGGTGGCCTTCTGGTCCCCCACTCCCACCCCTCTGAGGGAGGCCTGAGTTGCCAGAGTCCCAGACAGAGAGCTGCAGAAGGCCTGAAGCAGAACCAGACTGTGACCTCTGACCTCTGTGTGGTCAGAGGTCACCGGTCCTGGGCAGTGCCGCTGTGGGATGATTCTGGTTGTGTGCAATTGTGTATAGTTGTGTAGAGTGTGTAGTTGTGTGCAGTTGTGTACCTGTGCTGTGTCCCAGACCTGGTACTGGACATAGTCTTCACTGACGCTGTGTGGAAAACCCTGCGGCAGGAACACACTCTGAAAACACAACAAGTATTAAACACTCTCTGTGGTCCCTGTGGTCCCTGTGGTCCCGGTAAATCCCAGGTCTGGTCCTGTCTCTGTCTCTGGTCCAGGTGGTCTGACCTTAAACAGCCTCAGCAGTCCGGTCTCTGGTCTGGGTCCCGGTCTCAGGTCTTGGTCCAGTCTCTGTCTCTGGACTCCTTCCCCCTCCACACGGTAACACCACTCCACAGATCCGCTCCGTCCATACTGCTCCAGCACCTGAGGACCAGAGAGGAACTAGTGAGACCAGTGAGAGACCAGAGGGAGACCAGTGAGAGACCAGTGAGAGACCAGTGAGAGACCAGTGAGAGACCAGTGAGAGACCAGTGAGAGACCAGTGAGAGCATAGAGAGCATAGAGAGCAGAGAGATTCCAAATCATTGGTTCACGTTTGTGTATTTTATGAGGATAAAGTTACGTGCCTCAGCTTTAAACACAAAGTTACACAGTACCACTATTGAAATGGTTCAAACGCTGCCAAAACTTCTTACACCCACCTCCAGCTGCGGCCCCTGGGAGCCCGTGGACATGGCCCTTGAGGGTTAGGGTCAGGATTTACTGAAGATTCACAGAAATGTAAAAGATGGTCAGTGACAGAGACGTGGAGCTGTTTCCTCTCTCAATGTGGCCGCATCCGAAATCACAAAACACACCTCATCACTGATCTTTCCTTCTCCTTATAATATACTTTAATGCTATTAAAGTAGCCCTGAAAGCTCATAGTGAATCTGAATCTACCCCGTTTTACAAAGAGTAGGTTTAAAGCCAAATAAGGCAGAAAAGAACAAGCAAGGATGTGTTTTATGTGGATTTGGACGCAGACTGTGCTCCCTTCACTTTGCATTGGAAGCTATGCTAGCCCGATGCTAGCACACTCTCGATAATAATATGACTCCACAGCCTGGTTCTGGTGAAGATGAGAATTGGGACTTGTGTTTTCTGTTACGTTTCGGACTTTAGTAAAAGTTATAGAGATGCTAAATGGCAGAAAAGTGAAAAAATAACTACTTTGAGGTGTTTCGGTGCAGCTTCCGGGCTTTCTGTTTGGAGGGATCTAATTGGACAGTGAGCAGAGCGTGACTGTGACGTATTAACAGATGTAAACGAAGATCAGAAAACGCAACAGTATGTAACGTTTTAATTAAAGATGACATGACTTGTGTTCTGATGACACTGAATTAGTACATGTTTTAGAGGGAACAGAGGGACCAGAGAGAGAGAGAGAGACCAGAAAGAGACCAGAGAAAGAGGACCTGGTTATGACCAGTGTGGGTGGGTCCCGGCTTTAAAAGCATGTGCACTGACAAAAAGATCTGTCCCTTGGTCATTGTGAAGTCTATTGTCATGACGTCTTGAACCAGAGCGCAGACATTTGGAACAAAGTATCAGCGATGCAGGGAATCAAACCCAAACTGAGAAACAGTTTTCTTAATGATAATCAGACTATTTATGTCGTTTCATGTTTTAAATGTGAAATCAAGTCTTCAGTAGAATATAAAGAGACACAGGTGTGAAGGGAAAACAATGCTCCCTGTAACTCCCTCTACTGCCACCAGAGTGAGAAGGAACCATATGATTGTCCAGAATTTAATTTAATCTTTGAAATGACCAGAAAAAAAGTATGGTTCATATCTGGATGTCCAAAGACAGTACCGCAAATAAACAGGATCACAGAGAGCAATAAACCACAGATTTAAGTCCAATATAGTGATGTCACACAAACATTACTGAGCTGGAGGAGTTACCTTTACTTGGAAGTCAATAGGAGCCAGAGAGAGGAGCCAAACTTCACCATGAGCACTTCCCTATTGGCCTTCATTGAGCTAGCAGGTTTGCATTATCCATTGACAGCCGATGTTAAATGTTGTATACTATAGCTCTTCTCTCTGAGGAAGTGTGTGAGGAACTGTCACTGTGAAAGTGAAAGAATAATGTGCTGCAGCCACAGCCGCCCTGGGGCAGGGGAACATGTCATGCTGTCACCAGAGGCTCATCTTGTTTACACCAAGCATTCGCAAAAGGAGGCATTGTGTTGCCCAAAGGCATAAAAATAGAATGAGAAGAACCCGAGACCTGAGGGAAGAAATTGAGTTGTGCTTTAGACCTGTTTTGGAGTTTCTTAGTCTTGTTTTAGACCTGCTTTAGACCTGTTTTAGTCCTGCTTTAGACCTGTTTTAGTCCTGCTTTAGACCTGCTTTGGACCTGCTTTAGTCCTGCTTTAGACCTGCTTTAGTCCTGCTTTAGACCTGCTTTGGACCTGTTTTAGTCCTGCTTTAGACCTGCTTTAGACCTGCTTTAGACCTGCTTTAGTCCTGCTTTAGTCCTGCTTTAGACCTGCTTTGGACCTGTTTTAGTCCTGCTTTAGACCTGTTTTAGTCCTGCTTTAGACCTGTTTTAGTCCTGCTTTAGACCTGCTTTGGACCTGCTTTAGACCTGCTTTAGACCTGCTTTAGTCCTGCTATAGACCTGCTTTAGACCCATTTTAGACCTGTTTTAGACCTGTTTTAGACCTGTTTTAGTCCTGCTTTAGACCTGCCATAGACCTGCTTTAGACCCATTTTAGTCTTGCTTTAGACGTGCTTTAGACCTGCTTTAGACCCATTTTAGTGTTGCTTTAGACCTGCTTTAGAACCCATTTTAGTCCTGCTTTAGTCCTGGTCCGTGGGAGGAGCTGCTGTGGGCGTGTCTCAGTTTCACAGTTGAGTTTCGCTGGTTTTTATGTCATTCAACATCATTAACTGCAACAGGTTGGAACCTGCAGGACCGGGGCTGGGACAGGTCTGAAAGTGGACCAAACAGAACCAAAAACAGGACTAAATTAGGACCGAATCAAGACTACAGTCAAGCCTTGGACCTGTTTTGTGAAGACACGGCTGAGAAAGGAGTGGGAGGCTCTGTTCAAAGTATGTGATTTACTCTTACATTCCTCTGCCTTAACCAAGACTAAGGCAGGTCTAAAGCAGGACAACACCAGGACTAAAGTAGGTCTAACACAGGTCTAAAGCAGGACTAAAACAGGACTAAAGCAGGACTAAAGCAGGTCTAAAGCAGGACTAAAACAGGACTAAAGCAGGACTAAAGCAGGTCTAAAGTAGGACTAAAGCAGGTCTAAAGCAGGACTAAAGCAAGACTAAAGCAGGACTAAAGCAGGACTAAAGCAGGTCTAAAGCAGGTCTAAAGCAGGACTAAAGCAGGTCTAAATCAGGACTAAAGTAGGTCTAAAGCAGACAAAGCCAGGTCTAAAGCAGAACAAAAGAAGGACTAAAGAAGGACTAAAGAAGGATTAAAGAAGGACTAAAGCAGGACTATAGCAGGACTAAATAAGGACTAAAGCAGGACTAAAGAAGGACTAAAGCAGGACAAAAGCAGGACTAAAGCTGGACTAAAGCAGGACTAAAGCAGGACTAAAGCAGGACTAAAGCAGGTCTAAAGCAGGACTAAATCTGGACTAAAGCAGGACTAAAGCTGGACTAAAGCAGAACTAAAGCAGGACTAAAGCAGGTCTAAAGCAGGACTAAATCTGGACTAAAGCAGGTCTAAAGCAGGACTAAAGCAGGTCTAAAGCAGGACTAAAGCAGGACTAAAGCTGGACTAAAGCTGGACTAAAGCAGGTCTAAAGCAGGACTAAAGCAGGTCTAAAGCAGGACTAAAGCAGGACTAAAGCAGGACTAAAGCTGGACTAAAGCTGGACTAAAGCAGATCTAAAGCAGGACTAAATCTGGACTAAAGCAGGACTAAAGCTGGACTAAAGCAGGTCTAAAGCAGGACTAAAGCAGGACTAAAGCAGGACTAAAGCAGGACTAAAGCTGGACTAAAGCAGGACTAAAGCAGGACTAAAGCTGGACTAAAGCAGGTCTAAAGCAGGACTAAAGCTGGACTAAAGCAGAACTAAAGCAGGACTAAAGCAGGTCTAAAGCAGGACTAAATCTGGACTAAAGCAGGACTAAAGCTGGACTAAAGCAGGTCTAAAGCAGGACTAAAGCAGGACTAAAGCTGGACTAAAGCTGGACTAAAGCAGGTCTAAAGCAGGACTAAAGCAGGTCTAAAGCAGGACTAAAGCAGGACTAAAGCAGGTCCAAAGCAGGACTAAAGCAGGTCTAAAGCAGGACTAAATCTGGACTAAAGCAGGTCTAAAGCAGGACTAAAGCAGGTCTAAAGCAGGACTAAAGCAGGACTAAAGCTGGACTAAAGCAGGTCTAAAGCAGGACTAAAGCAGGTCTAAAGCAGGACTAAAGCAGGACTAAAGCAGGACTAAAGCTGGACTAAAGCTGGACTAAAGCAGATCTAAAGCAGGACTAAATCTGGACTAAAGCAGGACTAAAGCTGGACTAAAGCAGGTCTAAAGCAGGACTAAAGCAGGACTAAAGCAGGACTAAAGCAGGACTAAAGCTGGACTAAAGCAGGACTAAAGCAGGACTAAAGCTGGACTAAAGCAGGTCTAAAGCAGGACTAAAGCTGGACTAAAGCAGAACTAAAGCAGGACTAAAGCAGGTCTAAAGCAGGACTAAATCTGGACTAAAGCAGGACTAAAGCTGGACTAAAGCAGGTCTAAAGCAGGACTAAAGCAGGACTAAAGCAGGACTAAAGCAGGACTAAAGCAGGTCTAAAGCAGGACTAAAGCAGGTCTAAAGCAGGACTAAAGCAGGACTAAAGCAGGTCCAAAGCAGGACTAAAGCAGGTCTAAAGCAGGACTAAAGCAGGGCTACCACTATTCAAATTTCAGAAAAAAGCTGTGAGAATAATTCATAGAGCAGGTTACTGTGAACACACTAATATGCTTTTTCTCAAATCCGAAATACTAAAGTTCACTGACTTGGTTAATTTTAAAACACTTTAACTATTGTACAAAGCAAGGCATCAACAACTGCCAGAAAACATACAGAGCACGTTCACTAACAGAGAAGGTAACTATAATTTAAGGAATAGTCAAAATGTCTAAAAACACTTTTCCAGGACAACACTGAAAAAAATGTGTATTACACGATGTGGAGTTGATCGATGGAATGGTCTAAATGATGATTTAATAAGCTGTGCAAATATCTATGTTTTCAAGAAGTTATACAAGAAATTAATTTACAAACAAACCTGATCAAGGGTAAAACTGAAAGCTCAATTTGATAACATACCAAGGATTAAACTACACCAAGATCTTCCTGTACCAAAATATGATTTAGCCTCTGGTGATCAATGCAATCATAAAGCTAACCCTGAAAGAAATTATATACAATACATATAAAGACTTGCAATTTCACCATCACTAATAATTAGGATATCAACTTCTGTTGTATACTTGTATCTGTAAACCCTCATTTATATAACTTGCCATTATATATTTCAATGCTACACATAACATATAGAAGCACCAACAGCTGTCACACAAAACACTGAATGGAGAAAGGCGTAGGAGTTTATCAGTCCCCACTTTACTTCTTTTTGAGCCCTTTCAAGCACTCAGCACTGATTGATGTACATGCTTATTCTTTAAATCATTATTCTGTTTATATATATGTAACATGCTCATACTAAGATTGCTCAAATAAAAAAGAACTAACTGACTAAAGCAGGACTAGCGCCGGACTTCTGAGAAAGTGTGCTTGTGTTGTGAAATCTCTCCTCCGCCTATCTTCCTCTTCGATTATGATGAAGGTGATCTTTAGTCTCAGTGCTCCTGTTTCCCCCAGATGCCCTACACGGCGGTGGATGTGGAGGAGGAGTATATTGCCCCAGGTTCAGGTAACGACGCTAAAGGCCCCGCCCCTCGTCCTCTCAGCAGGTGGAGGACTTTCTGGCGGGCGGCGAGCAGCTGTTGCCGTGACAACCACTACAGACGCCTGTCAATCATCAGCGTGGTGTGCGGCCTGACCTGTGTTGGGGTCATCGCGCTCAAGTACTCTGTCAAGGTGCTAATGCTAATGCTAAAACATATGCTAATGCACACCTTTCTAAGTGGAGTTTGCATGTTCTCCCTGTGCCTGCGTAAGTTTCCCCCGGGTGCTCCTGAGAAACGCCCTAGAGGCCTCAGGATGGGTCAAATAGGGATGTCACGGTTACCGGTAAATTGGTAAACCCTTGTAAAAATTTAACTATAACATTTAGCGTATTAATTTAAAAAACGTAACAAATCTATTATAATATTCACACTCTGTTAACAACTGTATACTGGAGGAGACTTTTGCCCTTCAATGTTTTCTGAACACATTCACTAAAAACAAATACCCCAATAATACCAAAAACCGTGATAATTTTGGTCACAATAATTGTGAGGTTACATTTTCATACCGTGACACCCCGAGGGTCAAATGCAGACGATGAATTGTCTTATGGGATAAATAAAGTGCATCTTTACCAAACACTGATGCTAGCGCACAAACATACTTAAGACCTGGTTTAAACCTGCTTTGGACCGTTCTGTTCCAGGCCAAAGAGAGGCAACGTTTGGACCCAGACCGTGCTTCGTACTTCGCTCTAAAAGCTCGAAAGTTCAGCATCATCTCCATTGTCGCCTTCGCCTCCATCATTGCAGTCGTCCCAATCCTCATGGCTCTGGTCTCCTATCTCGTCACGCTGCAGGACTGAACCAGGACCGGACCTGGACTGAACCCCTTCCCGTCCATCTTTTCTCCTCCCTTGCATGTGCACATATGGCATTGCAGACCTGGACATTTTGGCTCTGATGAACGGGACAGAGCTTGACACATTTGTTACATTTTATATGTTACACTTTATCTGTAAAACATTTTTTTTACTGTAACTATAAAAAACACTATCTGTCAGTGTTTGATTTAATGAAACACAAAGTTAAAGGTCAGGGACGTAACTTTAAGTTTTACTCCTATCTAGTGGTCATACAATGCAGTTCTTTGTTACCATGGTAGCCTTCGAAGGACAGGACATGGGTAAACAGCCGCAGGACATGGGTATACACAGCCGCAGGACATGGGTATACACAGCCGCAGGACATACACAGTCAGTAAAACACAGAACATTCAAACTCATGCTGTTGATAAACTTATTCTGGAAATTGTTTTGTGGGATGCTGTGTAACAGAGCCCTGTGAGTCACTATCTGCCTCTTTGGGCTGAGTGAAGGTGGTTTTTGTGACATCATAAACTAGAAGAGCTCTTTAGGTCTGAAAGTTACAGACCCAGCTTTAAAGCCAGTTTCAGGTTTACTTTGAGACTGTTTAAAAACTGTGGCTCAGTTCAGAATCTAAATGTTTATGGTTTGTGTAAACAGAAACAGGACAAACTGCACGACAAATACTTCTGTACTTACTATGTTCTTTATCCTCTCTGCTCCCTCTCTTTCTGGTCTTAAAAAAAAGTCTGTTCCAAAATGTAATATTTATTTGACACAAAAACACACTTAAAACATTTACAGCCGACGTAAGTATTTTAAGTGAACAATAAATAATTTTAGGAAAAGTGTAGAAAACTTTACAGAATCATCACAAACAAGTTCAGACGAGATCCGAGTTGGAGACTAACTCGTTCTTCAGTCGGTTCTTTTCTGCGTCACTTAAACGTTTCTTTGTTTATTTACAAGTTACTCTCATTATCTCTGAAGCGTCTCAGTCGTTTCTAAGGTCCCAGAGATAGGGGCCCCAGAACCACACAGAGGCCCCAGGACCACACAGAAAGGACCTCAGAAACGTCTCACAACGTAGAAGCTCCCACATTCATAAGATTAAGGACGAAGGGTTCTTAGTCCTCTTTCAGTAGTGGGAGTCTCGCAGACATTCAATCTCGTAGAGGCAGTTTTTGACTTAGTAGCTGCCGTAAAAATAACATTATAACGAGAGAGAGGCCCCAAGACCACAGAGAGGGGCCCCTCCTGATGACTTGGTGAATGGTTTGTTTGGCACAGAATGAAGGTACATTGAGATCAAATATATACTTAATTTCTATAAAACAGTTGTACTTTAAGTTGAGTCAGTTAGAGGGTGGGGTCTCAGGTGAGGAGGGGGTCGTGCTCGTGCTGATGGAGCCAGGTCGTGAGTTGGTCGAGTTTGGCGCAGAGCAGTGAGTCTGGGTCGCAGGAGGCTGGCTCTTCCTTGGTACCTCTGCGTTTGCGGTTGGCTTTGACTCCTCCCCCTGTGAGTTTAGCTCCTCCTCCTGGCGGTCTCTTGGGTCGCCTCGCCTCGCCAAGTTCTGGAAACTCCACGAAGCGCTTGAGCCGCTTCTGGCCGCACCAGGCCGCCGCGCCGGTCTTACGGCTGAGGGGAGACTCAAAGATAGTCTCCAAACGGCTGGAAGAGGAAAGAGGAGTTACTGAAAAGTCAGTCCAGCCATCTTCTGTATAATCTGTTGCCAGGTCGCGGGGAGCGCCGATGCATGGACGTGTGTAGATTGTGGCATGGACACGTGTAAATATCAGCTGAACGAGTTTTGGCAGGGCAATCTGTCGTATTGCCCTGCGTTGGGGAAAAACGGCGGAAGGAAGTGGTGGGTACTTCCGTATCAGCGAACACGTTAGCAGCACTTCTTTACGATCACAGTAGAATGTTAACCCAGGGTGAAGACGAGCACCATGTCTCCCACTGTCAACCCTGGTTTAATCCTGGCTCATGTTTTGGTTGTTTATGAATGTCTACATCTTCCTTGCAATTCCTCGCATGGACGTACCTCACCTTTGACTTAGCATTGAAACTCACCGCAACGCATGATCCGGTGGGAACACAGCTGAACAGTTTCACCTTCACACAATGTTCAAACCTTTGACCTCTGACCTCTGACTTCTCACCTCTCTGGAGCTTTGCTGTAGTTCTTGTTGGTGTAGATCTCCTCCAGACTGAACTCCTTCTTCTTCACCCTGAGCAGAAACATGCAACATCACCTCAGTCTGCAGTACATAGACCGTAAGATCAGCTTGGGGACAGTGCCTCAGCTTGGGGACAGTGCCTCAGCTTGGGAAGCTTACCTCACAGTTTTGGGGAGGCCCATGGGCGTGAGATTGTTCTGTGGTTTGGGCAGAGCTCTCCGGATCTTTATGGACGACACTTTCCTCTGTCCATCTGCCTTCTGCACCTGAAGACAACAGCAGCACATGAGTCTCTCTCTTGTCTCTCTCTCTCTGGTGTCTCTCTCACCTTTGTCTCAGAGTCAGACTGAGTTGTCTCCTCCCTCAGCTCCTCAGATTCTGGACTTGAACTGGTGTCGTCTTCGTCTTCAGCAGCTGGTGTTTCTGAGGGACAGGGACCAGGTCTGTGGACAGAGGAGAGCACAGAGGACAGTGTGGCGAGTGTCCAGAGACGTCATGGTTCCGTCTCAACATGAGACAGTTTTACCTGAGGCTGAGGTCAGAGGTCTTGAGGTTGTCGGTGCGCAGGTGGAGCCCCGGCAGCTGCCCCAGAGACGTGCCCAGGAGAGAAACCAGGGACGGGCACGAGCTGGGGGAGGCAGAGGCCGTGGGGGAGGAATGGGGGAGGCTGGGGGCCAGGCTGTGGTACGAAGGTGATGCGCTGTGATAGGTGGGGCTGTGCAGTGGATGGGGACTGTTGTGAGCTCTGCTGTGTGAGACGGGGGAGGTGAGGGTGATGTGGGGGCACAACGAGCCCTGCTGCACACTGCTCTTGCCCTCAGAGCGTGTGGACAGGAAAGCCAGGGGGCTGCAGAGGAACCCAGAGGCCAGGGCCGACAGAGAGGCCCCCGGGGAGAGTGCACGCATCGGGGAGCGGGCCTCATACAGGGAAGGGGACCTCCGGGTTGGAAATACCTGAGGACCAGAGGACACATTCATTCCAACTGCAGGAGCACACAGGCTCACCTGAGGTAATGAGTGTGTGCTGATACAGGCGGAGGACCATGCTAATTGTATGATAGCTTAGCTCTGAGTGAGTGTGCCACAAACAATCACTGAGTAGTTTACCTTTACATGCAAGTGGTTATACAAAACACACACACACCTCTTTGCGCAGACACAAGGGGGCAACCTCACGCTCCACCTCCAGGCTGCAGACTGTGTGGCGGCGCTCGCGGCGATTTGACCGCTGGAAGTTGTGCGGGAGTGAAGAGGGAAGGCTGAGGAGGAGAGAGTGCTGCTGTGGTGGGGGGAGGCTGAGGGGGAGGATGTGCTGCTGCGGTGGCTGAGAGCGACTGCGAGGCGGCGAATGGAAGTGCGGCGTCCAGGAAGAATCAAGCCGCAGGGCCGGGATCTCAGGACACGAGTGAGAGCGCAGCAGCCGAGTCCACCCGGGGTCCTGCCAAAGACACACTGTTATTCACAATGGTCACTCACACCAGAGGACACACTCTAGACTAGGCATGTCCAAACTCAGACTCACGGGCCATTTGCAGCCCTCTGTGTCTTTTAATGTGTCATCCAACCAACTTCAGCTCCACCAATACAGTCCTTGTTTTGTACCTCAAACCCTCTGCAATCTCTTTTGTTTTGTACTGACATTTGTTTATGATTGTGGCACAATCAGACCTAACCCATTCCACATAATGCAGCTGTGGTGTGAATCAAAAAGGACAAACTGGTTCGACTGGATTCTTGAATTTAAAATGGATTATGAAACCCATTGCAGGCCTTGACATTAAGCTTTGTCAGCCACTTGCCCTTCGGGCAAGTACCATTCATATTTTACTTGCCCAAAGTCAAAAGTTACTTGCCCAAACATTTCTCAATACAATGAGTTAACAAAAGTTTGGCAATCAAGTGGCGCTAAATGTGTGGATATATAGATTATATATATATATTAGGGCTGTCAAAATTATCGCGTTAACGCACGTTAATTAATTTTTTTCATTAATCGCGTTAAAAAAATTAACGCATTTGACGCATGCCCATGCGTCCCATGATAACACTCAGAATGCCGCGGACACATGCGTGTGTAAGATGGGGACAGAGCAGAGCCCTCTGGGAATTCAAGTTTTGAAAGAATACACGCGTGACCGCGGGGCACTTGTTGTTTCCTGTATGAACTCTGCATGATGAGCTGTGGGCGCGACAGCGCTCTGGACAGCAGCACCACTTCCAGCGACTGTAATGACGGCGAACGGCGCTGCGTAATGGGATCATATCCAAGAACACGCACAGAACTATTCTCTAGTGTGCGTACGTGTCTTTGCGTAACTTTGCTGGACTGCGGAGCCTCAGTCTCCTCCGTGTCTTCTCCCAAAGCGCACTCGCTAAATTAAAGCTGAGGTACCTAATTTTCCCTTCCACTACCAGTTCATGTTAGTTGTGCCAAAAAAAGTAATGGTGTGAGTAAATCAAACAGATTTAAAGACATTCTGCTTCAGACTATTTGAAATGTCCCTCATCTGTAACAAACAATGGTTTTGGTCTGAGTCTAAACAGAAAGACAGAATGTTAATGATGTTAATTCCATTTTAAATGGATTTATTGTTATAACAAACAAATACAGTACATATGTTCACTAAGCTGTCATTTATCTTTCCATTCAAACAACAATTTACAGAAAAATATGGCATAATTTTGCCAATAGTTTGAAATGCGATTAATTAATTTTTAAGCTGTAATTAACTCGATTAAAAAAATTAATCGTTTGACAGCCCTAATATATATATATATATATATATATAGTGTGTATTGGATACTTTCTTTTAACAATGGGCCGTGTTGTATTGTGTTCTTAATAAAGATTAATAATATATAATAATAATACCACTCTCTGCCCAAAAAGTCAAATAATGACTCCCAGGACTCTTAAGTATGCAAAATAAAAAAAAGACACCTGTTGTGGTGTGTTCTATTGGATTTGTTCACAACATTTTACTTTGGTGCACAACCAACATGCATTGTTAAATGCAAGGGTAAATTTTAGGTACCCGAGCTTTAATATTGTGGACCACATAGACGCCTGCCCTCGCGTCTATGGTCCTTCAAGCGGCGTATATGGTCCTTCAAGCGGCGTCTATGGTCCTGCCCTGTCTGATGAAGTCAAGTCTGATGAACTAAAGTGGCCCTCTTACTAAAAAGTTTGGACACCCATGCTCTAGACCAGGTATGTCAAAGTCAAATACATCAGAGGGCCAAAAAAACAAATTTGCTGTGAGCCGAGGGCCGGACTGGTTCAATGTTTATTAACTCATTGCCTGCCAGCCTATTTCAGAACAGGTACTCCCATATTTCCAGCAGTTACTGATGATTTTTATTGATTTTTCAAGACCCACAGAATATTGTGTACTATGACTATCTGAAATCCGAAACCAGATTCTGAAAGAATAGACTGTCTACTTTCATCAGCAAAAACAATTTTGTTTCTAGCCTGTAATCCCCAGTTGAGTAGAGGGAAGTTTTACTGAAATCACCAAAAAGTTGAGAAAAAAAGAGTCCCAACAAGTGCATCTAGCTGTTTTCAAACCATTCAGAGAGCGCTGCTGCCACCTGCTGGCTCGATTCAATATGCTCTCAAGCTTATCCCCATACATATTAGATATAATAGACATCTGGGAACATGAAATTAGCGGAAAACGCAATTGATGTAATAGTGCGTTAATGGCAGGGAACGGGCCATGGAAAATTAATTTGCGGGCCGGATTTGGCCCGCGGGCCTTGACTTTGACACATGTGCTCTAGACCTACTAATTACTCAGGCCATTGATTGTACAGTTTCTAGTTACAGATGTCTCCTTTTATACTTTTTAAAGCTTGCGTTTTTCATACTGTTCCAACCACAGCTCAGATTATGTAATTTCTATGGTGGTTTTGAGAGACCGACCTCTGTGAGCATATCGCAGTCGTCTGTTGAGTCGCAGTTTTCTTGTGGTGTTGTTTCAAAACTTGTCTCTGTGGCATTATTGCCTTTTTTTGCTCGGCCACCTGGAGCTGTCATGCTATGCTTTGGCGCCGCTTTGGTTTTCTTCACGTGCCCTTCAGAGTTCTGATCCCACACAACTTCGGCTTTCGTCTCATCTCTGGTTTTGCGTTTCTTGCCCTTTTTGACGTCTGCAGATGGCTCCAAACAGAACCTGGCTGGTTTAACGGCCCGAGCTTTGACCTGGAGGCTCTTATTATCATCACTGCTTCTCAATTTATCCAGAATTTCTCCATTAACTTCATTCTTTAGCATCGGGAACTCTCTCTCAACACTGTCCATCTTAATCCAATTGGTTGCGGCCTTTGCGTCTGCCTTTTCTGATTTGTGTTTTGGCTTCTTCTTTGTTGCCGGCTCAACTTCCACCTTAGCTGCACTTTTCTTCCGCTTTATTGTTTCTTCGCTCAAATTCAACGTCCTTTTCACTTTTCTCAACTTGGCGTTGTCCAGAATTGAGGCCGGCGTCCTGTCCTTCAGGCTCGCAGCGATTCGATCCTCGAGGGCAACAACACTTTCTGGATCTATTTCTGTCAAAGGTCCTTCGCAGATCATGGCCTCGCAGTCCGTGACTTTGGTGGGCCGCGATCTTGTCTTGGAGCTCCTGTTCGTCTGTTTTTCCTCAGAAAAAGGTTGACATGAAGCAGTTGTAGAAAAATTAGCAGTAGTTTGACAAGAGGCGGTGGTTTCTAAGGCACATTGGTCGACAGTCGCTTCAGGTTTAGTTTCCCAAGGCACCAAGCGGACATTGTCTCTCAGGACGGACTTCACTTCAGAGTCAAGTTTTAGGACGGACTTGTCTGGGTCCATGTTCTCAGCAGACTCTGAGGAACTGCTCTGGACTGTGGATATGTCTGGGTCCATGTCTGCAGACTCTGAGGGACTGGTCTGGACAAGGGGTACGCTGTCGCTGCTGCTGGCCTTGAACAGTTTGGCGGGGCTCATGACGATCTCGGTGAAACTGGCCATCTTGGACTTGAAGGACTGAAATAGCGGGCCAATGACCCAGCTTCTGCAGGTTTCATCAGGGTCTGTCGGCGCGGCGCTCCGGTCTGTTGGCGCGGCGTTCTGGTTCAGGGATGAGATCTGGGGACGCTGGAGTCTGGAACCACAGAAGGAAACACCGTGAACACACTGCATTCAGAGATGGTTCTGGGGCTGATGGAGCAGGTGTGTGGGGCCTGAAGGGGAAACAGTTAGATTCTTTGTGTATGTCGTGATAATATAGAAGTGGTAGAAGTGCAGCGTGTGTGGAGGAGACTCACTGGTTTGGGACGGACTGGTTTGAGGCGATGCTAAAGCTCAACTCCTCCTGAAAAACAAGAGAAAATCAGACTCGGACAGACTGACCAGGGCATATGTTTGGACATGCCAGTGTGATGTCACACTCCTGATACTAGAGTGGGGGGAACTAAACACAACTGCAGATCTGTCATAATTGTGTTTTTCTAAAGTTTGTAAAGGACCACACACACCTGACAGTAGTATTAGCAGCAGTCGTAGTAGCAGTAGTAGTATCAGCACCAGCAGTAGTAATAGTAGTAGCAGCAGCAGTAGTAGTAGTAGCAGCAGTAGCAGTAGTAGTAGTAGCAGCAGTAGCAGCAGTAGTAGTATTAGCAGCAGTCGTAGTAGCAGTAGTAGTATCAGCACCAGCAGTAGTAATAGTAGTAGCAGCAGCAGCAGCAGTAGCAGTAGTAGTAGTATTAGCAGCAGTCGTAGTAGCAGTAGTAGTATCAGCACCAGCAGTAGTAATAGTAGTAGCAGCAGCAGTAGTAGTAGTAGCAGCAGTAGCAGTAGTAGTAGTAGTAGCAGTAGCAGAAGTAGCAACAGTAGTGGTAGTAGTAGTAGTAGTAGCAGTGGGAGACAGTAGAGTGTGACTAGATTATTTTAATCCCTCTGAGCTGGTCATTCTCTGTCTCTGACCCCTGAGCCCTGACCCTGTACCATAGCTGGGCTTTCCTCCTCTGGGGGCTCGAGTCTGGACTGGACGGTCCCATAAGCCTGAAAAACACACACCCAAAGTCAAAGGGTTACTCACAGGGCTCTCTCTTAAACAGAAAAGGAAGATGGCAACTGATTGGTCAGCCCTTATATGGTTATGTCTGGATTTACAAAGAAAATATCCTAAGTTAACAGCAGGATCACAGAGAAACCACAGATTCTAGCCCAAAATGGTGAGTGATTTCACTTGGAAGTCAATAGGAGCTAGAGAGAAGAGCCAAATTTCACCATGAGCACTTCTCTATTGGTCTTCTCAGAACTAACGGGTTAGCATTGAGCTAGCTAGCGTGTTAGCATTGTATCTGTATCCAAGATGGCACTATTCAAATCAATGGCTTGTGCCAAGTAGCACATCGGATATACATGGGGACTGAAAGATTAGCGGAACTCCAGAATATCCATATATTATCATAGATCCATGCTTAAGGGTTACCAGACTTTCTGTTGAACTATATGTTATTTATGGAAGTTACGTACCCCAGCTGTAAACACAGGTAAATGGGCGGGGCTCGGAGGTTGTGATTGACAACTGCTGGGGGCGGGTCTCTGAGGTTGTGATTGACAGCTGCTGGGGGCGGGTCTCTGTCTCGCTCTTCTCTCGGTTATGTGGTTCTTCCTGGGGCTCCTCCTTCGCTCAGAGACAAAGCTCCCAAAGCTGCAGAAACAATCATGAGAAACACTGCCTCTGGCCACAGGGGGCGCCGTGGAGATGCTACTACCTGGAGCTGACGTACGAATCCATCAAACCGCTCTGAGGACCAGGCTCCAGGGGCAGGGTCAGCATCCTGTGGAGGCTGAGCACAGAGACATGTGAGGAACCAGAGCACACGGAGGGAACCCTCCCCGACAAATGTGAATGTGTTAGTGTCATCTCTAATCCTGAGCCAGACTGTAATAATGAAACTGTTCAGTTTGACGCAGAAACAACAAAACCAAAAACAAAAAACACAACTCTGACCTCAGAATGTGTATTTAAAGCTGGGTCTGGAACTCTCAGACCAATAGAACTCTATATCAAATCCATGTCTCTAGGTCTGGCTAAAACAGTTGCTTCTGTCACTAGTTCCACATCATGCATTTGTGATGTCACATCTTTAGTTCAAACAGAGGACCACCTTCACTCAGCCAATCAGCTCTCAACCCAAAGAGCCAGATACTCTCTCTGACATCATGTTGTGGTTTAAACATGTGTAATTAATGAGACTCAAGTTACAGACCACAGCTTTAACATGTGTTATTTATGAGACTGTAGCATTTAGTTCTCACAAGTATATAACATTACCTCTCACACGGCTCCAGCCTACAGCATTCACTTATTTCACCATAATTATTTGCCATTTTTCCACCACTCAGACTGAACTACCGGCTCCGGGGGTCGCAGTGTGTCAGAAAGGCCTTAATCCTATCATAATCCATAATTTACAACAATTAACGTGTGGATCCGGGGCTCGTGGACCAGTGCTAGCATCACAAACTGTAACTATCGCGTTAGCATGTGTTAGCATTGTTAGCATGTGGCTAATGAGGCAGCCGTGACGTGACCGGTGTCTGCTGTTCTGCGCTTACGGAAAAGAACCAGGGGCCACAGCGGGGGTGAAGTGGGTCAAATGCAACGGGGAAATACGTACATGTGCGGCGAGGGTGGCTGAATCTTACCGTGAAGGCTCAAGGGAAAGGCCCGGGTGAATTCATGCCGGAGACTAAACCCTCTGAGACGGAGCCGAGGAGGGTGTGGATGGTAGAGACGGAGCTGCGCGGAGAGGCCCGCTGCGAGAGGCCCGAGACCAGAGAGAGACCAGAGAGACCAGAGAGAGACCAAAGACAGACCAAAGAGAGACCAGAGAGAAACCAGAGAGAGAGACCAGAGAGAGACCAGAGAGAGACCAGAGAGAAACCAGAGAGAGAGACCAGAGAGAGACCAGAGAGACCAGAGAGAGACCAGAGAGACCAGAGAGAGACCAGAGAGAGACCAGAGAGAGACCAAAGACAGACCAGAGAGACCAAAGAGAGAGACCAGAGAGAGACCAAAGAGAGACCAAAGACAGACCAGAGAGACCAAAGAGAGAGACCAGAGAGACCAAAGAGAGAGACCAAAGACAGACCAGAGAGACCAAAGACAGACCAGAGAGACCAGAGAGAAACCAGAGAGAGACCAAAGAGAGACCAAAGACAGACCAGAGAGACCAAAGAGAGAGACCAGAGAGACCAAAGAGAGAGACCAGAGAGACCAAAGAGAGAGACCAGAGAGAGAGACCAGATAAGATAAGATAATCTCATTATTTATCTCACATAGGAGAAATTTACATGTCACATTTGGCATGGATAGAAACACTCAGATTGTGCAAAATGAGGAAATGTGCAAACATGTTACATTCAGGATATATATGTACAATAAAAGTGACAAGTGTCAATTGGAAACAGTGTCAATAGTAGTTCCAGTGAAATGGAAGCCTTGGGCTGAAGGGGGGGACCCTGGGTGCTGTGCGTGGCTGGCCCGTGTGTGTGCTGTGCGACAGGGCTGGAGCTCGCCGCTGGACCCGGGCGCCCCATAGGAGGGGAGTGAGGCGGCGCAGCGTTCGGGCCGGGAAGAGAGGCGAGGGACCGGAGGCAGCGAGCACCACCAGCGAACAAGTCAGAGGATGCAGCGGGAGAGCGGGGAGCTCTAGCTGCATCAAGCGGCCTCAGGCCTGGGCTTCCTGGTGGGTGTGAGCGGGAGAGCTGGCCCTCTGCCTCTCTGTTGCAGGTACGACGCTAGCGGCTGCGCGCGCGGAACCCCCCCTGATGCCGTGGCCTGCCCTTCGTCCATCTGCCGGGCGAAAGGTCCATCTGCCGGGCGAAAGGTCCATCTGCCGGGCGAAAGGTCCATCTGCCGGGCGAAAGGTCCATCTGCCGGGCGAAAGGTCCAGGCCCTTTGGACCGCCATCATTTCATCATTTTATCGTTTAATCGTTTTAATTATTTTTTAATCCTGTTTTTAATTACTATTTTATCCATTTTATATTGTACTAAACATTATTTTAATTCATTTTAACTTCTGGTTTTGTTGGAAACGCCCAGCTCTTTTAATCCATAAATTATTTTATTCGGCACCTTTTCTGGCAGTGTCTACCTTTTTAATGCCAATACCTCAAAACCCCCCATTATCACAGAGAGACCAGAGAGACCAAAGAGAGAGAGAGAGAGACCAGAGAGACCAAAGAGAGAGACCAGAGAGAGACCAAAGACAGACCAAAGAGAGACCAGAGAGACCAAAGAGAGAGACCAGAGAGAGACCAGAGGGAGAGAGAGACCAGAGAGAGGCCAGAGAGAGACCAGAGAGAGATCAGAGAGACCAGAGAGACCAGAGAGACCAAAGACAGACGAGAGATATCAGAGAGAGATCAGAGGAAGAGAGACCAAAGAGAGACTAAAGACATACCAAAGAGAGAGACTAGAGAGAGCAGAGATAAGACAAAATAAACGTTATTTATCTCACAACGCAGAAATGTATGTCACATTTGGAATAGATATAGATTCACTCATATTGTGCATAAGACAGAAATGTGCAAACAAGCATGATAAGGTTAAAAATATAGTCTGCAGGACTGTATTTTATTTATTTTACCAGAGAGAGACCTGTTTGTTTGACCTTACTTTACAGCAGCCTCTCCGTTACACAGGGTCCTGTGAGCGCGGAACTGAAAATGCAGCTGCAGTTCTCCAGTTTCACCTTTCCCCCACTAATGTGTCGCTGTTTTTTTCCTTCACACATCGAAAAGCCCTGACGTGAAAATCCACCAATCACAGTACGAGTTTAATGTCCCGCCGGAACCTGACCGCCAATCAGAGCCCGTCTACTGCCGTCACTAGGTAGAAGCAGCCAATAGGAGCCCGAGCCTGTGGGAAATTGGTTTCGCTTCTTTGACGTCCTCACATGACCTAAATATTTACAATCTTTGCCTCAAACAGAAACAGCGTCAGACACGTGACGTCACAGGGTTTACTGGTAAAGAATGACTTCACTTATTTACAATAAGAAGAAAAAAGTGTCATTCTGTTCATGTATTTATTTATATTTATGTTGACCAGAGACCAGAGAGAGACAGAGCAGAGAGACCAGAGAGAGACAGAGCAGAGAGACCAGAGAGAGACAGAGCAGAGAGACCAGAGAGAGACAGAGCAGAGACCAGAGAGAGACCAGAGAGAGACCAGAGAGAGACCAGAGAAAGGCCAGAGAGAGACCAGCGAGAGACAGAGCAGAGAGACCAGAGAGAGACCAGAGAGAGACAGAGCAGAGACCAGAGAGAGACCAGAGAGACCAGAGAGAGACCAGAGAGAGACAGAGCAGAGAGACCAGAGAGAAGTGGATATGAGTCAGTGCAGCTGTGGCAGACTCTGTAGCCGCAGCTGCCCTGGAGCAGTCGGCTGAGCAGGATGATCTCATTAGTGTCATCTGTTAAAGCTCACGTCTGTAACTTCAAAGCTGATTATTTACAGTTTATTTAAAAACATAACAGAGAAGCGACAGACACAGAGCGAACCACGGAGCTCGGGGTAGAGCCTAGGGGTGTGACGATTCGATTATCGATATGCATTTGCAGAGTATCGATATCGATTTTGAAAGTATCAATACTTAATATATGGCTACATTACGCATCTCCATTCCATTTATCATGAAATAAAGTGTATTTTTTCTTTTTATTTATGCCATAAATTGGCATATTTCTGACCAATATATCGATAATCCTCATATAGTAATACAATCGTTATCGTGATATTATTGTTATCGTGAGCTTTGTATCGTGTATCGTATCGTGAGTTACCCTTAGGTTCCCACCCCTGGTAGAGCCTACTGCGAGTCAGTGCCAGACTGGTCCTCAGGGGCAGCCACACCTGCCCTCTCAGGACCCGGTCTGAGACCCCCGTCTCTGAGTCTGTTACACATTTGGCATAATAAAACACTAAAGCCTAAAGGGTCAAAGGTGAAACGCCTGAATCTTTAAATTAATTTGAAAATAACATGAGTGGGCGGAGTTTGTGATGTCATCTTGTCGCCTCAAACAGATTCTGATTGGTTTATGACGAGGTCCTTATGGAACAGTTTGTTTGACATAGACGGAGCAGAGAGCGAAGCCAAAGTCCCTGAAGACAACTCAGTTGCCATGTAGACCAGGAGGTTGCCATGGAGATGAGGAGTCTGTAAGCAAGCAAGTACCGCTTATTTATATAGCACATTTTACAGACGGTCACGCAAAGCGCTTTACAATGTTCAGAGTTCAGATATTTTTCCATTCTCTCGACACACGGTGATGTTTTTAGTGGTAGGGGGAACCGCAGCACCCGGAGGAAACCTACACAGATACGGAGAGAAAATGTAAAATCCACTCAGAAAGACCATGTTCGGACCGCGATCCGAACTCAGGATCTTTTTGCTGAAAAGCGAGAGTGCTAACCACTCAGCCACTGTGTCTGAAGTTGCCATGGCAACATCACTCGTACAGATCAAAGTCCTCTCACACACATGTAGCTTATGAGACTTAAGTTACAGACCCCAGCTTTAAACACAAGTTATTTATGAGACTAAAGTTAGACGTGAACCTAAAACCCGCAGGTTTGAACGTTCAGAGGCTTAGACATAATTACCTTTTTATTGACTGTAGCAACAATAAAAACAGTCTTTGAGTAATGTGATTATTTACTTTCCTAAACATTACATCCAAGTCCATTATTCTAACGATGATACAAGTATTCAACCAATGATATTTTTATTAAGACTAAACTAAACAAAAACGTGACAATGTGGATCCAAAACTTAGTCAGCCTTACATTTTGAAACCCTCTCACGGTGAAAGAAAGATTAAACTTCATGGACACATCGAGACTGTTTATACTGTCATTTATTTGTTTTTTTGAAAATACGTCTGAAATATTGATAAAGTTGCCTTCAAAAGATTTATCTCCAGTCGAGCCATTCACAAAAATCCGTGATCTTCTTTCAGTTACATTTTCTTAGCTTGAAATTGCTTTAGTGCTTTTTTTATTGTTCTGAAACCTGTGGCTGTAAAAGAAAGAAAACACGACACACTCAAAATGCAAATGTCCAAGATACCATTTTTATTTCCGGATTTTCATTTGAACCTAAGAAAAATGGAGAAATATCCATCTGATGAAGCCTGGAAAGAATGGATGTATTTTGGCTCCTTTTGCATTTGTGCCTGAAGATGTTTTTAAAGAGCTGTAGCTGCACTTTTAGAATTTTTACGTTCATATAAATCAACAACAGCAACAAAAAAAACCTTGTGTTTTCAGCGACTCATTTTGACTTACTCCAATAGATTTTCGTTCACAAATGTCTAATCTGACCATAGCCCTATTCCATAAGTTTAAGGTCAATTCTTGTGATTATTGATGAATATATTTGTCATTTTATTTTCTCATTTGCTGCTGATAATTCAAAAATAACCTTCGCTTCCATCTCGGCCGGTACAAGAATACAATATACTTACTGAGCTTATTGCCCATGACTTGTTCCACTGTAAAAGGCCTGCATTTAACTCATTGACTGCCAGCCGTTTTTAATGATTTAACTGATTCTCAAGACCCACAGAATATCATTTACAAAGACTTAGTGAAATATAAAACCAGATTCTGAAAGACTTGATTGTCTTCTTTGATCAGCAAAAATAAGTTTGTTTCTAGCTATATTTATTGTCCTGTAATCCCCAGTTGAATATAGGGTCTAAGACAAATACGCCAATGGCAGTCAATGGGTTAAAATCTCAGCGTTTATTTGGGTTTATTTGGGTTTATTTTGGTGCCATATTTTGCCGCGTACAGAAGTTGTCCGTCTGGAGCGGTTTATCTCTTGCGTTCGCCCTTCTGTGTGCGCTTCTTCTCCTTGTCTTTGCGATCCTGTTTGGCCAGTTTGTCCTTCTCTCGCTGCATCTTGTCCGATTCCTTCTTCTTCTGCGCGTCGTCCCGAGCCTGGTCCCTCTTCTGCTTCTGTCGGCTCAGGACTTCCTCCACGTTTGTGTTCTTGAACAAAGCTGCAGCGGCCGGTCAAGGGAAACCAATGACCACAAGAGTCGCCCCAAAACTGCAGCTTTTCGACCCATTTTGTATTGAAAGTTTTGCTATTGTGCGTTTTCCTTAAAGATGCGGTCAGTGAATTTTTCGTTTACCCACTTCACCCTCTTCCTGTTTCTCACGAGTGCACCGGAGTTATCGGATTATTTTCTAAAACTTAAAAAGGGCTGAGCAGAAAAATGCCTATTTCACGTTTGCAGCCCACTCTCCCTGTTGTGACAAAGAACAGAAAATGCTGGATGTTTGGTTTTGTGGAGAGGGAGGGGAGGGGAGGGGGGAGTGGTTTCCAGTTAGTGCTACGGCTAAGCTAACAACATCGCTAACTGCATCTTTAACATTGGAGACGTATCATTCCAAATAAAATCATACACTCACCGGCCACTTTATCAGGTACACCTTGCTAATACCAGGTTGGACCCCCTTTTGCCTTAAAAACTGTCTTAATCCTTCGCGGAATAGATTCAACAAGGTACTGGCCCCGGTGTGGTCTCCTGCTGCTGTAGCCCATCTGCCTCACGGTCTGACATGTTGTGTGTTTTCAGAGAGGCTCTTGCAGGCCTGGGTTGTAACAAGAGGTTGTTTGAGTTACTGTTGCCTCAGCTCAGTCACCGCGGACCTCTGGCATCAACAAGGCATTTCACCAAACTACCGCTCACTGGATATTTTCTCTTTTTCGGACCCTTCTCTGTAAACCCTACAGCTGGTTGTGTGTGTGAAAATCTCAGTAGATCAGAAGTCTCTGAAATACATCCAGCCCGTCCGACACCAACAACCATGGCACGCTCAAAGTCACTTAAATCACCTTTCTTTGCCATTCTGATAGTTCTGTCTTGACCATGTCTACAGCCCAAATGCTGCGAGTTGCTGCCATGTGATTGGCTGATTAGGAATTTGGAGTTGGATAGGTGTGCCTGATAAAGTGGCCAGTGAGTGTATAATAACAAACTAGTCACAGTTGCCTTCACTGAAATCAGAGAAACCCAGTTCAAACCACCAAAAGTAGGACAATGTATGAAATCCATCAAAGTACGGTAAATTCTGGACTATAAGCCGCGGCCGTTTTCCTGCATTTTGAAGATTGCGGCTTATAGTGAGGTGCGGCTTATAGTGAGGTGCGGCTTATAGTGAGGTGCGGCTTATAGTGAGGTGCGGCTTATAGTGAAGTGCGGCTTATAGTGAAGTGCGGCTTATAGTGAGGTGCGGCTTAAGTTTTTCAGTGGCAGTAGAACACATGAGTAAGCGCAGAGGTCCTATTGAATTGTAGAATAAAATACAGTTTAAAAGTCCTCACTTATATTATAATTGTGGAAATATCTTGTGTAATAAATCGTTTTTTTGGTTCTTTGTACAAACATGAAAATAAACCTTATTTTTCTGCTTCACACTGAAAGATTAAGAACAGCCAACAGTTTGTTCTATCATTATCTGCAGTTTTCATTATGCATGTATTTGTTGGCCTCTTGTTACATCTTTAGATCAACTTTTCCAGACAGAAAATGTGAAAAACACCAAACTACAAACATTTTAGGCAAAAGAAATGTCATGTCCAAAAGGATACACTTCTCACAGCTGGGAATCGAGACTGCACTGGCCGCCGCCTCCTCTTCTTCCCCTTCAGTGACGTTGGTTCAGGAAAACAGCCACAAAAGGATTTACTTTTAAAATGATGACATTAAAAAGGTACATGTGTAATTTTTACTCCAATCTAGCCTTGAGATCCTATAGTCTCCTTCTACCACCAACACTACGGAAGCCTTTGAGGACCATATGTTGTGTTTGACAGAGGTCCCAGACACCCGGGAAGTAAGTAATGTTTATTTATATAGCGCATTTTACAGTCCAAGGTACAGACCCAAAGCACTTTACAATGTTCAGAGTCAGATATTGTTCCAATCGTTCCACACACGGTGATGACAGAAGCGAGTCCAGAACACACTGGACCATCAAAGCCTCCGACCCAACACCATCCATTCACTCTCTCATTTACATTCAGACCTACTGTGCGTGCTTTTAGTGGTAGGGGAAACCGGAGCACCTGGAGGAAACCTGCGTAGACATGGGGAGAACATGCAAACTCCACTCAGAAAGGCCCTGTTCTGACCGGGATAATTCATTGGAACACTGACATGTAGGCTCTAATGGTGGATCTATTATAATATGGAGCATTGACACAGAGTAATCCGCTCTCATGGACATTTATAAGTTCAATTCTAGCCCTATGAAACAATTACAAAAACATGGTGGAGCTAAATATTCTTGAAAAGGTCACATTTGTTATTGGGTAACGTCTTTCACATGGAGAAACTGTAGAACACAGGGTGGCTTTAAAGAGAAACCAGTGTCAAGTCTAATGTAGGGTCAAATATAAAAAGTAAGATTAAGGGAAAAGTAAAACAAAAAGTTGGACAGAACATGGAAAACAAATGCTAAAACTGCAGGTATGTGTGTGTGTGTGTGTACCAGCAGCAATCCACACCCCACAGTTTGACAAACACAGACGTAAACAGGGTCCAGGTGCAGTGAAGGATATTGCTCGTCGTCGGTCACGTTGGCGTACTGAGCCAGGAGCGCTTCTTTTCTCTTTTTGGACTCTTCAGAAACTTCCTTCTGCTTCACCACAATCTGAGCCTGTTTCTCGATGAGGCTGGCGATGGCCTGGACCTCGGCTGCAACAAGTAAGTAGTGAGTGAGTAAGGATTTATTTATACAGCGCATTCTACAGACCCAAAGCGCTTTACAATGTTCAGAACTACTAATGTTGAGGACTACCAGGTTCTCTGAAAGCCTTTAACCCTCCAAGGTCTAGGGTCATTTTGGGGAACCTTCCTTGCCTGGTTTTCTTTTTGTATAATTGCTCATAAAAGAGTCATTTTTTGATGCAGAGTCAAGCAGTATACTTTGTTTTTGTTCAGTACAACCTGGGGTTTTAGAATATCTATATTTTAGAGCTGTCATATCAATTATATAAAAAATTTGGAGTCATGAAGACAAAGAAAAAATCAAAACGGAAAATCAATTTCACAAAAATGTATTGAAAGACACAATAAAATGCTATAAACAACTTTTTAGACTCCATAGAAATGTTATTTATGGTCTTGGGGATAATGGGGAAAAAATTTGAATCCGTAACTATTATACTTTTTACAAACTTCCTCTATAAAAGCCAAAAACACTGTACTCCTGATGCCCTTCCTCAAGCAGTTTGTCTATGAGGCTGTGGTTGCTTCTGTATCACAGCTGTAAAATATGTAAAACAAAAGAAACAAAGACAAAAAAAAAAAAAAAACATCTAATTTATATATACAAATACATTATATACTCATATCATTTTACTGTATTTATTATTGTCTATTCTCAATAATGCGAACTCAATCTTTGTCTGAGTCCCCGTGTGTGTAAACAACTTTACATGCGGCTGTGCCTGGCTCACGGGGCACCGCTTGAAGATCCGTTTGGGGGACTGACTTTCATACACACGTAGTTTATCCCCCGTATGTAGCAGAGACAAACCAAAGGCAGTTTCGGAAAGGCTGGAATGTGTACTTCACGGAGATAAAAAAAGTAAGTCGTTAACGTTCACCGTTCGCGAGTGAATTGATAATTTGTAAAACATGTGCCCCACCATCGTCGGCGATGGCATCGTCTTTTAAGGGTTAAGACGAGCAGTTTTTAATGTCGGCGATGACCGTTGATGGATCTAAAGACCTCCCACACTCTTCACAGACGCATGTATCTCTGGTGTGGCGCTGACTGTGACGTCTTTCAAACACCTAAAGGTTTCACTGCAGACTTCACGTGTGTGCGGCTTTTCCCCAGTGTGGATTCTCAAGTGACCTTTGTAGGCAGGATTGCGAGCGAACTTTTCCCACACTGGTCACATGTGTACGGCTTTTGCTCTGTGTGGATTCTCAAGTGACCTTTGTAGGCAGGATTGCGAGCGAACTCTTCCCACACTGATCACATGTGTACGGCTTTTGCTCTGTGTGGATTCGAGTGTGACTTTGGAGCCGTCGTGTCGCACTGGTCCCGAGACAAGTCGTAGTTCCTTCAAGTTACTTTTATAACGGGGCCATTTTGTATTCAAAGCACTGGTTGGCATCACACTTTACTTGTTGTCCCCTTTTCCCTTGTGATGGGCGAAGGAGCTCAAAATGATAATAATAAAATACAAACAAATGGTCAAAGGTCGAAATATTTTCACGTACTTCTAGCCAGGATTGTTTTGTCAAAGGGCACAACCATATTAGAAGGACATAGTTCCCCACAGCTGTTTACGTGTTCACTTTTTAAGCCTTTGTTTCATAAAGACATTATTTGATCCAAGAATAGATTTGTTCTATCCTTCATATTCACTTGTCATTCCTGCTGTTCTGTACGGGACCATCTCTATGAACGGAGGATTAACGGATAAGAGCGAGGTTAAGGCGCACATACAAATCTGAGTAGCTAGTAGGGCTGGGCGATAAAACGATAACGATATATATCGCAATAGACATGTGTTCGATATCAATAGAGGATGGGGTCGATAGAATGTTCGATAGTTTAACTTAACTCCGTCAGGAAAAACAGGAAGAAAACACCGGAAGTAAAGCCGACTCATAAGCGCATTGCATTGTGGGGGATGTAGGCAGAGGCTTCTCGACCAATAACAGCCGAGCAGGAACCGCAAAACTTTCTGGGAAATGCAAAAACACCAACAACCGCAGCATGCGTAGCGTCCATGGATCTATAGCTCGTGTTTCAATGCCGTGTCAATGGTTATGCACGTACGTGCGCGGAATAACATGTGCGGCGGCAGAGGCAGTGGACACACCCGATGTATTCGGCAAAAGCAAGAGATTAACTTTTTCCTCGGGAAGCATGTGCGGCACAGAGAGCCGCACGGAGCGGTCACGGGGACACAAGACCCTCAAACAGCTAAACCAGGAGCTAAACCAGGAATAAAAAACCAGGATTAAACCAGGACTAACAACGAGGGACACAGTGTGAACATATTCCTCCAGCCTCATCGCCCCGTGACTGTAAACAAGGCTGCTAAAGTTGGTTAGCCCACACCACAATAGGGGTGCAACGGTTTGAAAAAATCACGGTTCGGTTCGTACCTCGGTTCAGAGGCCACGGTTCGGTTCATTTTTCGGTTCATTTTTCAAAAAAAAAGTTTTGTCTTTTTAATAAACACGGCTCATGTGGACTCGGCTCCTGCTCTGACTGCCCCCCCTGACCTAGAAATGAATTAAGGGGAAGGAAACGGATGGATGGATGGAAGGCATATTCCATCCATCCATCCATCCAATTATGTCTATTTAACATAATTAATGGAAAACAACACAAAGTGCAACATAAGAAGGCACTTTATGAGGATATTTACCCTCATATATTACACCACCTTTCTGATTCTCCCAAGGAGGGGGTCCATTCTGGGCCCAGCCTCATTCACTGCATTTGTTTAATTTTTGGCATTATCAGTTGTGACTGGGATATTAGTACTGGGCCTTTGTCTTCCATTCCTCCGCTGCTTGTGTCAGAACCTGCGCTGTGTGACTGTGTGACTGTCGTAGAGGGGGCGTGTCTGCAGCGCCAGACTTTTCATCTCCCAGTCTGCGGTGATGAAGTGAGCGGTTCCGCTCATGGATCTATTATAGTTTCTGCGGGACGTCCAAGCGTCAGTCGTGAGCGCAGCTGTGATGCGCGGGAGAGCTGACTTTAGCCCGGTCTGACTGTGCGTAAAGGAGCTGCTTAAATGCCGCGACAATAAGCGGTCGTTGAGACGCTTTTTTCACTCATGTCTTTCTTGGTCCACAGTGCTTACACATCGTGACAGTTTTGTCGAATATTGATTATCAGTATAGTTACAGTGAAGCCAAAATGCTCTCATACTGGGGATTTAAATGACGCGGGGCTTTCAAGTATCTCCGTTCCTCCGCTCGCAATGACCGCGCTGTGTGTGGACTGAACAACGTGCGCACAACTTTTTTTTCATAAATCAAACCGCGGATCACGTCTGTACCGAACCGAAGACGTTGAACCGAACGGATCACGGATCAGTGATGAACCGTTGCACCTCTACACCACAAATATATTTATTTAGGTTAAAAAAAACTCAATATATATCGTTATCGACCGATATGAATGACTTATATCGTGATATAGTTTTCAGCCATATCGCCCAGCCCTAGTAGCTAGCAAAGTCGAAACTAGCAGCTTTAGCTCCAGGGGGATTCTTTTATTTGTGCCGCAGGATGTGACATCTCGGTCAAAAACTTCCCTTCATCAGACACGACCAAAAGCATCTCTCCATCTTAATTTGACACACGCACCATCTCCTCCGTCCTGGTTTGTGGAGTTTCTGCTGCAGAAGTCCGTCCACTGTTCGATGATCTGTTTGCAGATGTCCTCCACGGTGTCTTCTTCCTAAACATAGACATTATTTCACTTACAAAACGTTCAAATTCACCTAAACCGTTAAATGAACCCAAAACAAAAGCTTTCAATAGGCAAATCAAACGTGAATGTTAAAGTTTAATACAGTTTTCATTGGGCTTGTTCATACTGAAGGGTACAACAGGCTAAAAATCTGATTTCAATCTGAATCGGAAAATGTTAATTCATCCATAATACTTTCTCTGTCCATTAGTCGCTAGAAGAAAAGTGTTGTTTACATTAGTTCAGGCATGTCCAAATGGGGCTATTCCAAAGTAGTGTTTGAGATCATAAACACAAGTTCACTGTGTCATCCATCCAACTTCAGCTCAGACAATTTAGACCTTGTTATAAAGCCCAGTACGTCATTGACTTGATTTGCACACTGACGTTAATGATGCTAATGTAGCCGGTGAGATGGTAAACATTTGTCATTCAGCCAACTTCAGCTCTGTTATAAATCATTTTAAAGCTCAGAACAGCCCGATGCCAGTCAAGACAGTTTTTCAGTCCGTGATGTCGGCCCCTGGGACTAGTTTGGTGAACTAAAGTGGCATTCTTACTAAAAAGTTAGTTTTAGTTACATGTTCTATAGCAGTTCATCTACTCAAACTAAATGTACTATTAAAGTCCAGATACTATAACTGACACTACTGTGAATACACCCATTTCTGTGAGAACTATAGCTCATATCGAGACTTACAAGTCACAAAAACAACGTCTTCATTCAGAGTTCTCACTGATCAGTAATAACCATAGACTTTAAAGTAATAACACGGTAGTAAGAGACAGATGAGAGATACATGCACCGATCACACAAACTCATAAACATCATCATTAAAGCTGTTTGTCTGAACCTATAACCCTCTATACAAGCAGCCACAGAAGCCACAGAAGCCACAGAAGCCACAGAAGCCACAGAAGCCCCGCGGACCTGACAGACAGCGGCACATGAGCCACACGTCGCCGGGAGGTTCTCACCACAAACGCGGACAGAATTCCCTGCAGCGCGTCCTCCTTCTCCTCGTCGCTCTCCTCCTCCTGCAGGACTCCTAAAATATACGCTCCGTACACCTCCTGGTCCACCTCCAGCGCGTCCAGCCGCTCATTTAACCACGTTTCAAACTCCCCGCAGCTGGACGAGGGCGCCGCCATCTTGGCCCGTCCGGGGTCCTTTCGAGGCGCGGGGCTGTCCTGAAATGTGCCAGGTTTTTATTATGTTGTATTATTATTAGTTAAAAAAAATATATTATTAGGTTTTCAAGCATTTTTTTATTTTTCCTTCTTAATGTGATTTTTAATAACAGCATAGAGTTATATAAATGACTAAGCTCTATAGTTATACATTTACAGTCTGTGCATGCAACTATTTACTTTCGGATTCATGTTATTGATTCATGTTATACTTTATATATAATGTTAAACTTTATTGTTATACTTATAATTGATGCTAGAGTTTTGTTTTATTTTTATTAGCACAGTTGGGACACAGTTAACGTGTGCCGTGTGCTCCTCTTTCTACTATTCTATAACTTGTGATGAAACACTGAAATTTCCCCACTCTGGTACAAATAAAGGATCTCTTAATCTTACGTTATTGATACGTGAGTTCTGAAGGCCTCATGCAGTACAGAAAAGTATCCAACAGAGGGCAGTAACGCGCTTTGAAAACGCCTCAATCTCGATTTGAAACTTTACCTTCTACTGTGTGTGATTTTTAAGCAGAAAAATATTCGCACTGTTTTCCTATGGTCTGCCCAAAAAGACCCATTTTCCTGTTCAAGATGATTCCTTGCTCTTTCCTCATGACTTTGTTCTCTTTCTCAGACTGCAATTTGTAGGTTTGTGTTGTTGATACAAAGACAGACAAGAGACAAAGACAGACAAGAGACAAAGACAGACAAGAGTGATACATAGACATACAGAAGTGAACAACAACAAAACATTGAAGCAGCAACAAAACATACATCGAAATACAAACATTGAGACAACATGAAACAGCATGTAGGAGGTTGTGTGTGTGTGTGGGTGTGTAATTTGTAGGTTTGAGTGCTAAAAATGTTGGTTACTGAATAATAAATCTTTCTTATACTGTGCCTAAGTGTCTGCTGTGTTGGTGAAACTCTGGTGGTGATTAACCAAGTGGCAGCCTTGTTTCTGTGACTCTGCCCCAGGGCAATAGTGGCTCGTCCCCACTGTGGGAGGAGTGAATTAATACGGAACTGTAAAGGCTCTAATTCTGATTACTTTCTCTGGGCATACTTAACCTTTGACAAAATTGGGCTGACCACAAAGTATTGGTTTATACTAATACACATTTAACACATGTACTTCTCTTTTTAGAACTGAAGTGTGGTTGGTTAATTGCACGTGTGTGGCCAAAAGTGTGAGGCTGTTGGCAGTCACACAACCTGGGCCGGAGCCACTTAGCCACAAATCCCAAAGTTAGTGATTGAAAATGAGACTTGGATTCTCCCACGGTTTCCAGAGCCGCTCGAGCACTCACTGAAGCTGCCGAGACGAGCCAGGACTGTTCTAATTGAAAAATGTCTTCCAAATGATTTGAATTCATTTTCTACGCTACTGATCTGATCAAACACTGCATGCATGGATTAAAGTAACAATGTTTATTTTAGGTTTGATTTAGGACCCCGAAAATAAGCGGAAATCCAACTATTGTCTTCCCCACAACATGAAAGCAACAATAATTTATAAGAATCAAGAATTTTACATGTGGCAGGGGCTGTAACTTGTGGGTCTAACTGGACTGAACCCGTCTGAACCCGTCTGAAACTGTCTGAACCCGTCTGAACCCGTCTGAAACCGTCTGAAACCGTCTGAACCCGTCTGAACCCGTCTGAACCCGTCTGAAACCGTCTGAAACCGTCTGAACCCGTCTGAACCCGTCTGAACCCGTCTGAAACTGTCTGAAACCGTCGGAACCCGTCTGAACCCGTCTGAACCCATCTGAACCCGTCTGAACCCGTCTGAAACCGTCTGAACCCGTCTGAACCCGTCTGAAACCGTCTGAACCCGTCTGAACCCGTCTGAACCCGTCTGAAACCGTCTGAAACCGTCTGAACCCGTCTGAACCCGTCTGAACCCGTCTGAACCCGTCTGAAACTGTCTGAAACCGTCGGAACCCGTCTGAACCCGTCTGAACCCATCTGAACCCGCCTGAACCCGTCTGAAACCGTCTGAACCCGTCTGAAACCGTCTGAACCCGTCTGAACCCGTCTGAACCCGTCTGAACCCGTCTGAAACCGTCTGAAACCGTCTGAACCCGTCTGAACCCGTCTGAAGCCGTCTGAAACTGTCTGAAACCGTCGGAACCCGTCGGAACCCGTCTGAACCCGTCTGAAACCGTCTGAACCCGTCTGAAACCGTCTGAACCCGTCTGAACCCGTCTGAACCCGTCTGAACCCGTCTGAAACCGTCTGAAACCGTCTGAACCCGTCTGAACCCGTCTGAAGCCGTCTGAAACTGTCTGAAACCGTCGGAACCCGTCGGAACCCGTCTGAACCCGTCTGAAACCGTCTGAAACCGTCTGAACCCGTCTGAAGCCGTCTGAACCCGTCTGAACCTGTCTGAACCCGTCGGAAACCGTCGGAACCCGTCTGAAACCGTCGGAACCCGTCTGAAACCGTCTGAACCCGTCTGAACCCGTCTGAACCCGTCTGAAACCGTCGGAACCCGTCTGAACCCGTCTGAAACCGTCTGAAACCGTCTGAACCCGTCTGAAACCGTTTGAACCCGTCTGAACCCGTCTGAAACCGTCTGAACCCGTCTGAACCCGCCTGAACCCGCCTGAAACCGTCTGAACCCGTCTGAACCCGTCTGAACCCGTCTGAAACCGTCTGAACCCGTCTGAACCCGTCTGAAACCGTCTGAAACCGTCTGAAACCGTCTGAACCCGTCTGAACCCATCTGAACCCGCCTGAACCCGTCTGAAACCGTCTGAACCCGTCTGAAACCGTCTGAACCCGTCTGAACCCGTCTGAACCCGTCTGAACCCGTCTGAACCCGTCTGAAGCCGTCTGAAACTGTCTGAAACCGTCGGAACCCGTCGGAACCCGTCTGAACCCGTCTGAACCCGTCTGAAACCGTCTGAAACCGTCTGAACCCGTCTGAAGCCGTCTGAACCCGTCTGAACCCGTCTGAAACCGTCTGAACCCGTCGGAAACCGTCGGAACCCGTCTGAAACCGTCGGAACCCGTCTGAAACCGTCTGAACCCGTCTGAACCCGTCTGAACCCGTCTGAAACCGTCGGAACCCGTCTGAACCCGTCTGAAACCGTCTGAAACCGTCTGAACCCGTCTGAAACCGTTAGAACCCGTCTGAACCCGTCTGAAACCGTCTGAACCCGTCTGAACCCGCCTGAACCCGCCTGAAACCGTCTGAACCCGTCTGAACCCGTCTGAACCCGTCTGAAACCGTCTGAACCCGTCTGAACCCGTCTGAAACCGTCTGAAACCGTCTGAAACCGTCTGAACGCGTCTGAAACCGTCTGAAACCGTCTGAACCCGTCTGAAACCGTCTGAACTCGTCTGAAACCGTCTGAACCCGTCTGAACCCGTCTGAAACCGTCTGAACCCGTCTGAAGCCGTCTGAACCCGTCTGAAACCGTCTGAACATGTCTGTTCCCGTCTGAAACCGTCTGAACCCGTCGGAAACCGTCGGAACCCGTCTGAAACCGTCGGAACCCGTCTGAAACCGTCTGAACCCGTCTGAACCCGTCTGAAACCGTCGGAACCCGTCTGAACCCGTCTGAAACCGTCTGAACCCGTCTGAACCCGTCTGAACCCGTCTGAACCCGTCTGAAACCGTCTGAACCCGTCTGAACCCGTCTGAACTCGTCTGAACCCGTCTGAACCCGTCTGAAACCGTCTGAACATGTCTGTTCCCGTCTGAAACCGTCTGAACCCGTCTGAACCCGTCTGAACCCGTCTGAAACCCGTCTGAAACCGTCTGAACCCGTCTGAACCCGTCTGAAACCGTCGGAAACCGTCGGAACCCGTCTGAGACCGTCTGAACCTGTCTGAACCCGTCTGAACCCGTCTGAAACTGTCTGAACCCGTCTGAAACGTCTGGACCCGTCTGAAACCGTCTGAACCCGTCTGAAACCGTCTGAACCCGTCTGAACCCGTCTGAACCTGTCTGAACCCGTCTGAAACTGTCTGAAACCGTCTGAAACCGTCGGAACCTGTCTGAACCCGTCTGAACCCGTCTGAAACCGTCTGAAACCGTCTGAAACCGTCTGAAACCGTCTGAAACCGTCTGAACCCGTCTGAAACCGTCTGAACATGTCTGTTCCCGTCTGAAACCGTCTGAAACCGTCTGAACCCGTCTGAACCCGTCTGAAACCGTCTGAACCCGTCTGAAACCGTCTGAAACCGTCTGAAACCGTCTGAACCCGTCTGAACCCGTCTGAAACCGTCGGAACCCGTCTGAACCCGTCTGAAACCCGTCTGAACCCGTCTGAAACCGTCGGAACCCGTCTGAACCCGTCTGAACCCGTCTGAAACCCGTCTGAACCCGTCTGAAACTGTCTGAAACCGTCTGAGACCGTCTGAACCTGTCTGAACCCGTCCGAACCCGTCTGAACCCGTCTGAACCCGTCTGAAACTGTCTGAACCCGTCTGAAACGTCTGGACCCGTCTGAACCCGTCTGAACCCGTCTGAACCCGTCTGAACCCGTCTGAAACCGTCTGAAACCGTCTGAACCCGTCTGAAACCGTCTGAACCTGTCTGAACCCGTCTGAAACCGTCTGAACCCGTCTGAACCCGTCTGAACCCGTCTGAACCCGTCTGAACCCGTCTGAAACCGTCTGAACCTGTCTGAGCCCGTCTGAAACTGTCTGAAACTGTCTGAAACCGTCTGAAACCGTCTGAAACCGTTTGAAACCGTCTGAAACCGTCTGAACCCGTCTGAAACCGTCTGAAACCGTCTGAACCCGTCTGAAACCGTCTGAACCCGTCTGAAACCGTCTGAAACTGTCTGAAACTGTCTGAAACCGTCTGAAACCGTCTGAAACCGTCTGAAACTGTCTGAAACCGTCTGAACCCGTCTGAAACCGTCTGAACCCGTCTGAAACCGTCTGAAACCGTCTGAACCCGTCTGAACCCGTCTGAACCCGTCTGAGCCCGTTTGAGCC